TTGCCCAAATGATTCTCTTGATGCTCTGCTTTGGGAATATCCGCAAAAAGAAGAAAAGGAGCATGAGCTTCAATAAAGCGATGTGGAAGAAGTAGAGCACTTCCAATCCGAAAAGATACTTGGCAAACTCGGTGATCTGGTCAGGTTGGACCGTCCAAATATCTCTTCCGAGTCCGTTGGGCACGACAGCCCGGTCAATGATGATAACAGACGGTGCTCCTGAAATCAGAGCGGCGACAACGCACCAGTCGTCATACGCAAACTCGCCACCAGAGAAGAATCCTCTATAGAAGAGTCTAGTAAGACCGAAGGCAGCGGTCAAGACCGCAATGATAATGTTGGATACGCGGACACTCTCGCCTCTATAACGTATCGGAGCGTGACATACTGTCATGGTCGCATTTTTGGTCACTGCATTTCAAATTAGCGGTGCTCATAGTCACGATAAAGAAACACTCACTCAGCCCTTGCCTTAGCGTACATGTTTTATGTACACAAATCTCGACTTGGTGCTGTAATTGCATATTTTGGCATATGCAAGTTGCATCGTTCAATGCACATGATGACTTGGAGACAGCCGTGACCAGACACTCTTGCTAAATAGTTGTATTAGTAGGCGTCCTCAAGATCATCAAGGAGGGGACATACCGCGCAGTCGGGAAGCTGTTCCACTGCTAATATCAAAGCCGAGTCATCGGGAACCTGACCCTGGGCAAGTGCCAGCTGCATCCATACTAGCAACGAGAGCAGGAATTGCAGGGACTTCATTCTTTCTTTCGCCCGTACGCGACGCGAGACTGAACAAACGAACTAAGAAAGCAGACGTGTTCTAAAACAAGTCCTGACTCCGATGCTGCATGGGGGAGCGGAGAGTATTTAGTATCATGCGAGGAACCAGTCCAAGCCACTGTTCTCCAGGGGCCAGCTCTTTCGAGAAAAGTAGAAGAGAGACGAACGACTGTAGTAACGTGGCGCCATGCGAAGGAAGACGGTAACTATAGCGTAGTGGAAGGCGGGGCCTGCGCGAATCTAGTGTCTTTCACCAAGCGGCATTCTTCATCGCAATTAGAGTTCCGTTGCCGTAGAGGTAGTCCCTGCTCCACGCATGGCAGGACCTGCACTAGGTCCCACAGGCATGGAATACAACCAATGATGAAATTACGACTGGGATAAGCGGAGTTGCCCCAGACATGTTGAAGTGGATCTCTCTGCAGGCCCTGCAGGGCAATCGCGGTCGGCAACGGAGATCATACTTTTCGCGAACAGTGGGCTCACAAGAGTGAAGGGGTTCGCCTAACATGCAGGAATGGTCGAGATAGGGAAAGGAGCCAGGCCCCGGACTTGTGCCGCTGAGCCTCACCAGGCACCTTTGCCGAGCGAAATCCTTCAAAGTCCAGCCTTACTTGGCGTCTTCCGATGCTTGGAATTCTTTGGAGGGCACTGAGACAGGGTGGGTTATCGTGAACCCATAGCAAAGCCGGAGAGTGTCCCGAAGATAGTGTCTGGTTCCGCGCCCAAGCGGCGGAAGAAGCGACTGGGCATGCACCACCACTAAGTAGGTAATGCAGGCGTTCAGGTTGAGGCCATCCGCACCCGCCCGTGGGCATGTCCATGAATACTTAGTTCTCTCGGCAAAAGGGCTATGGTACGCTTTAGCTGCTTGTGCCACATGGCAATCGGCACTTTCTTCTTGCAAATCGTGTTCGCAACGGTGTCGATCACCTTACATACCTACATGCTACGTCCACCAGGGCCGCACCCCAAATTCTCGACGCCACCCGCTGCTCCACTCTTCCTAGCAGATATGTACAAGCATAAGCATCCCGCAATTTGGCACATGTCAATGTCAATTACATGCGAAATCTCTAGGGGGTGTGAAACAAGGGGATTTACAGAGCCAACTGGTCTATTCCTGGGAAGGCTGAGTGTCAGTCTAGTGTCTCCACGAGGGAGAAAAGTGCCGGGCGCCTCCTACATGACACACGCCACCCCTCCAATATCCTTTGCTAGTTTGTTCTTTCAGCTCTTCTGGTTTCGTTCCAATGACGATAGGCTGCACACGTATTGGCATCCTCTAGCCAAGTTACCGTTTGGGTGCCAATGGCAAACGGTACTAGAACTAGGAGGCATCTCTCCGAACCCAGGACGCCACACCCGAAAATTCTCTACCACTCACATCCATTACATGACACACTCCACGTGTTAGGGGCTCTATTTTCCCGAATTTTTATCCGATGAATCTAGAAACCAGTCGCTTCGAAGTATCAAAATTGTAGAAACCATATATCTTATAGCACAAGGCAAAGCACCCCCCCGGTTGATAGGGCAGTCTTACATACTATACCTGACACGACATTGAAACGAGGCCACGCGACAGGGTGAATTAAGATTTCCAGGACGCTTGCCCCTTTCCTACGGGTCGCATGCATCACGTCCGACCACAGTGGCGGCTGTGACGCAAGTGTTCCAGTCTTTTTAAGGTTGAATGTCGGCCGAACATCGCGACCCAACGTCGTGACTCGCAAGCACAAGCATCACATCCCCGCGTTCATCATTCGTATCCTTACGGCCTCTATGCAGGGTATTTACATGCATTTGATCCACGCATACACATGAATGTAAAATAGCGTATACCTATACGCACACTCAGCCTTGTCGATGGAAGTCAGTGTGTGGGCACACCCACGACAGCTGAAGCTCTTCACCGGAACGAGGCACCTCCGAGAAATATCGGTGATTCCTCTATACCAACGATACATGCGTATAAATTTGAAGATAAGGGACTGGAATAACAACGCAAGGCAATCTCCACATTCCGATTCCTGTCTATGGACACTCCATAGCTACTCCACCGCTACTCCATCTACTCCATGCGCTTGTCTGTCAAGCTACGCCCACAACCCACATTCCGACCTGCCTCTACCTTGGGTTGGTACTCTATCTAGCTTAGTTTTTAGCGCGATGCTTTGGTAGTGATGGAAAGTTCCGCACATAAGCCGGGAAGCGATGACATATTCTCGCACCTCTGCCGGACTACATTCGGGCCTTGGTTGGGCGATCGCTCTGCAAATCGTTCTAAGCGGTTGGTCATCGGCGCCGCGCATCTCTACTAACCACCCACGTGCCAGTGGTCGGCGATCACCACGGTGCGAGCTACGGGAAGGAATGGATTGCTTGTTAGCACATCTTTAAGGGTCGCATTACCATGCAGTGCGCGTCTTTATATCGACACCGCACATCCCCTCGTTGGCTGTATTTCGCTGAATATACAAAGCTGTGTTGTCATTGGTGCGCTTTCCGATGATAGCGTTCGGCATTTTTGATGTATACATATGCAACTGGATCTCTGGAAAAGAAAAAGGTGTTTAGATGCACAGCTTCTCAACCATTCATGAAGGTATTTACTTGTGTCGGCGAGAAGGGACACCGCGATCCAAACATGGCTACTACACATGCTTCCATTGCTCCGCTCGAAATCATTGCCACTGTATTCACTTCCTGGAATCTTTCTTATCCCGATATCAGTTCCAAACTACATATTGTGATCAAGGCGCATCCTCGGCTTCAAAATCTCTGACATTGATCTGCATCTGTCGCCTGATTGTGGCGAAGCGAGATGTTCTCACACACCATGCAAACTCTATTGCGGCGTCACCCGGCCACATGCGAAACAAAGGTTGTATCTTGGAGATCTCGATCATCAGAAACCCCGTCGGCCGAGGGGGGTTTCCTATTCATCTTGAAAACCCAATAACGTGATGGTTTTTTCTTGTTATTTGCATTCTTGATTTCCTATTCCCGTACGACCATTCAATTAACACCGAAACAAACGGCTCCACATCTCATCGACTCATGGGCTTAGAAAACCCCAGGTTGTGTCTAGTGTACACTCGATCGAGCGGGAATAACTTGTTCGCCATACTCCACGTAGTCAACTACATGCCCTCTCATGACTTTCTCAAGCTCTCAGGCGATGTCGAAATGGTCATGAAAAGTAGTGTAGATCTTTACACATAATGACGGCACTCTTCTCGGAGTGGCTATTGGAACCTGCTCTTCTTTCTCGGATACCAATACCATGGAGTTGTGTAATTCTAAGAAGACGGTGGCAGATATTCAATATTCCTTCACATGGGTTTTTTCTAGTTTTGAAAGTAAGTCTGGTCATTCTGAACCACACATATAAAGTACACTTTTTTTTTAAATTGGAAGGCTGAGAGATAGAAACCAGAGGATTTAGTATCCACGAAACCAGGAAGTAAAGTGATAGACGTTCAGCATTGTTACTGGGCCTAGACTTTCGTGTACAGCATCACGTGAATATGCGTTACGTCATCCTTATCGATAATACTAGCGCCTATTGGACATTTTTCGAAAGTGAGAACTTGGGAACGGGCACAACCGTCATCCCTTGAAATGCGACGAAATTGAGTTATTGTTCTCTTATTTTCGCCCATTCGCGACCGTGCCGGCTGATGCTCGGTCTCTGTCGACTCCGATGCCCATCCTACTCCGCTCCACACTTCCAGACGCGCTTTCTCCGAACGCTCCCTCGCGAAATACCGACATACGTTCCACAATGGAATCCGACGATACAAAAACCCACCGGTCTACTTAAGACGCTGAATGGACCTAAGCTTGACTCGGAGGCAGCCCTTGGCGACATAACTCGGACCGCAGAGCTTAAGAAGCTCGCAAATATACAACACTCATTGATCGCTCTGGAAGATGGTCATTCCAAGAACCTATATGCGCTCAGAAGGCTTCACATTATACTACGGTCAGTCAGTGCCACCGATGGCCGTGATGATAGTCTTCGCGCACCCTTGTGGCGGGCATATATGCTATCAAAAGCAATCTATCCTCGAGTTATGACACGTCTCTCGAAAAGAGCCTGGGATCTACTATGGACAACCCAGTCTATTGATTCACCCAATAATCGAAACCGAAAGGCCCACTTGAAGCAGCTTCTTTGTGACATGGAGAAGCTGGGACAGACCATGACTGTTGGGCAGAGGGCCGGATATCTCGAAAGAGTATTTCTTAGTGGCAGGGAAGATTACGCTATCAGCGCATGGGAGCAGGACCATAGTTCGGATCCTGAGAGTGCAACACATGGTCATAGCCCGGAACATTTAGAAATTGGAGCTAAGCTACATGCTTTCTTTGGGAATGTAGATCGCAGCCGATGTATTATGGACGAGCTCTTCCGTCTGTATCCTAGCTGGGACACATCTGTTATGATGGTTGTATTTCGCGCTCACACAAGCTCGGATCTCCAAGAACACCATCATATTGCAAAGCAAATATACGTCAAGATGAGAGAGCAGAAAGGCGACGCCTGCACGACCGAGGACTATGACGCTTGGCTTGTGGGATTTCTGGAGGCTCGCAGTCTGACCGACGCAAAGCAAGTGTTCCAGGACATGGTCAAGGGTGGCTATTTGCTTGTCAGCGGAGCTACTGGTCGAGCCGAGTCAGTCTTGAGGAGATTGCATTTGCTGTATCATCTTGGCACCGACATTTCCAAGATGACTAGTATCGCTCTCAATGCCATCTCAGTTCTCCCGCCTGTCTATCACGGCCATATATTTGGAGATTGGATGAAGTCCGCTGTTGTGGAAAAGGCACCGGAGGCAGCTGCTCAAATCTTGGACGTGATGCTGAAGAGAGGATATCAACCAGAAACTTTTCATTTCAACATGCTGCTTAAAGCTTTGATACGTACAAAGGACACCCCCAATATTCTCAAGGCCGAGAACATCGGATGGCGCATGATTGATGAAGCGTGCAAAGCCCGCGCGAGACACTCATCGGATCCACAGACCGGTAGCATCGACAAGAGGTTTGTCGACCGCGAAACGGGTGTAGGTACTGTACAAGGTGTTCCTGCAGCCAATGTTACTACGTTCGCTCTGATCATGCAACATCACGCTAAGAGCTTGCAATGGGAACATGTTGAGTACCTGACCCGTCAGCTTAGGGAGACGACTGTTGAGCCGAATGCCACTATCATGAACGTCATCATGGACAACAAGTGTCGCCAGGGTGCTTACAGTGAAGCCTGGATGGTTTACAAAGCCCTCACCAACCCACGAGAGGGCAGTAAAGGCGTTTACCCAAATGGTGCAAGTCTCCGTTGTCTTTGGAAAACGCTTCGCCTAGCACTTGGAGATCACGCCACCCGGAATGATCCTACCCTGCCCACTCCTCGCGAGCTATTGAAAGAGACGATATCCTGGCGAATTCTAAGTCGCAGTCGCTACGATGCTGATCGTTTCAGAATGGGTATCGCAGGCGCCGACAAAGGAGCGATAACGTCACTCATCATGCACTGTTTCGGCTACACTCAGGACCTCGCTGGCTCGCTCATTGCCCTGCATGTTCTCCGTCACCACTTTTCCATATTTCCAACCAACAAAGCAGCCCAGATCTTGCAAAAACAAATGGCTTGGGTAGACATGGCGCGCGATTCAGAATCTGTGCGTAGTCAATATTTCCACAGTCGCTCCAACAAGAAGAATATGGAACGTGTTGTGAGAGTATACGATATTCTTTTGGAGCAGCGGTTAGCTAGGATGGATCTGAAGGAAGGAGAGTATGAGAAGTTGACTGAGGAACAGATTGGAGATGTGGGACTGAACCTGTTGAGCGAGTATGTGAGAGTGATGCTCAAGAGGAATTACCCGCCTGAGGTTGTGGAAGCTATGATTGATGCGGCGAGGCGTGCAGTAGGCGTGCCCGACCTGCCTACTGGGGACATAGATGCTTTTGAGGTGGTCTGAATGGGAGTGCTCTGAGGAAGGTTACGAGAGCACTTGATGGGAGCAAATTCGTATCCTTGATCACGTTCAACAAACTTTAGAAATTCCACTCAAACTATTATTATAACAATCATGATCCAAGATCTACAAGCTTACGGGAAAACGATCCCTGAGTCGCTCCCCAAAAATATAAAACAAGATCGGAGCGGGTGCAAGGAGTAAGCTCACGAATGCAAATGTACTGATACCCCAGCCATAGCCCAACTTCTTGAACAGCGCAGGCGCAAGGATGGGAACAATGCCACCGACTACACTGCGGAAAACAGTACCAGCTGCTATCGCGCTTGCAGCGTACTTTTCGAAGCTGTCAATAAAGTAGTTCTGCGTGCTGTTGAGAATCATGACCTGTCCGATGCCATAGAAGAATGTCGCAGCGATAGAGACGAGCCAGTGCGTGTGTTTCTCGACTGCCCAAGCAAACCAGAAGAGAGACATTGGGATAAAGACGGATCCGATGTTAGCCAGCGGCAGGCGGAATTCAGGTCGAGCTTTCTCGTGGTTTTTGGCTGTGAGTGACTTGTACACTGTATCGATGCGTGGGACAAGAAACCATACTGCAAATAGGAAGCCACAGCCTGGTCCGAGATAGAGCAGCCCAACCTGCTCAGTCGAAAACCCGTAGTCATCTTCGTAGATGGGCTGCATATTCGTGTAGATGCTGTACGTAGTGCCGAAGATGAGAGCCTGATATACCGCCATGACAGCAACAATGGGCTGCACAAAAATCTTCGGAGGGCGCTTCAAAGCCTGTGAAATCTTTTCGCGTAGGGGCCGCGCATCCTCGCCTTCATACGAGTACTTCGTGTCATCCCATTCAGCCGTTTGCGCCTCGAACTCTGCCTTCTTGCCGCTCAGAATCATGGGTGCGTACGTTTCGCGGAGGAAAAAGTATCCAGCGAGCGTGTTGATGAAGCAGACGATGGTCATGATCCAAAAGACCCATCTCCAGCCAAGTCGTTGGACGATCAGCCCTCCGAACAGGGGTCCGAGGGTGGGACCTAGAAGGGGACCAAGGAGATACCAGCCAAACACACCCGCTCTTTCGTTGGGCAAAAACATGTCGCTTATGGTGCCGCCGCCATTTGCAATGCCTACGCTACCGAAGAACCCTGTGATGCTTCGTACTGTGATCAAGAAGGCGATGTTGGGCGCAAGTGCGGTGGGAATTTGGAGGAGCGTGAAGATGCAGAAGCATGTGAGATAGATTTTCCTCCGGCCAAACGTCTCAGATAGAGGTGCGAGAATCAAGGGTCCGATGCCTAGCATAACCACGAAGCCAGTCGTCGTGCCGATGACAGCGGTTGTGGAGCAGTTGAGGTCTTTGGCGATTTGTGCAATACCTGGCGTGAACATAGATGAGACCAGGGGACTGAGGACTGGATATATTTGTTAGCCAAAGGATATGCAGGAAGAGGGTAGCTTGGTGTGTGTACTTGACATGAGGGCTATGACAGCCACATTTGCCATTTTCCGGCCTTTGGTCCATTCTCGTGGGTTTTCATCGCTGGGTAAGTCTTCGATACGCAGATGCTATCGCAAATCAGTAAATCTTTCATTTGGTGTATTGAATCACGTGTGCGAAGATGACGTACTGTACAAGGCTGTCCCTCTTCGCTATACCTCTGCTGCAATAGCGGTGCGCGCTCATTTTGTGTAGGCATGATAGTCACAGCATACGGTGGTGTATGGTGTTCCGGACGTGAAGCGCGACTGTGGTTGAGAATAGCATCACGAGCTTCTGAAATCCGGCAGCCACATCCACTGATGTGTCAAGAAAGTAGTCGTCATTGTGGCTAAAGCAATCATGCTGTTTAGCCGCGTTGGGTCGTGTTTGTGGATATCTCATCTTTGGAGCGTCATCGATATCTGCCGGGGGAGATCGGGCGATGCGCGATCGACAAGGTTCGTTTGGCCAATCATGTCAGCTCGCATTCACACCATATACATATCCCACCACAAACTTCGGGCTTCAGTGGCCGTCGCACATTTATTAAGGGCATAGATTTGGGGATTGGTATGATTACTAGAGCTGGAATTGAACCGTGTTGTTTCCATATGTTTATCGTGATGAATTGTGTGTGGTGACTTGTGCGGCCATGCGTTCGATATGTCAAGAAATACTAAACATCACTTTGACTGTCTTGTATGGAGATGAGGCTGAGAAGTTAATTTAATTATATTCAAAAGACCGCTGTGCAATAAGTCTACATCCAAATCATACAATCAGCGCCTTTGTGAGTTTAGGCAACACCTCTACCTCTACGTCGCCGCTCTTGCTTCACTGCTCTTTCTATACTGTACACAAAACTTTACATTATCGTAGTCTTCTCTGAGAACGCGTAGACCCCATCCGTCCCGTAGCCCTCTTATAAGACGACGGCTGCTACCATTCTTGAGCCTCCGTGCTTTGTACACAATGCGGAATCTTGGCACAAGATTGACCAAGGAGGCGGTCATGTAGATTGAGATCTTGTTATCCTGCAGATCTCTCCACCAAGCCTCGCTGGCGCCTTGGATTTCGTAAAGAGGGTCCATATATATCAGTTCTTCGTCATGAAATCCCTCCCAGTCCGCCCGGTCCTGCAAGTCGGCATCTGAAGGTATACATGTGCAATCTTCCTCAATGCCGGTGCCACTCCATTCTCCAGTTTGGGGGTTGAAGAACTGTTCGCAGCAGGTGCATATTCTCTCGTCTGGAGGTGGTCGCCCCATGATATCCTCAAACGGCGCGAAGCTAATACAGAAATAGGGACAGAGTGCGTTCATGCGGAATAGAAGTGTTATATCACGTTGAGAATCTTGGCCGATCTCATATTGCGTTCCAATGGTGAAACGCTCTGGTGCATGCTTGAACTCAGCAATGGTCGGCATGAAGGTCGAGATGAACGACACTGAAGCTTCGAGTCCCATGAGCCGAATGGAAGTGCTTCGCATCCAGAGCGGACGAAACTCAGCCCGAATCTGCCTACAGGTCTGTGTGAGGCCGAAAAACTTCCAGGGACGTGTTGCATATGGCTCTGGGACAGCCTCTCGAACTAGAACGTCGCCTTCTGGTGTGTCCGGTGTTCCGGCAGTGATGGCGAACTCGTATATGAAATTTCGGATCTCTTTGATATAGTCAGTAAGAACCGCTAATGTCTTGATGAGGGTGCCTACCTGCAGAGTGTGCAAGGAAGTCGTAAAAGCTTTGGACGTTCCTTGTTGTTGGTGTCATCTTGCTGGTGATGCGTAGTGATTGTAAGCTGATCTTTTGATATCGAAAAGTAGACGCACTGTGAGCTCAGAAGCATGGGCACAGTGTCAAGAATATATATGTGAGTGGGAGTGTACCAAGGTGGCCGGTCAGGTGACAGGTCAGTGAATGATATACGCCTAGCTACCTTTCACCAAGTTGCATGGGTCTCAGTGTGCGCCTCTCAGTGGTTGCCTGTCTAACATACAGTATGACGTGAAATTAACAGATAGCCACGAAATATTTTACGGGAATATACCAAATCGTGAACTGAAAAAGGGCGAGTGAGACTCTAGCGCAATCTCTTTCGAGCTTGCAACTGCAATGGAGTGAAACACGTGCACATCGTAAATTGTAGGTGAAGGGGTGTAAGTGAAGGAAAGGGTCGTGATCCAGCTGATTTATGGGTTTTGAAATCAAGGTAACGCCAGCATACATAGTAGTTACGGCAATATAAAATCGAACATCTACACAGAAGTAGTGCCAATGCCCAACAAATGTCCGCGCGGTGGCTGACAAACGGAGTCTGGTTGCTACAGGCTGGTTGCGATATCCGCACAACAAGAGAGTTGTCTGAGCCCGTAGACTGTCAAGCCTGACAAGGAGTCATGACGTGGAAGACATGACGAGAAGTTTGGGTGTCCCTTCCTCTCACTGTGGATCGCTTGACGTCCACTCCTTCCCAATGAGCGTAGAGTAATTTTGTAAGCTGCACGTGAAAACAAACACTGCCCCTAGCACCTGAATACACTCCTTCACTTTGAATTTGGACCACAATTAGTCTTCTCATTGTTTACAATCACATGTTAATTGATTGATAGCCACAATTACCAATCAGAGGCACAGCGCGGGATCTCGCGCCTCAAACCTCTACCAGGACCTCCACACAAGCCGCTAGCAGCTCCGTCATATGGAATACTATAAATGCCCGGTCGAAGATCTATGGCGAGAGGTAAATCGGCGCAAGCTGGGACTGCCCTTGAGACCCCGGGACGAGCTGAGCGAGGCTTTGGCGAACGACGACGAGCGAAGAGGATCCGAAGCAACGACGGTGGAAACCATAATCCAAGGCGGCTTCATTCCCAAAAACGTCAATCTGGGGCACACAGCCGAGTTTGGATCGACAGTCGTGGCCAACCAACTCGTCGACGAAAGTACATACAACCAGTACCATATGTGGAGACAACGAGACTGATGAGGGCTAGAAATCATCTACTGGACCATGAATACTTTCTTCCCGACCATCCAGCTCTTTTTCGAGTCCGGCCGTTCTTGTACCATCGACGGCGGCCAGCTGCCGGACGCAAGAATAGGTCTAGATTCGGCTCTTCAATTCCAGTTGACAGATTGTGCACACGAAGAGGATGGTCGTGTTACCAATTCCCTTCTCCCTACAACATACTCAGGGCCTGGAACTGGCATGGCTATCAAGGAAGTAGTCATCGCCCAACGAACCAGCATCGCGCTGCAGCCGATACACCCAGAAGACGCCAAGCGGTGGACAGAGCTAGATCGCCCTCACACGAGGATCGCAACGGAAACGCATACGGTTGTTGGAATAAGATTGAGGGGTATGGATAGGCTGGCCTACATATGGGCGAAAGTTAAAAATGCTCCGGCAACACGAGTTTGGAGCGACGTCAGGATAGCTGGGTTGCGAAACGATGTGCCAGTACCAAATGTATGGCAGCCAGAACGTCCTATAAAGCCAGGAGCTGAGAAAACCGTGGTAGTCAAAAACAGCCTGATTACGCGCAATTCTGGAGCGGCCTAGGCAGAGCCTCGTTGCGGGTGGATGCTCAGAAACACCTGGGCATCGGATATATCCCTTTCACGATGTGGCGAGCGGTTTGGGTGATAAGGTTAAGGTGAGCAAGTTCGTTCAATTAAGGGACTGATACAAGTCTGTAACTAACGTGACAGTGATATTGGAAGTGGTTCTCGGGAAACCCAGCAACACTGGAGCGATGAGTTGTTGACTTGGGTATGGATTTTACAACGTGCTACTTGCTGGCAAAAGCACGAGTGTGTACTCTGTAAATGGTTGGATAGCATCAATATAACCATTGCTATAGCTTGACGCCGCAAAGTCCACTTGGTGACTCGGCCGATGGAAGTGCATAAGAAGGCTTCAAGACTACTAGCAGCGACGAATGCTTTCTGGGACAGGGACTGAGTGTTCCACAACCAGACAACATACTCTTCACCACACCGACAAGTTAATCAACAACCCAGCATCAATCCAGCTAAGACCCATTAGCTGACATGGGAAAAAGCGCAATTCCCTCCCAAAAAAAACACCGAACACTCCTTATACCATCACTCCGACCCGTCAAGTCACAAACAAGGAAATTACCAAACAACCCCCAAACGGTCCGATAATCACCAAGCCCGTCACTTCCACGCCGATGCACCCCATTTGCTCAGCCGTAAACCCACCTAAGCACATCATCACCGCTTACCTCGGATCAAGACGGGGAAGTAACCCGCAAGCCAACTACACAAGATGGGATTGCCCGCGCCAATCCTGGTAAACAACCCAGTCGGACAACACATGTCCCTCGACCATGACGCCTACTTACGCGTCGTTTGCGCCCTTTTTCTTACCTCCCCAATAATAAACGAGAAAAAAAGGCTGTGTACAATGTCCAGCTTACGCATCACCATCTCTTCCATACCGGCATCAAGCCATCCTATTCCTCAGTTTAAAAAAAACCCCTCCATACATGCTATACCTTCCCAGATAACCACCCCACGTGACATCTTCAACCGCCAAACCCCCACGCCCAAGCCGTCTAAAAAAACACAACCACATGACGTCCAAGCCCAAATATCTAAAACTCCGACCCAACCTAACCTCCCTCTGTACCCCTGCACCCATCCAAAAAAAAGCTCAAGCAAGAAAACTCCCAACACAACAGTAACAACTCCCGATCAGAACATCCGACTCACAATCGCAGTGAAGCAAGCCAACGGTCCAACTTCGGCGCGTTGCCAGAAAAATAGCAGGATAACCCGTACCGAATGTAACGGAATTAACCCCCACGTTTGCGTCAAGCGCGGGTGTGGGGGGTGAAATGGAAACAAGGTTGAGCGACGCAACCAAAAAAAAACGTTTGCGCTGGCTTTGGGGTGGGACTGGGGACTAGGGGGTAGTTGGCGGGGAAGGGCGGAAGGTATATGTAAGGGGGGGGAGGTTTGACGAGGGGGGTCTTCCGGGTTCCGGTCGGTGAGATGATGGTGAGGTTGGAGGTGGCGGTGTGGTTGGGGTGGGATGACGAGGGTTGCGTGGATGGTCGAGGGATTGGAGGGGTTGTGTGCGATGGGCATGGTGTCCATTCTCAACATGGCCTTTTTGTCGTTAGTATGTAGTTTGGTGAGCCGGGTTGAGTGGTGAGTATGCTTCGATTGCTCGTGTAGTTAGTCTAGGGACATAGATGCGTATTTTAAAATATGTGAATGACAACACTGCAGTTATTTTAGTTAACAAAAAGATGAAGTGTATTGAGTTTTTCCCAAAAGAGTAGTGCGAGTTTAGAGCCTCATTCGGAGTCTAAATGCTCGCGATGACGCAGATGTCAAACCATAATTTCTGCAAGGTTGTGAGTTCATGGGCAACGCCTACAATGCCTCAAGTCCAATCTTCCTTCATTAGGTAATGCATCCTGCAACTCCAACACATGATACTCACAAATCAAGTTCTCGCACATGTCCTTTTCAATGCAGTCGTCTAGCTTACCTGTGTTTTCGCATTTGCCGCGATTTACTATCAGTCGACCAAATAAACCGCAACATGTCATGTATGTACTTGGACGTAAAAGGCGATTGCCAAGAGCTGGGGAAGTGCATACCGTTCAGAGAAGCAATGTGCTTTGCCGAGCTGGTTGGTTTGTAATAGTGGAGAGCGAGATTGGTGGAAGATCTGCACTGCCTTTTCGGACCGAGGTTTGGTAACATGTGCACGCTACATGGACTACATAAACGGCTGAGCGCAAGGGTCTGGCGAGGGGCATGCGACTAGAACCCCAGACGGGAAGAGTTTTTCGACATGTGGAGGTCTTCAAAACTTGGTTTGGCGTGTTGTTCGTGTCGAAATACCGAAAGAGGGATGGCTGTGATAGGGAATTGTGATTGACGCAGACGCGAACTGGACGACTGCTGAGAAGCAGTGTGCTTACTCCAAATAAATTGAAGTAAATTGATAGTATGTTGCGCAGTTACATTGAATGTATTGTTTCCGCCTTACCCGAACTATACCCGTCAAGCGCGGATAACTTCCTTCAAACCGACAATGCCGTTTTTGTACACACATAGGCTGTCTGGCAAGATCGAGTAGTATTCCCGTGCTCGCAGGTATGCCTGGTGATTCTTCGCAATGGGGTAAGACTATACGATCTGTTGAGGATCCATGATGCGTATGTGCTATACTTGGCGCAGACCGCAGACATGCGCCATATACGCGCAGCCACTGACGCCGATGGCACCAATATGGCCCGATACGACTACACTCCGGATTTGCCGCCAGAGTTGAGTAATGATATGGATCTGTGGCTTACGCGCAAGCGCTGCCCAGCAAATAACTAGGATAGACATGGTGTTTTTGGATTGTCATGGATCGATGGATTCGAAAGCTTGGCCCATACGTAGGATCCTTGCAGATACTCGCTTGCATGGGTGGGTTTGTGAAAAATCTTGACTCTAGCGTCTATCGACTGTCTGTGGCTAGACGTCAACCCTCAGTCTGTAGGAATGCATTTGGAGATGCCAACACTTGATCTACGTATTAGGGCTGCCCGGCAACTGGATGTTCCGACATCCGTAGAGAGGGGCTATTGCATTCGAGATTTTAATGGACCTATCCTATGCGAATTCGCATAGTTGTCCAAAGACGTGCAGAGCAGCAGTTTCAACATCGAGAGACACTAGCCAATTGTTGCATGGGGTTGTTTGTCTCCAATTTTGACCCCTGCTCAGGCTGCCCATCGTAATGTCAATCCATCCTATAGCATATCACTTACTCAATGATCTGCAAGGCCCAGATGCTAATACGAATTTCTCAACAATGGGACAGCCATTGATCGTGTCAGCAATATCATTCAGCTCCAACTGCGGTCTATGATTGAAATGTTGGGAGAGGCAACAACAGACGGGTAGAGATGACCCGAGCCTGAGGTCGGGGGAAGAGCGTGGGTATAGGCGACATCCCACGCCGAGACAGTGGAGAGGATCCCGTCCGATCAGCTTGGCTGAGATATGTTGAGGCTCCTTGCTAAACGGAATTGGCGTGGCAAACAAGCAGCGGCCGCAACTGCCGTTCTCCCTAATGCAGACGTTGAATGGCAATCGACCCCCACGAACAGCCATGACAAATGATCGGCAAACTACAGGTAAAGCAAAAAAGGGGGGGCGAAGACTTGAACACCAGTACCTGTAGCTGGTGTTGCCAGCCAAGGCCAGACCGAGTTTGCGATGTGCGTGTGCGCTTGGAATACCTGTGCTTGTCCTCTGTCGCTTACGCTTGCAGTATGTATAGAGGCAGTATCGGTGTGTGTGTGTGTGGCTGGCCGTGACAGATGGAAACGAGACCATGTCATGGTGACGAGTGTCAGAAATGTTTTCCGCAAAAGCATGTGCGAATGCCGTCGGCTGGGCAAGTCGCCGATGGATGTGGACATGGACGGCGGTCTGGCTTCGCAGGGTTGCATGTGCCCCGCATGATCCAAGGTGATGCCTGACCCTTATCCTCACCCCTCTTTATCGCTATTCCCGGCGTGAGACGGGCTGTTGTCGGGTGGGGAGCGGTGACTTTTTGATATGCTTGCTGGCTCATGGTGATTGATGGTGTCCGTCAGTAGCATATAGTGTTTGCGGTGAAGAAAGAAGCAAAGTAGTGCTGTTCAAAGGGGTCTCGTGATGGGTTTTGGCCAGCACACAAAGACGGAACTTGGGCAGCATCCAAGACGGCCATTCCCGGGGTGACATGCATATCTCAGGGCGTCAATGCATGGAATGGCGGTACACGAGGACAAGAGCAATGGCATGGAAAGCTTGGGGAGGCTATGCGAGTCAGAAGGCTGGTGCGGCGACGAGTTCAACGTGTGCGGCGAGTGTTCGAACGTGGTAAGAAGGCGGGGAACCAGGATCGCCAAAATGTGGGGTAATAGCGTCGGTCTTTGCTGGCTGCATCGCATCGCTCCAGGCTTCGGGGCTCGGATGGCGCTCCGAGCGAGGCTGTGCATTCTGGATGGCAGACGTTGGTCATGGGTGGTTTTGCCAGTCTTGGTCGTCTTTGTACTTGGACCGACTCGGACTTGTTCTGGGTCAAGAGACCACGTATATAGACTAGGTAAGAGCTAGCATACTTACATCCAGCTGGCGATGCAGTGGGTATAGACTTTCCAATCATCGTGCCACCATGACGGCGTCGCCGGGGTGCATGACATGTCTGTGGCAGCGCATGTTGATGAATGTTACCGCTCGCTGGACATGCGCAAGACAAAGAAGCTGCCTCCGTAGAGTAGAGTGGTATCGCCGACCCAGGAGAGTTTGGCGGGATGATTCGGAGACGGACTTTTCTGGGGCGAAGTTGATTGCCATTGTCGGGGTAAGCGACTGCGTGGGGGGGAGCCAGCGATACACCGGTTCACAGTCCACGGCGGAGGATCAGGTACCACGAGGAGGCGTCTCACCCACCCCCGTATCGTTTTGATATTGCAGAAAAAAAGCAAGGTTGGGGCCATGTCGACGGACCCTGCTCACCGCCGTCATGATGCCAAAGTCAGTTTGGACGGGGCATGTCGAGTAGGATAGTCTGCTCGCTCGGCACCTTTCCCCGCGCTCTGCCCCCTTGTTGATATGTCGACATACGCGTGTATTGACATGGTGCAAACACGTTTGCTGCCACAATTGGCCTAGATGGCTAGGTACACGATTCAATGGCGGTGATAGGACATGGATCTAGCGGTGCTGGCGGGCGAATGCGCAGTATGGAAACGTGTGTTGGAGAGCCTCAGAGGGGAGACGCTCGGGCCTGGGCCCCCCCGCCACCAGAGAGTAATGGGCGTGGGGGTTCTCCCGACTCCAATCGATCGTCATCTTGGCCAGGCTCTGCAACAACGAGGCACATGTTTGATACACACGTACGTATGTGTGTGTGCCTCCACTATTTTCGGCAGGTTTCGAGGCCATGTCATGGTCGCATGGGGATTACGGCCGCCGGACTGGTGCCGCATGGTCTGGTGACAAGAGCCTGCTTCACACGGCCTGCCACGTCTTGCAGCGTTGCTGGACAATCCTTCGTCCCCCTTGGCCTTTGCATCTGCTCTGCTGCAACTCCGAGCAAAAGGCCCGCCAAACTCTAGCGGCGGCTGGGGCGACTGGGCCTGGGGGGGGGACGAGGAGGAGGAGGAGCATCACCAGATGGTGTGAGGACAAGGACCCGCCGCACCCATTTACACCGGACGGCCACGATTCCCCCACCCCCACACTACCACGCCCGAACGGTATCCATCGACGCTCCTCTGATTCCGCCAACCCTTCGCATGGGGCCAGCAGTGGCGCCCGCCAGCCTATCACCAGACCCCAATGGACCCTCAGAGATCGTCACAAGGCGCTGCTCCCCCTTGCCCTGGCCCTTGCCCTTGGCCTTTTTTTCACATCCGGCCACGATCCGACCATCACAGCCTCCCCACCCCTGCCCTCCTGTTACTGCACGAGCGAAAAGAAACAAACGCCGCTCCAATCAGTAAGACGCCCCGTCTTCATTAGACCCGTTCAAGCCACCCAGCAAACTAAGGCCCAGCCAGCGGTGCCTGGCATCGGCTACGTGCAGGCCAGGACTGCCTCGGACAGGCTGCGCTTGTCACCGCCCCTTTGCCCTTCACCCCCAAGTGCCGGCTCATCCCTCTCGGACACGCTCGTTACTCGTTACCCTGAAATGCCTGCAGTCGCTAGCTCTCCTGACAAAGCCCGTCAGCTGGACCCCCACGCTCCTCGTTGCCCTTGGGAGAGGGTGCCAGGCCAGGTCCGGCGTTTGCAAACATTTAAGTACCTGCGCTATCTGGCTTCTTGACCAAACATCCATCCACCATTGACGTATTCGTCTCATTTTTCCTTTTCAGCGTACCGCTAGTTCTTTGCCAAAAAGTCTCGCTTCTCTTTACAAGCCTTTGCTAGTATAAAAGCCTACTTTCTTCTCCACACTCTCAAAAAAACTTATATCATGTCACCACACCACGACGCCCCTTCTCCTGCCAACAGCTTCACTCAAGATTCGGGTTTCCACCATCCTGTGCAATCTGTCTACCTGGCTGACCGCTACAACGACATCGACACCAACTCCATGACTTCTGCTGACGTTGGTATCCGGCGGGCGCTGGTCCCTGGCATCTACGTTCCTACCGTAGCATTCTTCGACCCAGCTACGGACAATGTAGATGTCGAAACGGTAGCTAGCCACGCAGTCCGTCTGGCAAAAGCTGGTGTTGCTGGCATCACCACCCAAGGATCCAATGGCGAGGCTGTCCACCTGTCGCACAAGGAGCGTGACCTCATCACAAATACTACCCGCAAGGCTCTCGACGACGCAGGTTTTGGCTACATGCCCATCATTGTCGGCTGTGGCGCCCAGTCTACTCGCGAAGCCATCGAACTCTGTGAAGAGGCAGCCTCGGCTGGCGGAGACTATGCCTTGGTACTGCCACCAGCCTACTACCAGGGCCTGTTTTCCAAGGACACTGTCAAGGAATTCTTCAACGATGTAGCCACTGCGTCTCCTATCCCCATTCTCATCTACAACTACCCAGGCGCCGTTTCGGGTCTTGATCTCAACTCGGACGTCATCATCGAGTTGGCCCAGCATCCCAACATTGTCGGCTGCAAGCTGACCTGCGGCAACACTGGAAAGCTCAACCGCATTGCGTCAGCAACACGTGCAGCCACTGTCTCCGACCCAGGCTCCGGCTTCATGTGCATGGGCGGATCCGTCGATTTCACTCTCCAGACACTAATCGGAGGTGGATCCGGCATCATCGGCGGCATGGCCAACATTGCCCCCAAGACGTGCGTCAAGCTAGTTGAACTGTTCGAGTCTGGCCACCTCGCCGAAGCACGCAAGCTCCAGGCTGTCGTGGCTAGGGGTGACTGGGCTGCCATCCAAGGAGGCATCATCGGCACCAAAGCTGGTCTCATGGCTCACTACGGCTACGGTGGTTACGCTCGCAAGCCTCTGCCCAGGCCCTCCAAGGAGGAAACCCGCAAGTGGCGAGACGCCTTTGAGGAACTCGTCCAAACGGAGAACTCCTTATAGGAGAGTGTTTTTTTCTTCGTTGTTCCGTCACGTCTCTTAACGACCCATGTTCTTTTTTACAGTCCTGCCCCCTGTTCTGCATAGGAATCTGGCGCTGAAGATTACTAGTATTTACAAAGCTTGTAATGGCGTTTTCTTTTTTTCTCTACATTTCTCATTATCTTCTTTGTCGTTTTCCTTACTGGAATCTGGAAAGCTTTGAAAAGCAAAAACGCGGATTTTTTTTACGTCTTTTGTTTGCCAAAAAGAAAAACTTGAGGTTTTCCATTTTTTTCCATTTGGTCTGCTTTTGCAACCGATTTTTTCGCATAGCAAGTTGGGGTTGGGGCGGTTCATCTGTCGTTAGCGATTTATCCATTTCTTAGCAAAACAAGATGCATTCTTAACAATGCCTCCCCAAAGAAGGAATTTTCATGAATTAAAAACATAAAAATCGTACTTACTACTGCCTGCTTGGGTGATGACTTGTCCCGTGGTTACTCGTGCTCGCCAAACTTGGGGAGATACCTTCCGTCCTGGCAGTTTCCGCATACATACATACATACATACTATTCGCAAATAGGAAATTCCCCAATCGGAACGGCCGGGGCCATAAAGAGAGGCATACATAACTCACCACACCATGACAACGACTATTTCTGCACCTAAGAAGATAAGGAATGCAAGGGAAAACTGTGAGCCCCGCTTGCTGACAGTTCTAGATTTGTGTTTGTGTACAATAGTACACCTCTTTTCCCCTTGCGCCCGAGACAGAGAGGGGGGAGGGGGGCGCAAAGTATACACGCTACCACACAAAAGCCGCGCTAGGCAATGAATGTGTAGTAAGTAGTTTCCGCCGTACATATTTAGAGAGAAAAAACGGTATACTTGCTAGCCCTTGTTTCGGACGAGAAGGGGGGGTCTCAGATGTAACTATGCAACTGCGAGTTTAATTCCTAGCGTTGCAGATTGAATGCCGATCACTACGTAGTTTAGTTCGTGAGTTGGGCGTGTGGCAGCATTTTACTCGTTGTTCGGCAAGCTGAACTTCTTTGTGTAACTTCAAAGACTGTGAGAGATTTCCCAAATGGAAAAAAAAGGGGGGAGGGGAGGGGGCAGGAGGAAGAGGTGGTCGGAGATGTTCATATTTTGTGAACAAGGGTATATGTATGTACATGAAAACTGAAAAACAACGCTCGTCATATCATCACCCCTTGCGACTTTTTCATCAAAGGGGAAAAAAAAAGATGAGCTAGTACGCTCGATGATGCCCACACTCATTAAAGTCGTTTATCGGGACTTGCCACCGTGACCGCGACCGCGCCTAGCACCACGGCCCTTGTTAAGCTTGACGGTGAAAGCGCCGCGCTCAATAGTATCTGTGGAGAAATTCTCGTCAGCATTCCAATTTTTTCTTCGTACATTCTCGAGTCCAGGGTAAAACTTACTAACGAGCACGTATCCCGAGGGAAACAAAAAGTGTGACCAAGTACCCACAAACGCAACGGTACCACCAGCAGCATCATCCTCGGGGTAGATATCAAAGAAGCCCTCGACGGTAACGCCCTTGCCGGTAGGATCCTTGCTTACAGACTTGACGTCGTGGACCCAGAGACCCGCGCCGTAGTTACTCTGGTACGCAAGGCCATCTACAATGTACAGGTTGTGATCGATAGCCTTGTGGTCAGTCGCAAAAAAGGTTCCGGTCGCCTTGGGGTTACGGAGATCGGTCAAGTCGATAATGTGGGTGACTGGGCGGCCCGAAGCAGCAGGGCCCGCGGCGTTGACTTCGTCGAGCTCGTCGTTCATGAGCACGTACTGGTGCCAGTTGCTCTCGGTCCACCAGCCCTGGTGGCAATAGGACGCACCGGGGTACGAGAGGGTGGATAGGATCTCTGAGGCTGGGTTTCCGTTCTTGAACGTCGAATCATACACGGTAATTGTGTCTTCGTTGTAGCCTATGCAGATGTTGCGGCCGCGGAAACTGCGGTCGGGGCCGTTGTACTTTACGCACTGGGCGTCGTGGACGTAGCCGTCGCTGCTTGCACAGCCGGGGGAGGTGGGCTTGCTGGGGTTGGAGAGGTCGATGTACTTGAGGCCCGACTTGCAGGTTTCGTTGCGGGGCTGGGCGCCGACGGCGAGGATGGAGTCGTGGTCCCAGTCTACGACGACGTTGTGCGTGCGGCCGATGGGGAGGTCGGAGAAGAGGCCGACGAGGTCGGTCTTGGGGTCGAAGGTCTTGGGGGAGGCGGGGTCCACAGTCAGAAGCTTCTTCATGTCGAAGACTGTCACGTGTTAGTCATATGCTATGTATGTAAAACGAGTGACTTTTCTTGAACTTACTCTGAACGTTGTGGCCAACAGCCTCAGAGCCGATAATGACCCAGTCGTTCAGAACACGGATCTCGCGCCATCGCGAACCCTCGCTCTGAGCGGGGAGACGACCAAGGTACACCATCTGGCCGTTCTTGAGAACCTCGACAAAGGCGGCGCCAGAGAACTGGCCGACAATGCCAAACTCGCGGCCGTTGGCGGCAGTCCAGCCCCAGGACGAGGATCCGCGGCCTTCTGGGCCACCCATGTCGGCATGGCTGATGAAGTCGTAGAGGTCCATCTAGTTTCTTGTAAGTACGAGAATTACTTGCTTAATCGAGTTGCAGGTCTACTGACGTTCTTGCAGCGGTAGGTCTGGTTGGCGTTTCCTGGCTCAGCGATAGCGAGGCCATCCTTGCAAGGGATGCGGGCGTCGTTCTTTCCCGGTGCCCATGCTCCCTTCTTCAAGGTAGAGAAAGAGTCCCACTGAGTGGGATCTTGCTTGCCCTCTGCCACATCGCGCTCCCATTGATCCTTTGAGACATGTTAGAATAGTGAAAACAACAAAAAGCAGTCTATAGAAAACGTACATTCTTCAGCTTCATCAACTTCTGATGAACCTGTCCAGAGGCATACTCCGACTTGGAGTAAAAGGCAGCCTGGACCGCAACAGGAAGCGCCAATGCAGCAACTGAGAACTTCATCTTGGCTACTTTGCGAGTGTGTGGAGTGCAATTGAGCTGGAATGAGCAAGTTTTCTACATAGGACTCTATGGATATATATAAAAGCCTGGTGCCCATAGAACACTCTGCAATGCTCCTATGAGCCCGCCCATCGTATTGCCACAATTCAACCGCCATACTACGTTAATGTCTTGGTAAATTGATGTCAGTCTGGGCATAATTTGGCAATCATGCTTCATGCGGAAGGTGGAAAACGGTCACGTGACTGTTATCCGGCAACGATATAGCAGGGCTTCTTCTGTGGTCCTACTGATCCATGGTCATGTAGCCGTCTCGAAGCGATGCTAACTGTTTCCAGAAGGTGATTCGTCAAGGTTCTAACTGGACGGTGTTTCGCCAAGCAGAAAAACAACCTGGATACTATTACGGCGAACCCGAATCTCACCTGGAGCGCGTTTGCTGGACTGCCCGGCACAAAGTCCGTCTGGGTTCGGCCTGCAATTCGGCCTTGGCCAGTATTACGAGCAACGCCAGCCGTGAGCGCCATAGGGGAAAGAGCACCTTTGGGGAAGGTGATGATACCCAGATGTTCTGTGTAGTGCGCGCGCGCTGGCTTTGAGCTCCGGACTCTCGGAAGTTTGGCACACCTGACTCGAGAACATCGCATTAGCCCGTCGTCCAAGAGTTTCTTCCCGTCGCTCGGCATGGAGGTTATTACGAGGTGCTGGGATGAAAGCGGCCGAAACCAGGTTGAAGGGAGATAACGCGATGGAGTGAAGATACAGAACTGGAATGTGCAAGCTGCAGTCTCTCGGCATTGAGCATTGGCATGCGCTTGCAGACGTTCCCACGGCCTGTATACTACGTCAATAAGGATAGGACCCAAGGTATTGTCAACAGGTTTGTGCGCTTATACAGAGACGATGTGTTTCTACGGCCGTTCGAGAAGGCCAGTGGTTTAGCGCCGCGGCATTCAATGCGGTACTACTTTAGTCGACCCGATCTCGTGCAAATGGTATCATACCTGTACGTGCATACCCCTAACGAAATTTGAATGTCTGTAGAGCGTCGAAAAGGAAGATGGAATAAAAAGCAGTAGAGTCGACAGAGAAGACGAAATAAGGATATGACATCCATCAAGACAAGATTGCCGGCTGTATCCCGCATTGCCGTGCTGACACTTGGCACAACCACGGCTCAAGCACGGCTCAAGCACGGCACGTGAGTATCTCACCATTCGCACGCATGTACATGTCAACAGAAGCAGCAAGTTTGGCGCTCTTCTCACCGGCTGTCGGGGACAAACAGGCGTTGTTTGGGAGAGTAGCAAACCGCCATCTAGTTGTCAAAGGTTTGCTTCCGGATCTCTCGGCATTTGTTTGCTACCTACCACTGGCTGCCAGTCACACAATAGAGCTCTTTCACGTCATATCTACTAACCCAACTCGCGCTCTTGACAGACGCCCTGTACCGCATGCGCATCCATCCACTTCTCTCACCTACACCGCATGTATTCACATGCGCTGGTGGGCGGTGAGTCGCAAGACCATCTCCCCTTCAGCTTCACGCAATCAACAACACGTTCACTTCGCGAGACGTTTCTCGCCGACCCCGATGAAGGGCAGCCACTGGGATACCGAAATAGGCTCTCCCATTGGGACTCGCCAGTGATGCAAGGGCCGCCGCCTACGCAACAAAATTATATCCCGTCACTTTCACACGACTTGCTGGTCGACTGACACCAGGGGCAGGACGCCTGACCAGACAGCTGGGGGCCAATGAGTTTCACCGTGAAGGAACCAATCGGACCGGTGAGGGAACGTCGTCAGCCTAAAATTTGACTGGTTGGAATTCGCAACACCATGGTCTTTATGCTCAATTCCACCACAATTGCCTCAATTGATATACTAGTGGGAAGTCTTTTATATATATCCAAATTTCTTGTTTTCTACGACGTACGACCATTGCAAGTTTCCAATTTTGCAATGGAAAGGACAGAAATAACAAGTGAGTTGCAGACGGGCAAGTCTTCCCTATTGAGGAAAAACACCCTGTCGGAGTTCGCACAAACTATTTTAGCGGACACAGACATCAGCAACGAACGCAGTGGGAGTAAGGAAAGAGGTGTTATATCGAAAGAAACGCAGGCGAGCCTTGACGGAATACCAGAAGAACTTCTCCTATACATCTTGCAGCACTTGAAGGACCAAAAGGATGATCTGGCCAGACTCTGCCGAGTGGATAGGCGCTGTAAGCGGATTTCACAAGAGCTGTTATATGGAACTGTAGGGGGTCTTCAGCCGCATCATGAGGATGCGCATGCGATTTCACAGTGGCCCGCACTGGCTAGAAATGTGCGGACTTTGGTATACGCATTTACAGATTCGGAAGACAAGGAGTCCGAGAGAGAAGTTTTTCTCAGTGTCCTCAGCAACGGGCACAATATTCGATGGATGACGTTGGGAGTCGACCACGCCAAAGCCAACAACGACGAGCCAATGAGTGCAAGGAGTACTACGGCGGGTTGGCTAAGATTATTCAACCAAGCCATATACCCCTCACTGGAGCCTCGCAACCAATTCTCCAAACTCACACACCTCTGTATCAAAGCCAGACCCCTGGCATCAAGGGATTTCCCAATCGAATCCCTATCCAGCCTCTTCCGCCTGCCCTCCCTCCTACACCTCCAACTGGATGGCTTCCACCAAACTACGCCCTTCAGGACATGGCCTATACCGACTTCCACAAGCCCCATCAAAGAACTCTTCCTACACCGCGCAATGCTAGACATATCCGCCTTATCCAACATCCTCATTTCCATTCGCTCCCTCTCCCACTTCGAATACAACTTCCACACCGCCCCCTGGGAGCCCTTCGCCGCAGAATCCAACCCGCTATCCATCTTCCCTGAGCACTCTTGGAGCCAGCTAGGCACCGCACTGCACCACCATCGAACATGCCTCGAGCGTCTCTCGCTCTCCGACGCTTCAGACGTCGGAATTATCGAGACGGTTTACCCCGAGGGTCACGACTTCGGCATCCTGGGCTCGTTCAGCGAGTTTGACTGCTTGCACAGCATGGCTTGTCCTCTCGACGTATTTGTTGATGTTGCCTACGCAGTGGATACGGAGTTCTCGGCGCTGCTTCCGCCACAGTTGGAAGCATTCAGTACGATTGTGCGCGAGAAGGAGGCAGATGAGGCGGCGGTACCCGTGGAACTTGTGACTTCCCTACGTAACGCTATAGGAACGAAGAAGCCGGAGGTATCCGTGTACTTTCAATATATACAGAGATGCCAAGTACGGACTTCACAGCGCCTGAGCGACGTAGCCAAGCGCGCAATGGAAAATGGAGTTGTATTATTCTTCAAGGATGGGGAGAAGGACCACGAGGCGTGGGTTGTGGGACAAGAGGGTGTAGAGGAAGACGACGATGATTCCATGGAAGACGAGGACGAGGATGTCAATGACGAGGATGTCAATGACGAGATTATGGACCACGGAGATGAGGGGTGACCCTATTCTTCCGCGCCTGATGTCTCTCCATCCCGAACTCCCCGGGGGAAAGCCACCGGGAATATTGTCCCCTGCCGATACGAATACGGATACGGATACTTTACCATCCGGGGGCCTTGTATATTGAGTGTCCTGAACTCCACTTTCTTGACACTACGCATGGTCTGGAACCGCGACACCCTAACCCAATGCACCCGGAAGAACATGGGACGTATAACAGCACGCCCGCTGTCATGTCAGAAACAGTATCTTTGCGACTACAGGATGTATACAATCAAGTAATCCGTTCAATATGGTGTTGATATCACCAAAGGGAAACATCTGGACATCTTCGCTGCCAAAAGACGACCATTCCGCACCCTGATCCAGATCGCCGCGCCAAGGGCGAGACATTTTCTTACCAGAGGAATTATATTGTCGTGAGCAGCCTACGGGTCTGCCGCTGCGCCTCTCTGGTGCAGGATCGTGCAGGAAGTGGGCGAAGAGTGCGTTGCTGGCGTCATGGACAGCTCCAATCGCAACGAGACTATCAAAGGATGGAGAGACCGCTATGATCCCGTCAGCTACGACCACAATAACGGCGTTTGGTTCATGGTGGCGGAGACGAATATAGACATGTTGCATGTTGTTCCAGCAACAACAAGGCCGTTTTGTTTCCTCTAATCTTGTTGGAGAAAAACAGCCAACTGCAAGACTTGATGTTGTAGCACGCGAACGTGTTCACATATCCACCACCGAGGTTGTTTCTTTTTTTTTGTTCTCGGATGGTGCAGAACTAAGGGATCTGAATATGTTATAGACGATATGGAAACGATGTTGCAGATGCAACGATTTTACGATGTAAATGAACAAATATTGGAATACGAGAATTCATCGCCTGATTGAAATTTTCAAACTCGAGAGTTTCCTAAACTGTTGCTTTTGCTGGGAACTTATTTTCATTGACTTTGCAAGGATGGCTATCAGCGACTTAAGGGGAAAGAAACTCAGGAATACAAGCGACTGGGAACTAGGATAACAAGATACACAGGGGGAGGAAGACGTGTGCCCTCCAATACCATACTAAAATACAGGGCAAAAAAGAAAAGAACAATTTTACCGCCTACTAAGGGCATACCGAAGAGAAATCCATAGGGTAAACTAATCTTCCGCATTCCTTGCGCTAGTAGCGCCATACGCAGTCGTAGGTTTGCTAGCGCGACCAGTAGCATCACCCCATGCAGCACCGAACCTGCGGCCGGTGCTTGCAAGTAGACCTTCTTCCTCTTCCTCCTCGAGGTCGCGATCAATTTGCTCCTGGTCGAGGGTGGGTGCCCTGAATAGCGTAGTGACAAAGACAATGAGGTAGATGCCCAAGAAGGCGAATTGAGCCCAAAAGAGAACGACACCGAAGAAGGGGAAATTGATCGTGACGCGGTTAATAAAGGTGCTAAGGACAGAGGGGGTGCAGACCTGCTGGGCCGAGGGGTTGGTAGCAAGTTCGCTGCAGGGCTTGATGAGGTCCTTGTGCTCGGCGCAGTCGGGTTGCTCGTCAAGGCTGTTGGTCTTCATGTCGCAGTAGGTTTGTGGGCCCCAGGTGGCGTACTGAGGAGCAACGACCATGGCGACGGAATAGTTGATGGCAAGAACAATGAGCGTCAGGAGCACAGTAGCCATAAGGAGAGCTTGAGGTGAAGTGTGGCCCTTGCGAATCTTGAAAATGGTGATCCAGAGGAAGCGGATGCCGACCGTAGCGATTCCGACAACAGAGGCGGAGAAGAAGAAGAGGACAAGGAGCAAGAACAGAACATAGTCGATAGGGAAGACCTTGGAAGACTTGACAAGAATCCAGTTGAGAGGCTGGAAGATGTTGATGTGGCCGAGGATGTATCCGCAGTGAGCACCGCAGATGGAGTTCTTGGCCTTGTCAATGCCAGTGATGAGCATACTAGCAAAAATAACAAGGGCAAAGACGAGGAGGATGAGGCCGCCAAGGAGCTTGAGCGGACGGAAAAAGGCCTCTGTCCTAATCCAAGCCTTGACAATCCAATGGCGGTCCTCACCACTGGACTCAGCAGCCAGGCGTTCGCGGCGGATCAGAGTGCGTTCTTCGCGAACAAGGGCTTCAAGCTCGCGCCTGTCCCTGCTATCCAATCCACCCTCACGGCCCTGGCTGCGGCCTTCAAGCTGCCTCTGGCGCTCACGGTTGGACTCTAGTTGAGAAGCAGTGTTCGCGGCAAGGGTGGGGGCCGAGATGGAAGGTGCCGACTTGATCATAGCAACAGGCAGTAGCGCCATACCGGAGCCTGTGTAGAGTACATAGAGTACGGTTCCCACTGTGATGAGTAGGCCGAGGGCAAAGGATAGAGCGCGCTCGCCATCTGGAGGGCTGTTAGCTTGTGTGTCTGAAGTGCGCCTTGGCTGTGCTTACGGTTCTCAGACAGGAGGTGCTTGAAGTAGTCAAGATCGAGGCGCTTGTCGTCCTTGGCCTGCTTTGCAAAGGGTACGAAGAAGCCTACAAGGAAGATGGCGACGACAAAGACAAGGAAACCAAGCGTCCACTTGATGGCGCCGCCAATGCGCTGGCCGGCAGTCTGCTCTCCGTGCTCGGCAGCATCCTCGTCGTATTCCTCATACCAGAAGTAGGTAAAGGGAATCACAAGTAGGCAGAGAACAGCGTCAAGAGAGTAGAGCGAGTAGTAGACAATGCGCAGAGTGTAGAGAATGCTGTCGACCTTGTCCGGTGTGGCCCAGTCCTTCTTGCGGCCTAGGCTGGAGCGGGACGTGGACGAGACGAGAGCGACATCAACGGGGATCAGCAGGACCGTAGCGAGCAGGGCAAGCGTAGTGAAGATGCAGACAATGGTGACAGCGGCAGCGCGATCGCGCGGCTTCTGATAGACGTAGACGAAGGTGGACGCGATGAGGAAGAGGAGGCCCACGGCGACGGCGTAGGCCACCCAGATGAGACTCGTCTGGATGAGAGCCATGATGGATGTCGCGGAACTGGAATTAGGAAAAGCGATGCAGAAAAGAAAAGCGAAGGCAGATCGCAGGCCGCCTTTTTGGTGTTTTTTCCTGTTTCCTGGTAGTTTGGCGTGCGCCGCTAACAGTGGTGGTACATGGTGCTGTTACAAACCAGCGGCAGCAGCATGACGTCCCTGTCGCGTCGCAGAGCGGGGATGATGCATGCAGCCTAGCAGACGCGTTAGCCACATCGGGCCCGCGTCCATGCACGCATACCCACACTTCTCTCTCCACGACGCGACTCAACACCAAGACAAAGCATCGCGGGCGCTGTCCCCTCCAGCTCCGCTCACCTTCACCCCGCCCTCCAAATTGATCTGAGCGGAGCCATCGCCATGCAGTGCTACACGGAAATAGCCCCGCCCACGGCTGTCAGCCATGCCCTCCACCTCCCGCTGCTGCACGCCAGGGCAAACAACCTGGTCGTCGCAAAGAACTCATTGCTGCAGGTCTTTGAGCTCAAGTCAACCACAACTGAGGTCACGCCGGGCGGAGGAGACGAGGCGGAGAATGCAGCCGCCAACTTGGACACAGAGGCGGCCGATGTGCCCTTGCAGCGCACTGAGAGCACTGCCAAGCTGGTCCTGGTAGGCGAGTTCCCTCTCACCGGCACAGTCGTGTCGTTGGCGCGCGTGAAGGCGCTCAGCACAAAGTCGAGGGGCGAGGCGCTGCTGGTGGCATTTCGGGATGCAAAGCTAAGCCTGGTGGAGTGGGATCCCGAGTCGTACAACCTCCATACAATATCAATACACTACTATGAGAACCCAGACTTGCCCGGCATTGCTCCTTGGTCCGCTGATCTCAAAGACACGTACAACTTTTTGACGGCAGACCCCAGCAGCAGATGTGCCGCCCTCAAGTTTGGCTCACACAATCTCGCCATTCTTCCCTTTCGCCAGCGTGATCTCGTCGACGATGACTACGACTCGGATGCTGATGGGCCCAAAGAGTCCAAGCCTGAGCAGCAATCTGCATCGGGGTCTCACACAACGCCTTATACCTCGTCCTTTGTCCTGCCGCTCACAAACCTCGACCCCACCCTTACACACCCCGTCCACCTCGCCTTTCTGCACGAGTACCGCGAGCCCACGTTTGGCATCGTCGCTGCCTCTCGAGACACGGCCCCGTCATTGCTCGCCCACCGAAAAGACATTCTCACATACTCCGTCTTTACGCTTGATCTCGAGCAAAAAGCCTCGACTACGCTCTTGTCCGTCTCTGGACTGCCGTACGATATCACCAGAGTGGTTCCGTTACCTTCACCCATTGGCGGTGCTCTACTAGTGGGATCAAATGAGATTATACATGTCGACCAGGGCGGCAAGACAAACGGCGTGGCTGTGAATGAATTCGCTAAAGCCTGTACTTCCTTTCCTCTCAGCGACCAGTCAGACCTGGCTTTGCGCCTCGAAGGCTGCAGTGTTGAGCTTTTGTCTCACGAGGCGGGTGACGTGCTAATCGTGCTCAACAATGGACGTCTTCTTGTACTTACCTTTACGCTTGATGGCCGTACCGTATCAGGCATGACAGTCCACCCTGTTGCAGCAGACCACGGCGGTCACCTCGTCAAAGCCGCCGCCTCTTGCACCAGCAACCTCGGACGAGGGCGCCTCTTTGTTGGAAGCGAGGATGGAGACTCGGTCATGCTGGGGTGGACTAGCACGGCAAGCCATCTGCGACGAAAGCAGTCCAACGCGAACGTCGACACGGACGAGGACATGTCTGATGAAGAGGATGTGGAAGACATGGAAGATGATCTTTACAATGATACGGCCCCTGCTGTCCAAAAAATTACGGCTGCTGCTTCGGAGCCTACTGCGCCGGGCACCTACACATTCCGCATACATGACGTACTGCCAAGTATAGCCCCAATCAAGAATGCCGTCCTACACCCAGGAAAGGATACCGAGTCATTGAATAGGGGCGAGATAATTCTTTCGACCGGACGAGGGGCTGCTGCTGCGATAACAGCCCTGAATCGTGAGCTCCATCCCGTCACTGTGGCTACAAGACAACTCCCTTCAGCACGCGGCACTTGGGCTGTGCATGCCCGGAAACAGGCACCTGGAGATGTCACTGCTGCTTTTGGTGAAGACATGGAGGCCAACATGGCCACTAATGTAGACTATGACCAGTATCTCGTGGTATCCAAAACTGGCGAAGATGGAACCGAGAGCACTGTCGTGTACGAAGTCAATGGTAACGAACTCACTGAAACTGACAAGGGTGACTTTGAGAGAGAAGAAGGCTCAACGTTGTTCGTTGGCGTACTGGCAGCAGGCACAAAGGTTGTGCAGGTAATGCGAACTGAGATTCGTACTTATGACTCTGGTAGGCTCCAGCCCCTGTGCAAAACATCCTGTGCAATAACTAACCAACCCTTTAGAACTTAACATGGATCAGATTCTGCCAATGGAGGATGAAGAAAGTGGCAACGAGCTCAACGTCATCAATGCTAGCTTCGCGGACCCATACCTCTTAGTCCTGCGCGAAGACTCCAGTGTTAAGATCTTCAGAGCTACTGGCGATGGCGAGCTGGAGGACGTCGAAGCCACCGGCTTGTCCAACTCACAATGGCTTTCAGCGAGTCTATTCAAGTCTGCTAGCTTCACAGAAGTTTTTGCTTTTCTCCTCACACCCGAAGGAGGCCTTCGTGTATTCGCAGTGTCAGATATGGAGAAGCCATGTTATGTTGCCGAAGCTCTGAGTTTCCTTCCACCTGTTCTGGGCATGGACTATGTCCCCAAGCGTAGCGCCATCAAGGCTACGATTACAGAGATCTTGGCTGCTGATCTGGGCGATGCAACGACCAAATCACCACACCTAATCATCCGCACATCGAGTGATAGCCTCGTCATCTACAAAGCTTTTCACTCTCCGTCACGTTCAGCTGCTGATCTGTGGACCAAGAATTTACGATGGGTCAAGCTTTCTCAGCAACATATACCACGATACACTGAAGACGGCGGTGCAGAGGATTCTGGATTTGAGAGTACTCTCTTGGCATTGAGCGACATTGGTGGCTACAGTACTGTCTTCCAACGAGGCACTACCCCGGCATTTATCTTCAAAGAGTCGTCAAGCGCGCCGCGTGTCATTGGCCTGAGTGGAAAGCCGGTAAAGAGTCTGACATCCTTTCACACTTCCAGCTGCCAGCGTGGTTTCGCTTACCTAGACTCTACCGATACGCTCCGTATCTCTCAACTACCATCACAGACGCACTACGGTCACTTGGGCTGGGCAACACGGCGTATGCCTATGGATGCCGAAATTCATGCTCTCGCCTACCATTCTTCGGGCTTGTATATCGTTGGGACAGGACAGCCAGAGGAATATCAGCTTGACCCGTCTGAGACTTATCATTACGAACTCCCCAAGGAAGACATGAGCTTTAAACCAACTATTGAACGTGGCGTTATCAAGTTACTGGATGAGAGGACCTGGACTATCATCGATACGCATGTTCTCGATCCACAAGAGGTAGTCCTCAGTATCAAGACACTTAATCTTGAAGTCAGCGAGAATACACACCAGCGTAAGGATCTTGTTGCAGTGGGCACTGCGATTCTCCACGGTGAGGACCTAGCCACCAAAGGCTGCATCCGTATATTCGAGGTCATCACTGTAGTTCCCGAACCAGACCGTCCAGAGACCAACAAACGCCTCAAGCTCATTGTGAAAGATGAGGTTAAGGGCGCCGTCTCCGCAATCTCAGAGCTTGGTACACAAGGATTCATGATCATGGCCCAAGGACAAAAGTGCATGGTACGAGGTCTCAAGGAAGATGGCACTCTTCTTCCTGTTGCCTTTATGGATATGCAGTGTTACGTCAGTGATTTGAAGAATCTGCCTGGCACAGGTATGCTGGCTATGAGCGATGCATACCGTGGTGTATGGTTTACGGGATACACTGTAAGATTCTTTTGTGTAATGATGGGTAAGCCAATTGCTAACCATTGAATAGGAAGAGCCATACAGAATGTCTCTCTTCGCACGATCAAAACACAGTCTCGAAGCCATAGCCGTCGACTTTATCCCCTTCGAAGAACAACTCCACCTGCTCGTCGCTGATGCAGATATGAATCTGCAAGTCCTACAGTTCGATCCTGACAGTATGTTCACCATCACCCCTTGCCCCACCCTTCGCACCCTACTGACCATGTCCACCCTGCAGACCCAAAATCTGAAGCTGGATCCCGCCTCCTCCACAAATCCACCTTCCACACCGGCCATTTCCCCGCAACCCTACACGTCGTCCATTCGCGCCTTAGAATGCCCTCAGCATCCGACTTCGCCGGCGCAAACAACAACGAAGATGGCGACTTTGAAATGGACACCTCGTCTCCCGACGACAAAACCACGCAACCCCTCCATCAAATCCTGTGCACATCTCAATCCGGCACGCTGGCCCTCGTCACCCCGCTAAGCGAAGATACGTATCGTCGCCTATCCAACCTCAGTGCGTACCTGTCCAATACGCTCGATGCAACTGCAGGACTGAATCCTCGTGCTTTCCGTGCGAGCGATACACCGGATGGCGGGTGGGACGCTGGGACTGGTGCTAGGGGCATGCTGGATGGGAATTTGCTGATGCGGTGGGGAGAGCTAGGCGAGAGGGGACGGAGAGAAGGACTGGCAAAGTATGGGGAAGGCGAGTGGATGTTTTGGGGCGAGAGGGAAGTGCTTGCTGGTTGGGGAGTGTTTGGGGGTAGGGGCAAGTGAGAGTTAGGAAGTGAGGGGGTTTGTTGTATTGGGTATTCTGGGATGAGAAAGGAATGAAAATTACTTATGATTGTTATCCGTCCGCGTTTTGTTACATGAGATGATGTATGCTGTGCCGAGTGACTTTAGCACTTCACTCCGTTCATTTCATCCAAAGTCTAATTCGTAAAACAAGAAGAGCAAGAATCGACATTGCGGATTCCATCGGTCTATATAACCAAATTAAAGGAGAAAGTACTAAAGAGAGAAAAAAAGCTCTTAAAAGAACCGTGCTTTGGTATCCTAGGCTTCTTCTTCTTCTATCTTCTTTCTCTCGCTCGCTGTCGTCACGTTCGACGCAAAACAGGCTCATCGTCATCACCACACCACTACCACCACCACTGATGCATCCATTCATCAGATCATAAAATAACACACCGCAAAACCAAGAAAAAAAAACAGAACAAAAGACTCCCACGACGCCGAACCCTGGGATACAAACACGCACACCTTTCTCATATTTTTCCTCGGCGTGCGTTTTTTTCCCCAATTGAAACCGTTTGCTTTCCATGGTAAGTGTCGTGTTCGTAATCTCATACCACTGTATCTATCCCTTCGCAGGCAATAAAAAAGTATGTGCAGCAAATAGTTTACTGTGATGCACACTGGACGCGCTCAGCACCGGGGTGCATTTCGTCTTCGTCGTCTTCCATGCCGCCCATACCGCGTGCACGTGCACCCTCACCGCCCTGCTCAACGTCCTCGAGGGTAAAGTCCTCGGTCATTGCGTCTGGTGGAGGCATGACGTCCGGAACCTTGCGTGGTGGTAGGACCGACTCGAGGGCGCGGATCTGCTCAGGGTTCATCGGCCCGCCTTCCTCGTTGCCGAGGCGCTCGGGGAACTTGACGTCGAATTGGATGTACAGGTTACCAAAGTCGTGGTGTCGGTATGATGGCATACCTTGGCCGCGAATCACCTTGACCTCGCCAGGGCTGATGCACTCACCAGGGATGATGTCAACGGTTAACCATCGCTCATCCAGGTGCTCAATGTGGATCTGGCCGCCAGCAAGCGCCGTCAGCAGGTCAATCTCGGCGTGGTAGAAAAGGTCGTCGTCCTTGCGTTGGAAACGCGGGTGGGGCTTCTGCTCAATTTCGAAAACAACGTCGCCTGGCTCTACGCCTGGCAGCTGGTCACCTTCGCCCCGGAACTCGATCTTGTGGCCGCTCTTAACGCCACGGTCAACGTGGACGTGTAGGACCTTGCGCTCGATAATCGTCTTCTTGCCGTTGCACTGCTTGCATCGGTCCTTGTCGCGGATAATTTCTCCCTCTCCCTGGCAGTCTGGGCACACAGTCTGGAAGCGTTGGATCATAGGACCCATCTGCCTCATCATGTGCTTCATACCGCGACCGTCACAGCCAGCGCACTTCTTGACAGCGCCCTCCTTGCCGCCGACGCCGTTGCACTTGGGGCAGATGACCGACTTCTGAAGCGCCAGCTTGGAGACCTTACCGCGGTAGACGTCCTCAAGTGATACCTTGTGGACATGGGAGATTGTGCGCGCCTTCTTGGGTCCTTGTTCGCGTCCACCTCCCATGCCACCGCCGAACATGCCGCCAAAGGGGCCGCCGCCGCCGCCAAAGAACTGTGCGAACAGGTCCTCAGCAGCCATGCCACCTCCGCCGCCCATGCCACCTTGTTCGAGACCCTCCTCACCATACTGGTCGTATATTTGGCGCTTCTGGGGGTCGGAGAGAACTTCGTAGGCGTGTGAGAGATCCTTGAACTTGTCTGCAGCCTCGGGGTTGTGTGCGTTCTTATCGGGATGCCACTTGAGGGCACCCTTCTTGTATGCTGACTTGAGTTGTGACTCGGAGCAGTCTGGCGATACCTGGTTCTGTTAGGCTACATTCTTTTGTGGGTACAGAGCAGGGCTATGCTTACCCCGAGGGTATCGTAAAGCTTGGTATCCTTCACCATGGTTGCGGTTGCAGGCTGTGCAGTGATGTAGAGGGGCTAGTGGGGTCGCAAAAAAAGTCGGACTGAGGGGCAGTATAAGAGATACGGGTGAGTGATGTAGAGCGTGAGTGGTAAAGTCTGGGGGAATCTTTTATATGGTCAGCGTCAGGCCATTGGGTTGTGGTGCGCAGCGGCGTACGTAGACACAACAAGGCCAGCCTTGTGAACGGCGGCCCGGCAGTGAAGCCAGGAACAGGGGGGCAAAGGGAAGGAAAAGCACTTACCAATCGTCGCCACAGAAAGGCAAAACGGGAAGAGGCGAGCACGGGGATGTGGCTCGAGACAGTGGGTGTATTATTTGTGTGGAAGCAGATGGTGATGGCCGGCCGCCTGTGGACTTAAAAGTAGTAGTTGCAAATACACCGGCAGCGCCGAGCGAGAGAAGATTCCAACCCATTCCACGGCCTTCCATGGGGCCTCGCCAGCCCAAGATAGCCTCAAAACACCCGTCTGTCTGCCCAAATTGCTCGCCAGGCCCCAGAGACTCGACAATTCACGATAATTCAGCCATGATCACCTTTGAACCGCCATTTCTACATCAAATGCACATGTCCTCGGTGCTCAATTCTTAGGAAAGTTCCAATGAACGCACGCTCGGACCATGCCCTCAGCAACCAATCGGGTGGCAGTCGATCGGTAAGGCTCTTGTTTCCAAGATTGGCGATGCAGGAGGACCCTTTTTGCCCTTGGCTCGTGGCGCCATCGTGCAGAAGCCAACCAGGAGAGAAAGAAAAAAATGGTGAAAATTTTGGTCATGAGCTACGTAGTCATAATTCCTGCGACCGACGAGCTCAAGGACTGAAGAATACTGGTCAAAGCCAAGGCTGGTTTCATTTGGGCTACAAGAATGCGCAGCCCTGCGACATGAGACATACATATGTACATATGTCATATAGAGTGCAAAACACGTGCAGGGACAGGGCTGGCAGCCTGATCGTCATCTCCGTGGAAACCATGTCGGTCTGGTTTCGAACATCTCGTCTTGTCATCCATCCTGCCATCACATGACGCATCTCTCACCCCACTGTGCATCACTAACACATCGAGGCGCTGACGACATACATAGGCAGAGCTCTGCGTGCTTGGCAGGAACCCAAAGCCCGCCTCACTGGCGGAACAGCCTTGGCCAGCCTAATACAGCTAGGCTTCTATATTAAGCCTTTGTCAGTCGGTGGATCTCTTCAAAGTAGAACTTAAGATCATCCGGCTTGACAAACGGGGTGATGCCTGCAGAATATTAGCAACCAAAGCGACGGAATGTAACATGTCAAACAACATACCGTGACCAAGGTTGGCAATCCATCCCTGCTTGCCGCCGCCGAAGCCAGCCACCATCTCCTCGACTACCTTTGTGATGGATTCCCTGCTACCATACAAGACACCGGGGTCCGCATTTCCCTGTAGCACCTTGCCCTTTGCCTGCGCTACCTTGTATGCCTCTGCCGGTGCATGGAGCCAGTCCAGTCCGATCGTGTTGTACTTTGTCTCGCAGAGGTCCGCCAAGGCATACCACGCTCCTTTGGCAAACACGGTCATCGGGACGGGCTCCAGCCCTTTGGACCGGAGACGCTCCGGGAGATTGTCAGCAATGTAATTGAGGTATGGAAGAGCGAATGTCTTAAATGACGACGGGGATAGCTCGCCGGCCCATGAATCAAAGACTTGGATCATCTGCAGTGGTCAGCGTCATGCGTCCGAGTGTTACCGTGCTTCGTACCTGAGCTCCAGCTTGTACCTGCAGAGCAAGATACTCGACACAAAGCTCTGCAATCTTTTGTAGCAGCGCCTTGCTCTCCTCTGGGTACTTGTAGATCCATGTTTTGGTCTGGATAAACATCTTGCTACCTCCACCTTCAACCATGTAGCACAGCAGGGTCCAAGGCGCACCGCAGAAGCCAATCAGCGGTACCCTTCCCGCCAGCTTTTGTCTTGTGAGAGTAATGGCCTTGTAAACATAGTCGAGTGATTCCGCAACATCCACCTCTCTCTCAAGCACTTCCTTGTACTGTTTATCATCCGGAGTTTGTAGTGGTTCCGGGAAGTGGGGTCCCTTCTTGTCCACCATTATCACCTCCATGCCCATAGCCTGAGGAATGACGAGGATATCGGAGAAGATGATGGCAGCGTCAATGAGGCCCGCGTAGCGCTCAATCGGCTGGAGGGTGAGATTCGACGCGATTTCGGGGCTGCGGCAGCATTCAAAAAAATCGTTGGTGCCCTTTTCCTTGTGGTACTCGGGGAGATAGCGCCCGGCTACGCATCATCAGCGCCTGAGGGTCTTCGACGACGAGAGTCCGTACCTTGCCGCATTACCCATATTGGCGGGCGCTCGACCTTTTCGCCTGTGCAATGTCAATTTCATGATGTCCATCAGGAATAGCGGAGGGTCGTTGACCTCTCGCTGTGCGTAAGATTAAGTCATTCTTCATAGGCTCAAATTGGGGCGCCATTTTTGTTGTGAATGGAAGCAGATGGAGCGGATGCACACTGAAGTATCGTCAGCGGCTTGACTTTGGACATTCCGAGTACCCCGCGTACTAAAGGTCCGATGAGCTAACCGGATGCAGACGCGTCCCTGCATTTCGACCATTGTACCCCACCCATATTCCCTCTACACAACTTAAAAAAACGAGGATGCTCTGCAGGCGTGCCAAATGTCTGGCGCGTTCAAATCCGTCAACCAAAACCAGGATTCCGTCGGTTGCTTACAGACCATACACTGCCATTACAAGTCTCGTCCCAAGCTCAACGCGACCCTTCGCGAAACCACGTGCAGCGCAGCATGCGAGTCTGCCATTGCTTCAAGCATTCCAACGCCGTGGCGCAAAAAGAAAAACTATTTTGCAATTGGACGATATACAACAAGGCCCTATTCAATCCGAGGCGCTACTACCCCAGAATGACGCCGAACCAGAATACCCTCCGCTATTGCAGCAAGTGCGCAACAACATGCTCAAGTTCAGCCAATGTGTGCTCCTCACACGCGTCGGGGGCTTCTACGAGGTACTTGACTAACATATCCGATCCACTGCAATCCTTGCTAAATTGACGCTCAGCTATACTTTGAGCATGCAGATGAGTTTTCACCCCTGCTAAATATCAGAAAAACTAAAAGAAAGGCCTTGAAAGGCAGCAAGAAGCCTCCGGTATCTATGGTAAGTCAACAGCCCATTTTCCCAGCAAAGAAAAACGGCGCTAATAGTCCTAGGCTGGCTTCCCCGCTTACCAGCTGGATCGTTATCTCAAAATCCTTGTCCAGGACCTCAATAAGCATGTTGCAATTAGCGACGAGTATGTCAATGATGCGCCAACTAAAGCAAAGGGTGAGCCACAATACACAAGAAGAGTTTCGCGCATTGTGACGCCAGGCACCCTCATTGATGAGCACTTTATGGATCCATGGGAGAACAACTACCTTCTTAGTATCCATGTAGATCCAGAAGTGCTTAGGAAAGAAACTGCAGTAAAACAGAGCCCTGGCAGTGCAAGCGTTTCCTCGGTTCTCAACCTACCGCGTACTGAAGTCGGACTCGCATGGATCGATTTATCCAGCGGCGACTTCTTGACCCAGAGTACAGACATCGCGTCCCTGCCCTCAGTGCTCGCTCGTATCAAACCGAGGGAGATAGTATTGAGTAGTGTCTTCCAAGAGGCTGATTACTCTGACATTGTTTCTGCCATACAACAAGATGGACATACAATTACTTTCCAAGATCCCCCTAAAACGCAACTGACTGTTGACAACTGGAAACCCATGTTGGAAGAAATTGTGGGTGATTTTGGCATGGCTGATTTCACGCCTGGTGAAGTGGCTGCAGGAGGTTCATTGCTACATTACGTCAAGCATCAACTGTTTGGTTCGCAAACACGGCTTCAGGCTCCGATAAGACACCAAGCCGAAGACTATATGAGCATTGATAAGAACAGTCTGAGAGCACTAGAGATCAGGAGTACTATTCGTGATGGAACATACGAAGGAAGCCTTTTACACACTCTAAAGAAGACGGTCACGAAGAGTGGAACAAGGCTACTTACGCAACGCTTGTGTAAGTACATGACCAATAACGTTCTTTGGAAATTACTGACGACACGAAGCTGCCCCTTCTATGTCTCTTTCAACCATCAATGATAGACTCGATCTGGTAGAAGAGATGATACAATACCCACAGCTACGTCAAAACATCATCGCACTACTAGAGCAAACGTTCGATTCGCTTCGGCTGGTGACCAAGTTCACCTACGGCCGTGGGGACGCCGATGACCTCATGGAACTTTCGAAAACAATCATTACGACCTCTGCCGTATTTAATGAGTTGCGGGAACACGCGAAATTCAGAAATTCCATTCCGGTTGACTCAACAAATGCAACGTCTGACACTAGACGGAGGCTGTGCATTTCAATGCTAGAACGCCGATTCGATCTAGGCTTGCCACTCCAGCTCGCGCACCGAATCCAGGAAGCTATCGACGAGGAAAGCTTATCTGAGTATCATCGCATCGAAAACGAAGAGGCTGAAGAGATGTCGGAACTAGCCCAGGACGTGCTGGGTCGAGAGGCTGGCGAAGAAGATTTGAAGAACATACCAAAGCGCGTCCAACCTAAACCCCATATGATCACAGGGAGCTTCAAGAGCGCCACAGATGGGAGAGAGGATGTCCACATCATGAAACACAATGCTAGCAAGACTCTGGAGCGATTGCATGAGACCCTGGAAACATTGAGACAGTCTAAAAGCGAATTGGAAAGTAAATTGCGCAAAGACATGGGAGCTGAGAGCTTGGTGTTGAAATGGACTCCTAACCTCGCTCATATTGCGCATGTCAAAGGAAAAGACATGTCTCGAGTGGCGCATCACTATCCAAAGAGCTTGAGCAGCAGCAGGACTACTCGTTCTTTCCAAATCCCCGAATGGACACAGCTAGGGGCTCAGATGGATGAGACTCGCTTCCGCATTCGAGCAGAGGAGCAACGTATTCTTGGCGAGCTACGTGAAGGAGTGGTACGAAACCTCGTAAAACTACGCCGGAATGCAGCCGTACTTGATGAATTGGATGTTGCATGTGCCTTTGCAGCCCTTGCTATTGAGAGAAACTTCATCCGGCCTATTCTTGGCGCAAAACCGTCGCATCATATTATCGGCGGGCGACATCCAGTTGTCGAAAGTGGTTTACATGAACAAGGACGCAGATTCGCACCGAACGATTGCCAACTAGGCGAGAAAGAACGTATATGGCTGATCACTGGCCCAAATATGGCTGGTAAAAGCACCTATCTACGACAAAACGCACTCATATCCATCCTGGCACAAACAGGATCGTTTGTCCCGGCAGAGTATGCAGAGATTGGGTTGGTGGATAAGGTGTTCAGTCGTGTTGGTTCAGCAGACAATCTCTACCAAGATCAATCAACGTTCATGGTTGAGATGCTTGAAACAGCACAAATCCTCAAGGAGGCTACACCCCGTTCGTTTGTCATCATGGATGAAGTGGGTCGGGGAACAACACCGGAGGATGGCATCGCAGTGGGATATGCCTGCCTCCATCATCTCTACCACGTCAACCAATGCCGGACGTTGTTTGCAACCCACTTCCATGTGCTCACCGACATGACGAAGGACTTAGAGAAGCTCGGCTGCTACTGTAATGATGTACTTGAAGAACCCAATGGGAGGTTCTCTTATATACACCGATTGAGAAAAGGTGTAAATCGGGAAAGCCATGCTTTGAAAGTTGCTAGAATTGCAGGTAAGTCTTCTGTTTCAGGATGCTCTTTCCTACGTGATACTGACGCACAACCAGGGCTTCCCGAAGATGCCGTCGCAGTTGCTGCCCAGGTCCTTCAACAGATCAAGGGTACAACCAATGTCACTGCCAAGGATCCAGCGCCTGCTCGATATGAGCAGCATTCAACTAGCATATCAGAAGCTGCAACAAGACTGTCCCAACAACAAATTAGCGCCTAGCTCTATCTTTTCTTCTCCATCCCCGAGCTGACTGCTACACATTTTAACTTTACGGAACACTCGTGCTTCTTGTCATACGACACTCATCGCTATCACCTCCACTATCCATTCTCTTCTTGCCACGAAACCCACTCTTGACCAACGTCCTTGGTTACCATCTTCTCGATAAACCGGAGGACCAGATAAACGACTCTCACTTGCTAGCATATCAACAAGCAGACATGATTTGGTACAAGCATATCTGGATCAAGGTGGCTACTTAGTTAGACCCAATGTTCCCAGAGCACCAACTTGCGGCCAGAGCCAGAGCTAGGGCCAGGGTAGACGAAGTAGACCGCAGAAATCAGCCTGCTCGTGAGCGAGCCAGAAAAGATAACACGACACAAGAAAGACAGCAAAAAACCCCTACCCCTATCCCTCATGGAGATGGCCCTACCCTTCATGAGGATGGAAAGGACGAGGATCACATCCGCCACGACACTCAACAAGATTTGCCTACTGGATTATCTCCTTGTGTAAGACAGCAGGCGATGGGTTCAGATTTTAAGAGGCTATATGCTCACTGAGATCAGCCCGAAGAGACCAGTTCAGTGCGCTCTGTATCCAGCGCACCTCAAATTCCCCCTCCACCGGTCCTCCCTTCCTTGCCTACATTCGATGGTTTTCGTCTCCCCAGTTCTTCACACGGCCGGAAAAAGTTTCGATGAACGAAAGTGTTACATGTGGGGAGGATAGCATGGTGATTCGAGACGAGGGGTTGGATCGAACGTATGAAGCGTGTCAGGGTTTTGGCATGGATTGATGTTGGTATAAACTTCACCAGAAGCGTCTGGCTAGACCCAACATTCCTGGTTTTAACAAACTCAATTCTTTATGAAAAATGTTCTTTATGATTCAGACTCGATGTTGTCATCCTCATACAATGCTGGGTAGCAAACGATATGTATCTTGTGAACGTGCTCATCACGTGCTGTACAACAAGACCAAACAACATGATGTCATTAACAAAAAATGAGATAAGACGTGCAAAGTGTTTTGAAACTGTAAAAATGGACCTGGAGCGCTCACAGCCTAACCGTGTGTCATGTATTACACAAATCCAAGGAGATCCTCGAACACATAGCCTTAAATGAGCGATACCCACATCGGATACCCTAACGTGACCTAGCTCCATGCACACATCTGAGAAGGTACCTTGCTACCTCACCACGTGCACTCGTTTGCTACACAACCCTCTCGCTTGTACCTCCGTTCACCCCTTGTACACGCATCCAATCTACACAGAAACTCCGAACACACGGCATTTCCGCAACCCTCGCAACGCATCGATTTCCATTTACCCGGCACAACGCACGCGCGCGCGTGGAAGGAAACTCGTACAAAAAAAATGCACTACAAGACGCTTGAAGTGCAGTATGTACAACATCACCGTGCACCCGTCGGTTACGCAAGGAAACTTAACAATTTTAAACGAGCCAGCCTAGAAGAAAACGATTGCAGGGGCATGTGCTTTTTGGGGCATGCGGGGACTGGCAAACAAATAAAGTCATGCATGCAGCGTGCCCCCCCCCTCTTTCTTTGTCATACATGCCTTGAATGCGGTGCTTGTTTAGGTAGGTTGCTACTTTACCCCACCATTAAGGCAAGCAAGTGGGCTGTTGCTCCACCCCCGTCTTATCGTAGCCGTTGCGAATCGGGGTGGCAGTTTGATCGTTCTTCTGATCTAGACGCTTACGATCTCGATAGCAACCTTTTTGTCAATCTACATCGCAGACCCCTTTCTTTTTTAATATTCGATCTGATTTTGAGAATCGGGTTGTAAGGAGGCTGAGAAGAGGTGGTCCAACACCAACTCAAGCGCTTCAGTTATGGCAAAAATTACCCCACTTCTCGAGACGGAGCAGGCGCATACTACGTCGACGAAGCCGCAACGTATATCTTCACATGTGACGCTTCAGGCACCGCTGTCGAGGCGGGGAAGAGGACCCGGGTTGGTGCTCGTGCTGGATCATTACGCGGAGATTGGGCCGAGTGAGAAGTATTTGGACCCGCCGCCGTTGCAGAAGTGGGCGGAGGAGGGCTTTGCAGTCGTACAGGTATGTTGGTTTCGAAGTATGGGAATCTCACTGTGGTGCAATGAAGAGGAGGGCCAGGTTAGGTTTGACGTTGACACGGATGCTAAGAGCCCACTAGCTTCTGGTTCCAGGCAATGAAGCCGAGGACGGCGGAGAGTTCCCACTGCAAAAAGCGTTGGATGCCCTCAAAAACTGTGATAGGTGCGAGTTTGACAAGGGGGTCGGCTTGATTTGTTCGTAAACTCTTTCTTCCAAACCCCTAAGACCCTGAGTCTATTTTCAGATCGCGTGCTGACGGCTATCTTCCAGCATACATATCGCGAATTCCTTACTACGTCGAGGAAGCCGCATGCCAAAATCCAGCCATCAAAGCTCTCATATCCTACGGGGGCAGAAAATTCGTTTCTCTGAGCTCTACCAACCAACCACCCCAGCTAATCCATACATCCGGTCCTCCATTAGCTCACCGTCGCCAGTCGTCATCTGAATCCGTTGGCATTGCCCCCAACAGCGTCAAGACATACCGCTACGAGGATGCAGAAAAAGAATCCGGTTGGATTCTGCCCAGCGACCCAAACTACCACAAACGCAACGCAGGAATCGCACACACCAGAAGTCTAACATTCCTCAAACCCCTCCTAGGAGGACCCTACTTCGACCTCGAAGCTGTATGGGAAGAACACACAAAGTACGAGTTCGGCGAACGAGACGTAACCAAAACAATGGCAACAATGGTCGACCAACCCTACGTCAACCACATCCCCACAATGACGTGCGTTACCCCCCTCCCCTCCTAGAAATCCTACCTCCCAAACTAACCCCTTACCCACAGCGGCGGCATAGGCAAAACAAACCTAACCTCCTTCTACACCCACCACTTTATCTTCAGCAACCCCCCGGACACCTCCCTCTCCCTCGTCTCCCGCACCGTAGGCATCGACCGCGTAATCGACGAATTCATCTTCTCCCTCACCCACACCAGCACCATCCCCTGGCTCCTCCCGGGTATCCCTCCCACCGGAAAACGCCTCACCATCCCTTTTAATTCCGTCGTTGCGCTGCGCGGCGATAGGCTGTGCCATGAGCATATTAGCTGGGACCATGCCTCGCTGCTTAAGCAGTGTGGGTTGCTACCGGAGTACGTGAGTTTCCCGTATCAGATTGAAGGGGAGATGGTGCCGGAGGGGAAGAGAGTCGAGGTCAAACTGCCGGTTGTGGGGGAAGAGGGGAGTAGGAAGTTAGCGGATGAGGGGGCGGAGGTGAGTAATGCGTTAATGGAGGGTAAGTGGCGAGTTGTTGATGATGTTTGAGGGCTGGAGATGTAGGGTTTCTGGGGTGATGGGAAATTAAACATCTTTTGCTACTGTGTAGGATTTAATCCGGTTGCTCTCGTCTAAATTTACAACTAGCGGATTCAACGAAATGCAGTCTCTCGTTAACTTCTGTCTTGGAGAGCGAGGTTTGTATATTTAACGAAACTAAATGATTCCGAAATCAAATACAAACTGATAGCCGGATCCAGTCGCCATGCCCGCTGTAGTTGAGTGCTACATTCATTTGGGCTTCCTCAATTTTTCCTTGTATTCAGTGTTACTGTTAGGCGTCGTCCCAGAAGCTCCGTCGTCCTTGCGTTCCCATGGAGGCTTAACTAGTGGTGTGAAAGATGCCCCACTGTTTCCTTCACGCTTTAGTTGACGCTGTCTGGGCTTCTCCCAAACTCTTCTAGCAGCCTCTGCATATGTGAGTCGTTTTGGAGGCCTCGAATAAGAAAGAGGACCAGCGGAAAGATAAGGAACATCTCGATGTCTCGATGGTTGTTCAGAAAGATTGTCAACGTTGTATTGAGGATCCGATTCAAGCTGTCTGACTTGCTCCGGGCTTCCTCTCCTAACCGCTTCATATGTAAGTCGTTCTGTAGGTACAGAATGAAGAAGAGGACCACGTGGGGAAAAAGGAGTAGTATCTCGGGATCTCAGTTTTTGTTTAGAAGAAGTTTCGGTGGTTTCATGAAGCTCTGATGGATCCCGTCTTTGCCATCTGGAAAGGTAATTTTGGTCACCTGGTAATGGTGACATTGGCGGCGGTGGTGATTCAGGATTCCAGGGATCACAGTTCGACGATCTTACGTAAGACGAGTTTTCAGTTGAATACATTCCAGGAGGTATAGAAAAGGAATATTGTGGTATCATGCTTGAGGGAATTGCTGGTTGGTCTCCAAGCCCGTGGATATTAGGTTGTCGATATGGGGTTGAACTCGATTCTGAAGGAGGCGGTAGTTGGGAATCTTCCAATTGTAGTGTATAATCAGCTTGATAATACGGTGCCTCATCATATACTGGTAGAGAAAGATCATAATATGCGGATGTAGAGTCGATAGGTGCACGAGCAGGAGGTGGTGACACTGGCCGCTTTGGTGGAACGGACAAGTACGATGAATCATCTTCAAAATATAGGTCGGAATTTCGCCCCCTCGTAGGGTCCTTATATTCACCTTCCAGTGAATTCTGAGTCAACTGTAAATTAAGATCTGACCACCCCACACCGTCTGGTTGCGTTCTTCTCTGTGTTCGATGACTGGCATCAGGCTCAAACGAGATTCCAGGAAACTGTGAATATGTAGGTCTTTGCGAATGAGCGTCTTGTCGTATGTATGATAGGTCAGGCGATGAAGGGGTACGTTCGAGGATAGGCGTAAATTGAGGAGAAGGAGTACGCCTTATGGTAGTGTGAAGTCGAGGAAAAGGTGTTAGTAGGTCCTCTGTATCCGGATCCTCGAACGACGCAAGAAATTGGGCATCCGACGTTTCTGTAAAACTACGCATGTACCGTGGTATTGGCTGCCCCAGATGGTAAATCTGTAATTCTGAATTAGCCTGATCTACTCCGGCACCAGGACCAGCATCTATGGGAGGAGCCATGCCAAAATGAGAGCGCGTGTCCACTGTCGACGGGAACACATAATCGGGAATGGCAGCAGCACCGTCACGACTAGCTCCACAGCGAAAGCAGGTAGTGCTCTTTGGTAAGTTGTGGAATCCACAGCCATCATTCCCACTGCACTGCCAGTAGTCTTCAGCACGGACGGGAATGATACCGGTACCTTCATTGGTGGGGTTCTCATCAAACCTTTGGAACACGCTTGTCAGCGAGTCCCAGCTATCAACAGATCCAATGAGGCTTGCAGAATCACCTGCTGATTCTTCGTCGGATTCAACACCAGAAGGTAGTATAGTAAGAGCGATTTCTTCCATATGGCGGGCAATGTGGAGTGCTAGGACATCACGGTCCCCGGAAGTAAACTCCATGCAGAGAGGACACTCCACATCTGAGAGTCGAACATCCATCCCATGCTGGTCTTGTAGGTGGGTCATTAGTGCATCGCTGTCCTCGAAGAACATGCGAGTATTGCAGCACTCGGCGAAGAAGCAAGCATATGCCAGTATGTCCCTAAAGACATGTTTCCTAAGGCAATTTGATTAGTGTCAATGCATTTAAGAGTGTATGGGGATGAACCAACTTACTTCCAGGCTTTGGTCCGCTGAAACTTGACTTGTTTATTGCAGATTTCGCAGGTGAAAGGCTCTCCAGACCGTGCTTGTGGAGGAATTGGAGGCACACGTTTGTGACTCGCTTCAGCCCTGGTAGAAACAATTGATGGTGCATAGATAGATTCGGAGCTGGAAACAGCTTTTGACTGTGCTGGTAAAGACACTCCGAGACCAGAGTCGTTGAATATTGTCCTTGCTTTTTCCACGGTGGCCATTTGGAGCTCCTGCTGCATCGTTTCCCGTTGTAGACGAAGCATGTGGTTGTATCGATCCCAGTTCAATCTTCCTAATTGAGCCACGATTGCTGATGCTGCGAGAGGGAACTTTTCCGAAACGCTGTTGATGTAGGCCTGCTCTGGTAAGTGTCTCTCGATGTATTGAATAGCACGTGGCTCTTCGTCATCAAAGTTTTCCTCTGCTGGTGATTCCAGGCTGGGTGCTAGCATGATAAGAGTATCGATTCTTGTACGGAGAGTCTGACACAATGTTTCGGCATCTTGCTCGGGCTTATCAGTTGAATGATATTGCTGTTCAATCATACTAGCGGTTTGATCCAGGCATGTCAAAATACTTGTTGACTGTAACACTTCTTTTCGGCGCTGCTCGCTACTGATGAGATGTATCAACGCTGTGTAATGTCAGTGATGCGCAATACAACAGGTCGTGTATCATCCACATACATGTGCTGACAAATTGGGAGATTGACACAAGAACAGTAAGACAAGTATCGCGCAGCTGAGGAGAGTCTTGTAGCATGTCATCGAGTTCGCCTCGTGATAATCCCAGGTCAGTATCCCAGAAAAATAATGCTGCACAGCTTGACTCCAGGGAACCATAGTGTAGAGCCCTATCGGAGTGTGTCCTGACCTCAATAAGAATGAGACCCAGAGTCTCTATGAGAGACCTGGATAGCGATCCAATGGGGCCTTGCTCTTGGAGCTCATCATTCCGCAGCGTGTCCAATGGGCTCTCTTGTGAAGTTTTGTCGCCATCTTCTGGCACGTCAATCTGATGGACATGACTTTCGGTAGGTTTGGCACCCTCTTTTGTTTCCTGGAAGTTATGTTGAGGGTTAGCAAGATTGCTGCGCTTCTGATTCTTCGGATCGTATAGGAGCTGCTTAATATTATGCACAAACAGAGGGTATAGTAACTCAGTGATCTTCTCCTTATTTGCCAAGGCTAGAGCACGCTCGAATGGTATCCAAACGCCCTTGAGGTGCATCGGACCGGTCTTGACCACATGTCTAGTCTTCTCGCTCTTCAATATGCCGTCTCGACGGCCTCGATCTATTCCAGCCACACTCAACAGCTTGGTACCGTTGATCATGTGGTTGTCATCGCGGCGAGCCACACAAACCCCTCTAGCTTCAACTTGAAAACAAAGGGAGCCTTCGTCCTCCCAAAAACTTGCTGTCAGTCGAATTTTGACCCCTGGAGGAGCCACCTCATCTGTGCGATCGGAGGTAACCGGCAGGTAGTTCTGTGATCCAGACGTTGAGAAGGCATGAGCTCTAGGAGCGAGTACTGGTGATCGTGTTCGAAGTAAAGCTGTGGGGCTACTCGGGGGCGACGATGCTGTTTCTTGGGAACGTCCCTCTCCAGTCTGCCAGCGCTCCAGTACTGAGCTGCCTTCTTCGGCAGCCGTCGCCTCATGGCGGACCCCTGCTGGAAACATGGGCAATAGCTATTTGGCACACAAAGACTGACGCGCAAGGGGGTTGCAGTCTTGAGATGGCTGCCTACCGCAATATGCTCTTGCTGTTCCCAATATCAGTTTTGCGCTGATGAATCGTCATATCTAGGATCTTTGTTGGCTGACCTGTACTTCATGGACCGAGCCTGCGGCGTCAAATCCGACTAGAAACTCGAAGCGCAAACAACTGGAGGCTTAAAAGCCGTTGGGGGGTGATTCATGGAAGAGTTCTTGGTCGATGGATTCTTTAGTATGATGTTGACGCGGAGGAGGAGCCATTGCGATCAGGCTGAGCCGTTGAGGGGCAGGAGCGCTTAGGTGTCACAATGGGGGCCAAACTGCGCCTCACTCCGCCAACAATGCGATTGTGCTCAGCCTGATCAGCCCTCATGTCTCCTCAGATTATTTCTCCGTATCATGTCGGGAATCGAAGTCGCAGGTCTGGTCTTTGGCGTAGTGCCGATTGTTGTTGAGATTCTCAAGTCCTACAGCACCGCCAGGCGCAAACTGACGACTTTCTCACGACACGCAGAAGTTGCATACGACATCCAGCTGAAGTTCCGAGTAGCAGCAGCGAGTTTCAAAAATGATTGCTGCATGCTACTGCAGGCGACCATGGCCGACCCCAGCGAAATATCTGAGATGATGGAGGATCCGACTCACAAGAACTGGCAAGAACAAGGAAAGGATATTGAGCAGCGACTACGGAGCCTGATGCAACAGGATTACGAACTATGTCAGGACATTGTGACGCGACTCCGCGATATCCTCCGCGAAACGCGAGCCGACCTAAGCAAACTCGAGGACGGTCTGAGTAACACCAAACAACCACAACACGAGTTCAGAAGGAAGATCTGGCACGCTTTCACAACAACTCGCAAAGAGAATGAATACATCCGACAGCTGGAGTCCTTGGACAAATGGAACAAGTCACTGAGCAAGTTGCGCAAACAGAGGTGCAAGATGCAGAAGCGCCGCAATGTCCCATCGGCTTGCATCATTCGCAAAGCCGTGCCAAAGAGCTATCAGCAGATCCGCATCGCCTCGCAACAACTAGGAGAGTCGATCCACGAGTCATGGTCTTGCACAAACACATCTCATAGTGGACACCAGGCCAAGCTGTCGCTCGATGCCAAGAGCGGGCACGACAACGTACAGCTTGATGTTGTCGTTGCATGCCAACCAAAACAAGGTCTCGCAGTCCAAAAGTATGTCAGGGCAGGCATGATTTGCAGCTCAGTGCGTCATATGAGAGCCACCCTGCTAACAACGTGTAGGCCATCCACCGATGTGCCAATATGGCTACAAATTCGGACCATTACATCACTTACACCATACAAAGTGCCGACATCGCCTCAGCCAGCACTGGCGAGCGCACTGTGTCATGGAATAGGAGAAACAGTTCCAGTCACAACTAAGACAACATTAGAAAAGGCCAAATCAAAGAAGAGAGTCCGAATCAACGATCCTAAAGACGATGTTAGATGCGTTCGAACGACTATAACAAGCAACATACAAACGACACAAGCCCAATCTTTTGTCATGCTGGACTTGAAAACAACAGAAAGCGTTTGCTGCCACGTGACAAGAATGCACTCGTCTGCATCGGCATGTCAAGATGGCTGCGTGGGATTTCTTGAAATCGCAAAGAGTCAGCCAGTAATGCGATTCATGTTCTACGATGCAAGTAAACTCGCCACCAACGACATATCGTCTTTCGCCCGGCGAAAAGGGGCTATGCCTATCAAAAGCCTCGTCCAGCGCTTTCGCATGCTGCAACAGCTTACACTTGCACACAAGTTAGCCGAGGCAGTTCTGCAGTACCATTCAACCTCCTGGCTGCCCCAAGCATGGACTCTTCAAGACGTAGCATATTTCACAGATCCGTCTCACGCAGATGTCAACGACATTTCCGACGCACTCGATAGCTTGCACCTGAGCAACCGCTTTCCAGACGACTCCTCTCTCACCACCGAGCCAAAGCATGACGCACTTGATCTGAATCACACATTTGGCATTCGCAACGTCACTCTAGCTAAACTCGGCGTTGCCCTTCTGGAAATCTGTGCTCAAAGAGACATCACAGGACCCCAACTGAACAGCACACCCAGCGATATTATCGCAGCGAGAAAGTTGCTTGATGAAAAACACCACTCTATCCAGACTCTGGGTCCCAAATATCTGGAAGTTGTGCGCAAATGCATTCACTGCGACTTTTCTTGTGACAATGATCTTCATGGTGACGTACTGCAGAGTGCAGTATACACTGAGGTTGTGTGTGCATTGCAGGACATGAAAAGCAAATGGCAAGCGTTCTTTGGCGCATAATAGCTCTCAAGATGGAGAGTTGCGTAAGAAACCGCCTATCGTAGTAGGCATTAAGCAGTGGGAAATCCAACCGACGATTTTGCAGTTGCAGAGAGATGTAACCTTACTCTTACACACCACAACTACACGCTACATCTATTCTATAGCCGCTGCCAGACTCACTCTTACTCTCAACATCACTCCCTTCGCATCTCACCAATCCCCACCGCCTTGCCAACGCAACCAACGCCCAAAAGCCCACATAATTAGCCTGCCTCACAACCCTCAACAGCGCCAGTCCCAGAACTACCTCCCACATCGAAGCTGGATATCCGCCAAACAGCACCATCCCACCCACCATACCACAAAGAACTCCACACTCTGGGTCCGGATTAACCACACTCTTGATCCCATACGCCACAACGCCACAAACCACCTGAAATACCACACACTCCACAACCCCCACCAAGCATCGCTTGCTCAACTCCCCACGCCACAGGAAATGCGTCGCACCAGCCCGATACGCCACGGGCTCGCGCAAATACTCAAACCGCGGCCCCCCATCCACACGCCTCACCCTCCTCCAGCCCGTCCTCACCCCTCGCCACTGAAAGTACGTCCAAAACGCCTCGCACTCCTCAAGCACCCAAAACACTGCACAAAAATGCACCGCAGCGTGCTGACCCGCAGTAAACCCACCATTCACATATCGACCCAGTACCAAAGTGACGCCGTGTAGCGCGGCGATGACAGATGAGACACCGAGGCAGTAGGATTCGCTGCGGAGGGGGTAGCGAGTGCCCAGGGCGAGGAAGAAGAGGCGGAAGGCGAGGCCGAGGATGTTTGCGAGGTTGAAGGCTAGGAGTAAGATGGTGAGTTGGATAACGGAGAGGTGGGTTAGGGATAGGTGGGTGAGAGAGAAGTGGGCTAGGGGGATACGGAGGAGGAGATGGAGGAGGTGCGGGATCAGGGTTGTTACGGTGGAAAGGAGGAGGTGGGTTAGGAAGCGCTGAGGTGGGAGGCGGGATGCCTGGTTTGGAGGTGCTGAGCTGTGTGGGGGCGTCGTACGTTGCATCTTTAGATTGCGTAGAGTAGAGAGGGGGGTATCGGTGTTTACTGATGGCCAAGTTTTATGCAGATGTGTTGGAGGATATACACAAGGGACCTGGTGTTCCATGGTTTGGATATCATGCCAGACCAATTGTTGGACGGTCATCAGTGGACAGGGCTCCATCACTGCGAATTGCGATAAACGATCTGTTGCATTCTGCAAAGGATTTTTTTTAGAAGACAGCAGGAAGAGAAGGGGGGTTGAAGATAAGGTAGTATCGCAAAGGTAGTAAAGAATATTAGTATCATCGAAAATCAAAAATATTCAATGATTTATCATGGAGAATTCTCAACCCTACCTATTCCAGAGATGAAAACGAAACAATTCCGTCTCCATATTCTTTGTGTCTAAATTCGATTTTACGTTATATGCAGAATTTCAGCCTCCAAGATAAAATATTCTTCACAAAGAATGTTTGTTCCTGGAGATTTAAATCACAAGCCGATAGAAATTAATAATTACCACAACGGGAAATTCTTGCAGACTTTGGGAATCGATATAACCAACCAAGCATTGACATTTCCAATATTCATCTCTGGCTACCATGCTGTTGTACGTCGTCGTAAATCCAGACCCAAGTCACGTGGCCAGCCGCTCAAGCTCGCGCAATTACCACTTCAACCATTGTCCCTCTTTTGCTCACCACCTCATTAATTGAGAGAGAGAGAAAAAAAATCACGCTTCATTCCTTAGCACAGCCACACATACTCATTTCAGCGTTTACCATGACCTGAGAAATGAGGGATATAAACGCCAGGAAAAAGTATGTAAGGTCAAGGTAATGGAGCTGATGACGCGGCTCCTCGCACCTGACGAAGGCAAAAGTTGCCGGCGTACCGGATTACATTCGTTAGCTCCACCAGGTCTGTGCCCGCAGCTGTCAAGCCTCACCACACACATGGACACGGACACTTCAGCCCTTTTCTCCACGTTTTCCCTGCGCCACACATATATGTAATGTGGCATGCCAGACTTGTGTGCCAAGTTTTCTGAAAGTTGCAAACATTGGCACAAAAAGCATGGCAAACATGGCGGCGACAACGACAACAGACGAGCAGCAGCAGCAGCAGAATCATGCGGCGCAAGTTATCCAGCGCAACTACCGTGGGTACAGGGAGCGAAGGCAGCTCCAGGGCATGGGACTGGACGCTAGCGCACGCTGGGCAGAGGTCCGCAAAACCGTTTGAGAAAAACCAAAACAAAAGCAAAACGTACAGAATATGTACGGTTTGTGAATGAAGCAAGTTTGTGTGGCTAATAATGTGTCCCAGGTGATACGCGACGGTTAGCAATTCTCCAATCCTACCCCAACGATTTACCCCTACCAACAAAAGCTAAGATTTGTTTGAAATATAGCCAAATGGCGACATACTACTCGTCCCAAGGCGCGCGCCGCGGAGGAAGCAGCGCTGCGCGAGAAGCTGACTACGCCTGAGCAGCGGGCGCGCGCAAGTTCGACGGCTGCGCGCGAAAAGTGGAAAAAAGTAGGTGAGATTGCGCGGCGAGCGGGCGCAGACGATCCGCATGATAGCGCTGAAGAGACGGACAACGGCGATGAGACAGCGTCAGAGGAGCAAACAGAACAGCGGCGCAAGCGCAGCGCATCGAGGGCGGAGCGCGACAAGACGGCCAAGATGATGGATCTGCAGTACTTTCTCGAAATGGTCGATCACAAGCACCGCTACGGGAGTAATCTGCGCGCGTACCATGAGCAGTGGAAGAAGGAGGATACGCACGAGAATTTCTTTTACTGGTTGGATTACGGCGAAGGCAAGAATTACGAACATCCTACCGTGTCGAGACAGAGAATGGACTCGGAGCGAGTGCGTTATTTGTCACGTGAGGAGCGGCTAAACTACTTGGTCACTATTGACGGGGAAGGACGGTTGTGCTGGGCGAAGAACGGAGAGCGCATCAACACTACGCCCGAGTATAAAGATAGTATTAACGGCGTAGTGCCTGTGGACGACGATACGCCGGCGTATGGACCAAAGGCTAAGCTGCACTCCGGACAGAGTCGGACGATACGGCGGAGCTCGCTGATATCGATTAGCTCGAGCTCTTCGGCGTCGGAGAGCGATGCGGAGGCCGAGCATTATGTGAATGAGGATCTCGACAAAGCAAAGGGCATATCCAAGATCAAATACGTTTCGGCAGCTACGGTTCTGAACCATCTGCTGCGTAGCTCGGTGAAGCCGAATACCTGGATCTTCGTATGTTTTGGAGCTATCGTCATGCCATCCAGTGTGCTAACATTGGGTTAGGTTGCTGATACGTCATTCCGCCTCTACATTGGAATTAAGCAGTCGGGGGCCTTCCAGCACAGCTCATTCCTCCACGGCGCTCGAATTTCTGCCGCTGGGCTGATCAAAGTCAAGGATGGTCAGCTACGGCGCCTCTCACCTCTGTCTGGCCACTATCGACCTCCCACGGAGAATTTCCGAGTATTTGTTCACTCGTTGAAAGAGAATGGGGTAGACATGTCACGTGTGTCCATTTCGCGGTCGTATGCTGTGCTAGTGGGTCTTGAAGCCTATGTCAAGACACGGAGAAAGGTCAAGCATGGGGTTGCGCATATCAAAGAGGCGGAGGAGAAGGTGGTGCACCCCGAGGAGCATGCGCGCAAGGTGGAAGAGAAAATGGACAAGAGTCAGAGTGCGCAGCGAGAACGGCAACTGCTGGCACAAGAGGCGGAGAAGAGGGAGGCTGAAAAGAAGCAGGCGAGCTTGAGCCGGCGGATCTGGAAGCGGTTCAGCAGAAGCGGGACTGAGAAGGACGACGTGAGAGTGACGGCAAAGGAGAGTGCGGGCGCTAAGCAGAAGAGGAAGAAGTGGTTGAGCAAGCCAGGGGAAGATGTCGAGGACGGGATTGCGCCGACGGGATCGAGATGAGACCCTGCGTCATGGAAGGAGCAAGTGGAAAGCAAGCTCTTGAAGTTGCAGGTCACGTGCGGGTCGTCATGATGGGGATTGTTGTGAGGGTAATTAGTTAGTTTAATGATATCCATAAGAGTTGTGCGGACAATTGTCCTAGTCGGAGTTTAATGCTAGTGTGAGGTTGTCCGGTAAAAACAAAGCAGGATAGCTGTATGCACCTGATGGACGGCGCAAAGGGGTCGCGGCGGTGCGGCGCGTATGATTGCACGATGGCGGAGGCGGAGGACGAGGGCACGAGTATCGAAGCAGGAAGAAGCGCGAGTCGTAACAGGCCCAGAACCAGAGCATAGGGAGGAGGGAGCCGTTAGCTTTGATTTGCGGCGCTCAGGCGAGCGGGACCCCCGTTCCGTGCCGCCACAATTGTGGCCAGCTGCCAAGGCGGGATAGTCGGTGACATCAGACTTCGTCACCGACCCAGAGTTGTTTCTTTTGTCTGATCTTGCTTGCACCAAAGACGTACACATGTACGTAACTACTATCATTTCCGCCATGTGCATGCAATCTGCCATATGTATGTGTACACGCTGCCATGACTCGACTGGTAGCACAGGCTGAAACGACAATGCTGTACACCGATGAGGAATTGCTTGTGCTCGTGTCGGCAGCGGGGTGTATGGCCGGAAGAGGGAATCGTGGTATGACCGACGGACCAGGCAAAGACCCTTTTGTACGCACACGCATGGGGTCGGAGCGGAATGCTGGGCACGGCTAGAGGGGGGGGGTGCATAACCCATGGGACGATAAAGTTTTGCTACAGCCTGTCACGACCGACACCTGTAGGTGGGAGACGAAGGGTCAACGTCGCGCCGTTGGCCGTTGGCATGGGAGGGAGCTCGTGCTGCCCCATCCGCCCCGCCGTTCATGTCCATGCCCATGAGTAATTTACATGCTTGGAGTTGTGGAACACTGGTATGAGCTCACGTTCACGCAACGACTGACTTGAGGCCGTGCGGGTGCCTGGTTTTCCATCAATCGCCCAGCCCCCCGGCGTCTGCTCACTCTACTCTCAGCAGCTTGTGACGCAGGGTCTTGTCCAGCCCTTTTGGAGTCCAGTTTTTTTTGTTTTGCCATTGACGGGGCTCGTGGCGTTCATCTTGGAGCCATGGCTAGGCTAAGCGAGGATTCGACAGGGGAGCTCCCAGCGGTATGATGTCAACAGCTCCAACTTCACACGCGTCCGCCCACTGTTACAACCTGCTTGCTGGCTTCCCACACGGCACCGCTTGCCTCCTCTCTCGATGCTGTATGCACATGGCCCTGCTGTGATAGGGGGGGATCCATCATCGCCGTCCGGGATGCTACTTGATACTTGTCTGCGATCCTCAACACCACCAGCCACAGTGTCGTCGATCGGAGCCTCGACTCCATGTATCTGCTTTTGCTTGACCACAGTTTCTTCTGCCATGCCATGCAGTGCCTCTGCCTGCGAGCTTCTCAATCCAGATAATCAGCCGTGTGCTAAAGTGCTCAAGTATACAGTAGTGAGCGACACTGACGTTAAGCTCTGCTCTACATACTTGGAACAGGTTGCCAAGCAGCCACCACCAAAGGTAACTTCACGGCGTCTTGTGGCTAGGCGTTTCAGCTTGTCTGCATGCAGCCCGTCAACTCTAATCCCAGTGCCAGTCCGCCCCTCCGCGGCTCCATCGACGATTTCCCTGCCATGCCATCCCAATTTCAGCCACAGCCCGTACTTACCCCCCCTTGCTGCAGCTGCCCGCCTGCCTTGTCTCAACCCGCTGAGTGGGCACCAAACCACCACCACGGGCTGACGCCCCGCCCCAAGCCAAATGTAGCCACCACTGTGACGCAATCCTCCTCTCCTCCGTTGCACACAGTGCGCCGCCAAATCAGGTTTGCCATGCCTTCCCGCACCAAACAGAGCCCAGCTCCTGTCTCCAGCATGGCTCCTTTCGACGTCATCTGTCCCAGGTGGTCCAGCATACAGACATGCGCCTAATAAAGGCCTGCTGCTCGGCCTTGCTTCCACTACTTTTCCCCTACTACAAAGACGACCCATTCGTCAATTGATATATGACCGATAATTCTTCACACAACTACTCCTACTACTCGTTCCCCCCAACCCCTAATAGGAATTCCCCCCGTTCCGCACGCTCTCAATCCATCTCAAGTAACGTATCAGGAACAAGCCACCGAGCTTCTTCCTACACATTCACATCCACCACGGCTCACCACGGGCACGACAACTCATACAACGTCTCGAGCGTTCTTTTCAACAACATGCCTTCCCCAGCAGCAGGAAAGGGTGACACCCCCCGCACCCCCACCAAGCTCGGCAGGAAGCCACAGACACCTGCTCCCAAGCTCAACAAGCCTCAGGTAGGCAAGTCGGAGGACGCCCCCACCTCCGACGTGCCCGAGCAGGCAGAGGGCCTGATGCAGCAAGGACAGGAAAAGGCACAGGATGTGCAGGACGACACAGAAAACACTTTTGAAGATGCCACCCAAAAGGGCGAGGAAACTGCCAAAGACGTCAAGGGCAAGGCACAAGACACCACTGGCAAGGTCTCACAGGCCGGCGACGAGCTCGAGCAGGCTGAGCCCAAGCCAATTGACGACGATGACGACGACGAAGAATATGGCGACGAAGACGACGCTACACAAAAGGCAGGGGACGACGCCGAAGACACTGCCGACAACACCGAAGACGATGCGACCGACACTGCCAGCAAAGCCGCTGACACCGGAAAGCAGGCTGGAGAAGGCGCATTGAGCGGTGCTCGTGGTCTCGCTGGCCGAGCCTCCAACCTTGCAGGCAAAGCCAAGCAAGACCCCAAGGGCGCAGTACAGGATACTGCTGATGATGTTCAAGACGGTGCTCAGGAAACCGCACAGGACGTTCAGGATACCGCCGAAGATACCACCGAGTCAGCCAAGAACACTGCCCAGGACAAGGCAGGTGATGTCAAGGACAAGGCTCAGGACACCGTTGACGATGCTACTCCCGACCTGAGCCTCCTCAAGGGTCTCGAAGTTGACGAGGAGGGTCTGATCAAAAACCAGGACGGCAAGATTATTGGTCGCCTGGTTGAGGGTGATGCCGAGGATCTCGCTGGCTACCCCATTGGCGACAACGGAGAAATCCTCGACGACGATGGTGATCTTGTTGGTCGCTGCGAACTCACTCCCGAGATGGCGGACCAGCAGCTCGGAGATGTCAGCGGCAAGATGCCTGACATTAGCATTCTCAAGGGTCTCACTGCCGACCGATCTGGTCAGATCCTGAACGAGGACGGTGACTTTGTTGGACACCTCGTTGAGGGTGACCCAGCTGATATTCAGGGCCGTGAGTTCAACGAGAACGGCGAGATTCTCGACGATGACGGCAATGTGATTGCCAGGGCTGAACTCTCTCCCGAAGCTGCCGACCTCCCTGCGTACCAGCAAGAGGACCACGAGGATGAGGAAGAGGAAGGCGATGCCCTCAACGGCGTTACCAATACTGCCGAGCAAGCCAAGGGCACTGCCACTAACGCTGCCGAAAGCACCAAGGCAGGCGTTGATGAGAAGGCTGCTGATATTGAAGACGAACTTCCTGGCGTCGAGGCCCTTGAGGGCATGGAAATCAACAGCAGTGGCGAGATCCTCAACGACGATGGCGATGTCGTTGGCAACGTTGCCGAGGGCGATCTGGAGAACATTGAGAACGTCAAGGGCCTCACCGTCAACGACAAGGGCGAGGTCGTCGACCAGGACGGCAATGTTCTCGGCACGGTTGAGCTCGCTGAGGGCGCCGCTGATAAGCTCAAGGAGTCTGCCGCCGGTGCTCTAGACACTAGAATCTTGGACGGCCTCAAGGTCAACAAGAAGGGCAAGATCCTTGACTCTGATGGCGAAGAGATTGGTGAGCTCACTGATGGTGTCCTTGACAAGTGCGCCGGCAAGAAGGTCAACGAGAAGGGTGAAGTCCTCGACAAGGATGGCAAGGTCATCGGCAAGGTTGACGTTGTTCCTGGCGAGGCTGCCTTCAATGCCATCAAGGCACTCAAGGAGGAGCTTGGCGAGCCATTGGAAGGTGAAGAGGAAGAGGGAGAGGAAGAGGAGGGCGAGCCCGAGATGAAGGAGATTACCCCTGAAATCGATGAACTTGAAGGCTTCAAGGTCAACAAGAAGGGCAAGGTCCTTGATGAGGAAGGCGAAGAGATTGGCGAGCTTGTCGAGGGTGACCCTGCCAAGTGCGCTGGTAAGAAGATCAACGCCAAGGGAGAGGTTGTCGACAAGGACGGAAACGTTCTCGGCAAGGTCAAGGCTCTGCCCAAGATGGTCGAAGCCTCCCAAGTCCAGGAACCTGAAGTTAAGCAAGTTGAAGTCACCCCAGAAATCAACGAGCTCGACGGCCTCAAGGTCAACAAGAAGGGCCAGGTTCTTGACGAGGATGGTGAGCCTATCGGCGAGCTTGTCGAGGGCGACGCCGCCGAGTGTGCTGGCAAGAAGATCAACGCCAAGGGTGAGGTGCTTGACAAGGACGGAAATGTCATTGGAAAGGTCAAGACCCTCCCCAAGATGGTCGAGCAGCCAGTCGGCGAGGATGAGGAGGAAGTTGAAGAGGATGCTGAAGAGGAAGAGGAGGAGGCCGTTGACGATGATGGCCGCCCTCCTCTATCAATCCTCGATGGCCTCAAGGTCAACAAGGCCGGCAAGCTCATTGATAACAATGGCAACATTGTGGGTGAGCTGATCGAGGGTGACGCCAAGAAGCTGTCAAAGTCTGGCCTCACCTGCGATGCCGAAGGTCAGTTCTGGGACAACAAGGGCAAGGTCATCGGCCGCGCCCAGACTGTTCCCCAGGAGGAAGGCGAAGAGGAAGCTCCTTTCGCTGGTCTCGAAGGCCTTGTTGTTGTCAAGGATGGCTACGTCGAAGACGACAAGGGCAACCGCGTCGGCCAGGTCGTTGAGGGCGATGCTAAGAAGCTCGTTGGTCGTGCCGTCGATGAAGACGGTGACATTCTTGACAAGAAGGGCTCAGTTGTTGGCCACGCTGAACGCTACGACGAGCCCGAGGAGGAGGCTCCAGAGGAGGAGGCTCCACTGGACCTTTCCGCTCTCGCAGGCCGCACCGTCAACAAGCAAGGTAACGTCATCGGCGACGATGGCATCCCCATTGGCCGTCTTGTCGAAGGCAACCCCAAGGAGCTGTCTGGCCGCAAGATCAACGAAGAGGGCCTCATCTTCAACGACACTGGCAAGAAGATTGGTCGTTGCGAACTGATCCCTGAGGAGGAGCGCGAGTCCAAGCCCGAGGGCATCTTCGCCGGCCTTGAGGGTCTCCGAGTTGTCCAGGGTGGTATGGTTGCTGATGAGGATGGCAACACTGTCGGCCGAATTGTCGAAGGCAATGCTAAGCGTCTTGTTGGCATGGCCGTCGATGAGGACGGTGATATCCTTGACAAGTACGGCAACGTCAAGGGCCATGCTGAGCCTCTCGAGGACGAGGAAGAGGAAGAACCTGCTGACCTCTCTGTTCTCGACGGCCTTACTCTCAACAAGCAAGGTTACCTTGTCAACAGCGAGGGCATTCCTATCGGAAAGCTTGTCGAGGGTAACCTTGGTGAGCTCGCCGGACGCAAGTCTGATGGCGAGGGTCTTATTCACGGCGATACCGGTAAGGTTGTCGGTCGCTGCGAGCTCATTCCTCCTAATGAGCGCCCTGAGCGCAAGGAGGGCCCATTCGCCGGATTCGAAGGCCTCCGCGTTGTCAAGGACGGATTCGTCGAGGACAACGATGGTAACCGTGTTGGTCAACTCACCGAGGGTGACCCCAAGAGGCTTGTCGGACACACTGTCGACGAAGACGGTGACATTATCGACAAGTACGGCAATGTTAAGGGCCACGCCGAGCCTTGGGAGGAAGAGGAGCAGGAGGAAGTCGACCTCAGCGCTCTTGCTGGCTGCACTGTCAACAAGGCTGGCAACATTGTCGACTCCAGCGGTGCCGTCATTGGTCGTGTCGCTGAGGGAGACCCAGCCACTCTGGCCGGCAAGAAGGTTGACGGCAAGGGCCAGATCTGGGATAACGAAGGCAACGTCATTGGCCGTGGTGAGCTTGTCCACGGCCACCAGTCCGGACCTGAGGGACCATTTGCTGGCTTCGACTCTGCTGTTGTTGCCAAGGATGGTACTGTCCAAACTCCTTCTGGCGAAATCATTGGCCGTGTCATCGAGGGCGACATCAAGAAGCTTGAGGGACACAAGGTCGACGAGGACGGTGACATCAATGACAAGAACGGCAACGTCATCGGAAAGGCCGAGCGATGGGAGCCTGAGCAGAAGGAGCGCCGCATCAACCCCATGGCTGGCATGCGTGTCAACAAGGAGGGTGAGGTCCGCGACGAGAACGGTGATGTTATCGGTCGTCTCACTGCTGGTGACCTGGGTCACTGCGCTGGCCTTGAGATTGATGACAATGGATACGTTATCGACAACGACGGTAACAAGGTCGGAGAAGTCACTCTTCTGGAGAACATCCAGGAGGAAGAGGAAGAAGACGAGACCGACGAGGAGAGGCAGCGTCGTGAAGATTCTGAACTCGCCAAGAAGATGTCTGCCATCTGTGAAGACACTCTTCAGCGTGTCCAGCCTGTCATGAAGCAGATTACAGAGGTATGCTTGATGATGTTCACTTTTCCTTTTTACGAGTAATTACTAACTAGCTTCTAGTACATTGAGCAAGCTGACCGCACACCACGTGACGAGCTCGACGAAGAGGAACTTGTCAACAACGTCAAGCCACTTATCGAGGAAGGATCTCGCATCCTCAACGACTGCAATGGCTCGCTCCGTGGTCTTGACCCTGATGGTCGTATCGCCGCTCAGGCAAAGGGCCGTCAACAAACTGGCGAAGCCTCACCCGAAGAGTACAAGCTTGCCGACAACCTCAAGGAGCTTACTACCACTGTCGTTACCACTATTGACAACGCTAAGAAGAAGATCTCCGACATGCCCCACGCCAAGAAGAAGCTCAACCCACTCTGGGCTCTGCTTACCGAGCCTCTGTTCCAGATCATTGCTGCTGTTGGTCTGCTGCTAACTGGTGTTCTCAACCTTGTTGGCAGACTCCTCAACGGCCTTGGTCTCGGCGGTCTCGTTAACGGTCTGCTCGGTGGCCTTGGTATCAACAAGCTGCTTGGTGGACTGGGCTTGGGCGGTATCACTGATGCGCTAGGCGGCGGCGACAAGAAGAAGAAGAAGGGTGCGAGCGGACCTATGAGCATGGTCGGTGGCCTACTCGGGAAGAAATAAACATCTTCCTAGGTAACATGGGGAATTCCTCTCCTCTCTCCTCGTCTCTCTGCTCAACTTGAGAGTTTTCTTTTTCTTGATATTTCCTTTGCTGTTTTCTTCCTTTCCAAACGTTGGAGTGCACAACAAGAGCTGGAAGATCGGGGGGTCTGAAGGTCACACCTTTTTGTCGCGCTGCGGCTGGTGAAAAGAAGATACGAATTGGGTTTATTGACAAGAAGAGAAGGATGAAGTTGAGTGGGAAATGAAAGAAAGAGAAGGGAAACGAGTTGTTTCTGTTGCTGTGGCTTTCATCAAAATCAGCGTTTGGGTTTTTTCGTCTTTGAATGTTTTCTCTCATCGGTATGTTCGATGGACGCATCGATCGTCGCCGCCACCATCGCTTACTTACCATGAATCATGCCGCGATTTTCCAATACTCTTTGAGGCCTCAAGAGTCACTTGGATTACTTTCGTGTGAGCATCTTTGGCTATTCGACCAGCCGGGTTTTCCTTTGTCGCACACCGAACAAAAATGTTTTTCAGTTTAGTTTAGCATTGGCGTTTGTTTGTTTGTTTGTTTGATCAACGAAAGGGCATGACAGCGACCTTTTTCTAGTTATCTCTGTAAGATAGTTGAAGATTTTTCGTAGATGGAAGTAATTAATAGTCTGATTTCTTATTATATATGCAATCCTTTATGTACAAACCTCGTGATTTCTCCCCATCCATCTACATAACCAAAGCCGCAATCCCAATCGCCAACGCTCCTACACCGAAAATCCCCATCTCAACCTTGGCAATCCCCGGGGCGGCACCAACAAAAACACCCTTTTTTACCAGTCTCTTACCCACACTCTCTCCACTCTCTCCACTCTGCTCTTCCTCTTCTCTCTTCTCTTCCCCCGCCCCTTCTTTCTTCTCAGTCCCCTGATTCGTAGGCTTTGATCCGCTCTCCACCGTCGGCGTCGATGGTTCCCCCTTTGTCGGCTTTGCTTCACGCTTGTGCTCGTTTATGCCCGTGACTTGTGCGCGTTTGTGCTCGTTTTTGCCGTTCGTATCTTTGGCAGTGGCTTCTGCGCGTTTCTCCTCGTACGTTTTTGTCTCGCGCTTTCCGACGAAGGCGACGATGGGGTCGCTGGTGTGGATGGAGTCCCGGGCGGCGAGGGGGACCGAGGGGGCGGCGGCGTGTAGGTGCAGGAGTTGCAGGAGTCGCCGGCTTAGCGGGATGGTGGGTCTTTGGGCGGTGCAGAGGGCGCTGCCGAGGGGGGTGTTGGTGATGGGGGAGGCGAGGGTGAGGGTCGAGGGGAGGGCGGTGGTGAGGTCGGCGGGGGCGTAGAGGGTGCAGGATATGCTGTCAAGGTCGAGGGAGGAGGAGGATGTGGCGGTTATGCTTAGGTTGCAGATTTCAGCGTCCGGGTTGGAGATTAGGGCGGTGAGCTGGTTGAGGGGTAGGTCGATGTTGAAGGGGGTGAGGTCTTGGTCTGCGGTTGAGGAGCAGAGGGTTGCGGTTAGGGTTATGGTTGAGGCTGCTGCCAGCGATGGGAGGGCAAGGAGAGGTGAGGCTTTCATTTTGGATGGATGGGCTTTGCTTCGAAGAATGTAGATGAGATATTAAAGAATGAAGCAAGAAGGGTCCAGTGTATTTCAGTAACACTCCAGTGATTCTGCCTTTGGTATGGTGGTCTGTCTTCACTTTCTTGTTGATTCTTCTTGATATATATACCCATCCCCCCCCCATCCCCTTGTCTTTGCCTTTCAAAATTAGCATTACTTCATTCATAACCAACCCATTCTCAACCTAACCCAAACCAATCCGTTCTTTCTTCTTCGGCCGTACTTCGTACCAAAACGTGTCTTGCTTGCACTTTTTTTCTTCGCACACCTCGTACCCTTCCGTCATCTCACGTACACTAGCACGGCCCCATACAACTGCTTTGTCCTGCCTTACCTCAGCATTTCGCCTCAGTACACCTAAATATACATATACCTGCATAACTTTGGGTTTCACACTACATACGTACGAACTGTCCATTCTCTCGTTTCCCTTTCACATATGTCTCGCGCGATGGGTGAGAGGTCTAGAATACAGGTACGCCAGGGCAAGTTTTTTCGTTACCAGACCGCGTTCTGTGGTCACCAGCAAGCATCTTGTGCATGGATACGCTAAGAATGATGATGATGAATGTGGCTCTTCTGCAGATAACACTACTATCCCTAATCTAGAGATAAATCTCAGTAATCTCAACGGGCGCTGCACTATATACAGTATAGGTCTTACTCTCTAACTCTACAACTTGTTTCATTTCCTGAAGAAAAACCCAAGCATGGAGCTACATGATCGCCCTCTCAACTAATTTCTGTGTATAGTCCGTGTCCATGGAATTCGATTGGTTATCAGAGAATACAAGCATCTAGGACATAACCCCCCCAGAAGAACATACTTTTTGTTTTTCTCTAGGACAGGTCCTTAAACTGATCATAGTAACCCTGGCAATACCCTAGCCATACCTGTTAGATGAGGTTTGCACTGTTCTCGGGTATACCCTTGGCAGAAATCAAAACTTTATCGTGCTTACTGTGTACCTAGTAACGATCCCGATCGCAGTGCAAGAACTCGATTCGTTCAAGGCCGGCTTCGGCCCGTCTTTTACTAGTTTGTGCATTTTAAGCATTCGAGACAAGGCGATAGTCTAATTTTGCAAGTAAGCTGTCGATCCTAGTGCTAATCTGGGTGTTGTACGAAGTTAGCTACACATTGATCAATCCGAGGAAGTGAGATTTGCTGACATTTACGTGAGGGGTGCGAGGGATGTTGTATTAAAGTTGGGTACTGTAGTACATATGTAAGCACTTGGTATGCACACGTCTGCTATACGAGTCCAAATCAAGCGTACAGGTCGCCGTCTTCGGTGGAGTCTCCGAAGCCACCTTCAGCAATATCTACGCTGTTTTTGTTTCCGTGGCTTGAAGCCGATGCTTTGCCTTTGCCTTTGCTGCTACCGCCACTGGTTGCTTTGCCGTCGCCATTGAGTTCGACGTGCTCGGTCATGATAACCATGCTGTCGGTATCATCGACTGCAATCGCCTTTCCCTTTCCTTTCCCATTTGATGATTGTTGGGATGCCGAGCCGTTTGCTTTCTGGTCCTCTTCCTTCTTGCCAGCACCCTCGAATTGCCTCCTCACCCGATCGTAGTGACGGAGTTCGTCAGCACTAACACTAGGGACGAGCTCCTTGTGGGCCTCCATGAAGTCCTCCTCTGTGACCATAACTGCCGTATCTTCTTCGGTAGCAATGTGATCAAAAAAGTAAGCAATGGTGACGTTGGATGAGTGTGTGTTGTTGTACGCTTTGACCTTGTCGTCGACCATTCGGGCACTGCGAGTAATGGCCTTGAGCATGGCGTCCGAGCATAGAGCGTACATGTCAGCACCTGTGTAGGTGAAGGGAAGACCTTCAGATACTCGCTGTAGGGAGAGTGAGGGATGTAGTGTGAACCTGGAATATATATTAGCATAAGCAAGACTGGGAGAGGACTCTAGTCACGTACTTTCTTGTCAAGGCTTCCAAGATGGTCTGCTGCTTCTCATGGGTGTCTGAGACACCTAGGTACAGCATCTTGTCGAAGCGACCGGGACGTAGCAGCGCTTGGTCAAGCAGATCCGGTCGGTTCGTTGCACCGATGACGAAGACACCTTCGCCCCCGTCACTCATGCCGTCTAGTTCAGCCAAGAGCTGACTGACTATGCGGTCCATGACGCCACCACTATCACCTTGGTTGCCACGCTTGGGGGCGACCGAGTCGAGTTCGTCAAAGAACACTACACATGGTCGTGCATCGCGAGCTCGTTGAAATACACGCCGCACATTGGCTTCAGACTCACCAATATACATGTTGAGCAACTCTGGACCTTTGACACTGAAGAAGTTGAGCGAGAACTCTGTAGCAATGGCCTTTGCAAGGAGGGTCTTTCCCGTTCCTGGTGGTCCGTAGAATAGAATACCGCTGCGCTTCTTCATGCCCTTGGCAAACAGCTCTGGGCGAGACAACGGGAGCTGAATGGTTTCCATGACAGCATCCTTGACGTGTGTAAGACCACCGACATCCTTCCAGCCGACGTTTGGGATCTTCGGGGCTCCGATTGCGTCGGCAAAGTTCTTACGTGCTGCATCTACGGCACCGTCCAAGTCTGCTTTGGTAAGACTGTTGCTCATATGACCACCGGCAAGCTCGATATCCCGAATCGTAACCGCTTCTGCTGACTTTAACGATTTTGTCGCGGATGCTGCAAGCGCTTCGAGACGCTGTTGTTTTGCAACCAAAGCCCTGTCGACTACGTCAACGAGATCCCCTGCGACCAGCGCTGCAGTCTTGACTGCAACATTGCCCAAGTCGGCATCAGGAGACAGCCTGATACCAGAGTCGTCGATGATACTCCTCAATATGCCTTCTCGCTCTCCTTCGTCCGGGGCTGTCATGTCGATTTCATGTGTAAAGAGTCCTCGAATGCCCTCAGGCACCTTGTCGATTTCTGTGGTTGTCGCAATCAACACGCGGCAATCGGCCAAGATCTCCTTCAATGCAGCATTCATGCGATCCGCATTCAGCGCATCGATATGCTTCACAAGTAACGCTGTGAATTCCGCGCCGCATGTCAAAGCTCGCTCGGCTCTTGCCTTGAGAAATCCTTCAGTCTTGACATCACCACCTCCAGCACCTCCTTCTGTGACAATATCGAACGCATCAATAGAGAAGGTGTGTAAGCCAAGATCTTCACAAGCCTTGGTAGCAATAGTAGCCTTGCCGATGCCGCGTTGGGTTGAGGTAATCAATACTGCAATTGGAGGTAGTCCCAAGTGGATGGCCCTAGGACTTGTCGCCACAGACATGAGTTCCCGCAACCGTCTGCGAAGCGGCGAAATGTAGGGCTTGGGCAGCTCGTCCAATGTCATCGTCTTCTGGGAGCTTGAGACTGGAGCCCGTTTGGCGCCTAGGTAATATTGCCATGCGTTGTTGATAGGAGCCGGAGTCTTGCCTTGTTCGCTGCCGTTCATCTCCATCTTCGTGCTTGCAGCGTCCACAGTTACAGCACCACCCCAGATGTCCGGTTCTTCACCATCGTGAGCCGGATGTGAAGAAGCAGAAACGTTGCCAATCTTGAACCATGAAACGACCTTTGAGTTCCGACTGCTGACACCAGGACTCTCCTCGCTGGCATTTGATTTGGCTCTGGTAAGCAGTTCTTCATTCCCAGCATCGTCCTCCGTACTGGTTTGGAAAACCGCTCGACCAAGAGACTCATCAATCGAAACGCCGATCAGATCGCCGCTCTTTACGACTCTTCGCTTCTGCTCAAAGTGATCTTTCAAGGCTGCGAAAAGACTAGGCTGAAGCAAACGCTCAGAAGACAGTGGTGTTGACACTTTCAGAAGGGTTACTTCTTTGGCAGAGGGGGGTAAAGACGAGCCGGTTACACGAGGTTTCTGGATTGCACTTCTTGGGAGATGTGATGATTGATTGGGGGCTAGCGGGGTAATGCGGAGGTGGGACGGACTTCCCAGATTGGCGAGAAGGATTGGCGAGAGATAGGCATGTAGTGATGAGACTGGTTGCGAAAAGCCCGAGAAACTGCTTCTTCGGTCAAGCTCCGAGTTCTTTTGCACTGGATAGCGTGCAACCTTCTTGGACATGTTTTCTGGCAGACCAAAGACTCGAACAGGTCTCCAGTTGGAGCCGTCCTCGTCGTCTACTCCGCCAAAAGCGCCCAAGCCAAAAAGAGGATGCGAAGAAGGCGCTTCAGTACCCTCAATCTTGACCCAGTCGCCAGAGAAGCAACCAACCTTGACCAGGGTGTTAATGTCAACAAAGACGCGGGCCTCTTCATCATCTTCAGCCCCTGGCTTTGGGTAGACAAGGTCATCTGGAACTTTTTGAAGCAGCCCCTGGGCTTTGAATACCTTGCTCCTATTGGTAGGTCCACGGGCAGTAGTAGCTGTGAAGCTAGAATACACCGAACCTGGGGTGGCAATTCCATTTGTACGGTAGTTGCCAGGCCGTGGAGTAGCGGAGGTATAGGATGAAAGCACTCCTGAAGACTGAGGTGGCAGCATGGGTGCATTCAGTGAGATGATGTCGTCGGATTCGTCAGACAAATCGCCGGCATCACTCTCCGACAGTTCCGACTCAAAATTGTCAGTCGACTCTTCTGGGGGAGACACATTGCGCGAATCGAGGCGATCCTCGGCAGCGGAATAGAAGGTATCATTTGAAGTATCGTCGGCCTCATCCTCATCGCCGAAGCCATTTGCAGTCTGCTTCACAGGGGGAAGAATGACGGGGTGCTTAGAGCTGCTGCGATGTGACTGCAGTATTACGATGCGTGTGCTTGGCAAAAGAAGACCTTGCGAGACGGGCTCGCAAGCAGTAATCCTAGCTGGAGGAGGCGGAACGTGTGTGATTGGGTGGGCAGGGAGGTTCAAGGGGAGCAAGTCGCCAGTATGAAGGACGCTGGGTATCTGTAGGGCTTCGCGTACGGCCTTCCGCCATACCTCTTCTTGCGCAGCCACGTCGACTTGCTTTCCCCTTGTGCCGTTGGCTTCCAGGGAGCGACTCTTTGGTACGCGCGAGGTTCCGTTGACCTGAGGAAGGAACCCCCCGCCAAATTTGGCGTGCACCTCATCGAGCTTCCTCAGTGCTTCAGTATCCAAATTCACGTAGAGTGTGTCCAGGCCGACGGGTACAACATCGTAGATGCGCACCTCAATTGGCGCATCTCTCCTCTGCGCTCTATTTGGGGCGACGGTCTGGAGGACTTGGGAGAAGGACTGCAGCGCAAGCGATGAGGCCGGAATGTGGAGGGATGAGTGGGGGCGCGCGGTGCCATTCTCAGTCTTCTCAGCCGGTCGCACCGGAAAGATTGTCCACGGAATGTTGTTTGAAGCGACGACGGAGCTCGGTAGCCACGGAGTGATGGCAACGTGTCGGATGCGGTCTGAGTCTGGGGTGTCTCCATTCGTTTCTACCCTGGTTAGCCGACTCTTCTCTCCGCCAGTGACTTGTAGTTTGCTTCTTCCACCTACCTGCATTCTTGCTTTTAGAGGCAGGAAACAGATCGTTGAAGAGATCCTCAGACAACACGCCGACCTCGCCCTTGATGCGGTCGTCGAGCAGTAGTCGCGCCGAGACAGGAGGCCGGTCAAGGCGCCTTCTCCGTCGCCTCTTTCGCGGGTTCTGTGATCCATTAGGCGCGTCCATGTTTGGTTGTGTATAAAGATCTGTCCCAATGGACAGAGGTGTGAGCAACAGAGGCCCTTTGTTTGGTGCGCATACGATTCGCCCGGAGATCTGATATGGGCCGTATTGCCTCGGCAGAGCTAAACGACGGCTACCAGCTCGGAGGACGGAGGACAGGGGTCAGCCTAGGGACACCGACACCGACTCTGCCATCGCTCCCTCTCCACGTCACCGGACCACCAACTCGATTCTGTTGTAGCGTTGCGAGATAATAGTGCGGCTCATACACTTGGCCGCTTGAGAATAAGAGGTCTAGTTTTACTGTTATACAGCCTGATGCGATATCAGCCTACAGCTATTGGTCGAATATCACGTGTCATCCATCGTCAAGAGCGCCTGCCATCGCACGCAGTATCCATTCGAGCATATCCGGTACACCCAGCAACTAAAGAGAAGAATTCCTAATGCGCTTCAGTTTTGCTTTGTTCAACAACGTGTGCGCTTCGATCCATCACGCAGCATGTGTGGGCGTTGAGATTAACGTGCCGGAGACATGTCCGCAGACTCCTCATATGTCAAAATCAACGCCACTGCATGCTGCTTTACGCTGCCATGTGCTATCTTGGGCAAATACTTACGCGTATCTTGCTAATCTCTCTTGCTCCCCTTGCCATCAGGATACCAGACTTTGTTTGTTGAGATGCGTCAATCTCCCACACCCTCGCTAATCGTCACCATGCTCTATTTACATCTGACGTAATGACTGCTCCAACCAAGGCGTGCGCTGATCTATTTCGCCCACCACAATACACCCACAAAAGCTGCCATGCATCAACCCTTTCTCTCGCTACCCACCCACATGCCATTCCTTGGGAAACGTTTGTCGTACACCTGGTTCCCGATAGACTACTTGTTCAACCGATAGCGCACCACTCCACGGCCTACTGGTTTCTCCACCAGGCTGTCATTACATAATTCGGGGTCCCACTTAACCAAACATGTCTACGGCGACTGCTGTCAAGCATCGTGTTGAGAAACGACTTCACCACGAAAAAGATGACAACAAATCAAAGACCCAAGCAGTCGTCGAATTCGCGCTGCAAGCAGAACGGCTAGGACAGTATACGCCAGAACAGGAAAATGAGACAACCGGCTCTACGCAGGCCATTGAAGCGCACTTTGTAACCCCGCAGGATCCTGTAATCGAGACTGCAGATGGGCGCCGACTACCTGCCGTGCCCCTTGAGGAAGCGACAAAACTCAATGAACTACGAGACATTATCGAGGATGGTCATGTGACGCAACAAAAGCCCTTGTCACCACGGTTGCGAGAAGCAAAAGATGGAACCGTACATGGACTCCTGACCAAAGAAGCCGAAATGGAGGGCGAGGGCAAGTCTGACGTGCCTCTGGGAGATGCGAAAGCGCCTTGGAAAACAAATCCTCTATTTCCACCATTACCCATGTATGGACCTCCAACGCTGCTGAGACAGTGCCAGTGCTGGTTCTTCAGGTTCTCCTCTGGCATCCTATCATTTCTGTTTCTTCTCGTCATTATACTAGGGGCCGCATTCACATCTCTCCCAGGCATGTTAAAGCACCTATTCTTGGTACTCACTTTTCGCGATCCAGAAAAGCGGCGTATCTTTTACAACGAGGAAGTCAAACGGAGAAAAGCCAGGAGAGAAGCAGAAGAGGCTTGGAGAAAGCAAGACAAGGTTATGCTGGAGAAAGGGCTAGAAAATGGTGACAAGCAAACAGCGAGAGAATACGAACCTCTGGAAGGTGGCCGCGATCCTCTCGTCTGCGATGCTCGTTACTATGCGCGACGGGTCGGCCTGGACTGCGAAATCTTCAACGTACAGACTGAGGATGGCTTCATCATCGAACTGTGGCATCTCTACAATCCCCGTGACTACAAGCGCACAAATGCCGGTCAGCGCTCACCACACTCGCCCGAGCTCTTTCCTGAGGACAGAACTCGTGTTGCTGGCTCGCAATATGAACCAGGCGAAAAGAAGTATCCGGTGCTCATGATCCATGGTCTCCTGCAGTCGGCAGGTGCATACTGTACAAACGACGACGATAGCCTTGCATTCTTCCTTGCCAAATCTGGTTACGACGTCTGGTTGGGCAATAACAGGTGCGGATTCAAGCCTAGACATTCGACGTTGGACTATGGCGATCCTCGCATGTGGGCATGGAACATTCGGCAGATGGGAGTGATGGACCTGCCTGCTCTCATCTCACGTGTGTTGTCGGAGACTGGATTTGAGAAGCTAGGCCTCATCGCACATAGTCAGGGCACGACGCAAACCCTCGTCGCACTTGCCAAGGAACAGCGCCCTGAGATCAGCGAGAAGATTAGCGTCTTCTGCGCTCTGGCTCCTGCCGCGTATGCTGGTCGTCTCATTGACAAGGCACAATTCAAGTTCATGCAGGTCATCAGTCCAAACATGTTCCGGGCGGTTTTTGGCATTCACTCCTTCATCCCCTTCATGATGACGATGCACAGTCTTCTTCCGGGCAAGCTGTATGGTGCAATGGGATATCGAGTGTTTGCCTTTTTGTTCAACTGGACGGATGCCCGCTGGGACCGTGGTCTGAGGGACCGGCTTTTCCAGTTCTCTCCGGTCTATGTCAGTGCAGAGAGTATGCGTTGGTGGCTTGGACGGGAATGTTTTGCAAGGCAAAAATGCATCTTGGCTACAAGAGAAGAAAAGACAATCGAGGACAGGGAGGATGAAGAGCGTGAGCGCAAGAAGTCGAGTGCGAGCGTGCAAGTGCAAGATAGTGGTGATGACGAAGGAAATGGTGATGAGAGCGAAGAGGACAGAAAGGCCGCTGAGCGCTACGCTTGGTACGGGCCTGGGACACCTCCTTTTGCGCTGTGGGTATGCGGCGCCGACGATCTTGTCGATGGGCCCCGGCTTCTTCGTCGGTTCGAACGCGGTCGCGAGCCTCATGTCGACGTGGTGCACTCCAAAGTCATTGAAGGATACGAACACTTGGACGTCATCTGGGCCATGGATGCGATTGAGAAGGTTGGCAAAGAGGTACGGGAGGTGATATGGAAGACGGCATCCGAGGACGCGCGCAGAGTATGCCGAACGCCAAAGGGGTGTGAGGACATGAAGGCGTTTTATGAGAAGAGCCGGACTAATTAGCATACACATAGACGAGATATCCCTGGGTTGGTTTTTTGTACATGAAGACAGCACAACTAGTTCTAGAAAGCGTTAATTTCATAGTAGGTTTATTGGACAATAGTTACTTTTTGGCAACCCCAGTTGTACAAGGCCTATGCATAACGCATATCTGTTATGCGAGGGCGTACCTGAGCGTGCACCAGTGCCCCCGCTGTGCCGCTGGCGTTGTGCGTGGTTGGCGTGGACGATTGGGGCAAAGTGGCTCGTCGCGTAAACAAAGGGCCCCTGCAGCCGACCCCACCAAACTACGACCAACGCGGCGCTTCTCACCGCCTGAACCCAGAACACTTCTACCCTCCAGCCTCGACGCCGGAACCCTGACGTCCCTTTCGACAGTCTGTTTGACACAGAAATCCATCCACCATGCGAGGAGAGGTATGTCTGCCTGCATTGGCCCTTGGATAGCCATGCATGCCCGTCCAATACACGACACCCCCGACCCGGCGCCCCCTCACTTCGCCGCAACAAAGCCATATTACTACATGCTACATGTACTCTAGGCTAACATTATGCTTCACAGATCTGCCACCTTCACATTGGCCAAGCTGGAACACAGCTGGGCAACAGCGCCTGGGAGCTGTATGTGACTGCACCCGCTACGCGCGCACCCCAAACTACCCGTTCCATCACTGACACCATGGCCTCAGTTACCTCCTCGAGCACGGCCTGTTGCCTGATGGTCGTCCCAACCCCGACGCGAAGGAACTTGGCGAGACTGGTTCTTACGAGACCTTCTTTACCGAGACTGGCAGTGGCAAATATGTCCCCCGTTCCATCTTCGTCGACTTGGACCCCTCTGTACGTGGATACCGTGCCGTACAATCGACCAGCGCTGACGGAAACAGCCCATCGACGAGATCCGAACTGGCGCCTACCGCCAATTGTTCCACCCCGAGCTTTTGATCAGCGGCAAGGAGGATGCTGCCAACAACTGTGCGTATTGGAAAACGTGTCGGGCATGCAACGTCACTAACGACAGCAGATGCTCGTGGCCACTACACTATTGGCAAGGAGATGGTTGACAGCGTGATTGAGAAGATCCGTCGCGTTGCTGGTGAGCACTCTCGTCATCGCCAATCTATTCCATTTGCTGACACGGCCAGACAACTGCTCTTCCCTCCAGGGTTTCCTCATCTTCCACTCGTTCGGTGGTGGTACTGGTTCTGGATTCGGTGCTCTCCTGCTTGAGCGCCTCTCGACCGACTACGGCAAGAAGTGCAAACTCGAATTCGCCGTCTACCCTGCTCCTCGCGTCTCCACCTCCGTCGTCGAGCCCTACAACGCCGTTCTCTCAACACACAGCACCATTGAGAACTCCGACTGCACGTTCCTCGTCGACAACGAGGCTGTCTACGACATCTGCCGACGCAGCTTGGACATTCCCCGCCCCAACTACGAGCACCTCAACCGCCTGATCGCTCAGGTTGTCAGCTCCATCACCTCCAGTCTGCGTTTCGATGGTGCGCTCAACGTTGATCTGAACGAGTTCCAGACCAACTTGGTCCCATACCCCCGTATCCACTACCCCCTCATCAGTTACGCTCCTGTCATCTCGGCCAAGAAAAGCTCTCACGAGAGCTTCAAGGTTTCTGACCTTACTTTCCAGTGTACGTTCTTTATTCATGAACAACTATGCGTATGCGCCTTGCTGATTTGAATAGGCTTCGAGCCCAACAACCAGATGGTTGTCTGTGACCCGCGCAACGGAAAGTACATGGCTGTCGCCCTTCTGTACCGTGGCGACATTGTTCCCCGCGACTGCTCGGCTGCCGCCGGTGCTCTCAAGGCCAAGTCATCCTTCAACTTGGTTGAGTGGTGCCCTACTGGTTTCAAGCTCGGAATCAACTACACCAAGTATGTTTCTCGCCTTTCGTTTTATCCATCCCCACTAACAAGATACAGGCCCATCAGCGTTCCCGGAAGCGAACTTGCCTCTGTCGACCGAAGTGTTGCCATGCTTAGCAACACGACTGCCATTGCCGAGGCCTGGTCTCGCCTTGACCACAAATTTGATCTCATGTACTCGAAGCGTGCTTTCGTTCACTGGTACGTTGGTGAGGGTATGGAGGAAGGAGAGTTCTCCGAGGCCCGTGAGGATTTGGCTGCGCTGGAGAAGGATTATGAAGAGGTTGCCAACGACTCTCTCGATGACGAGGGTGTTGAGGAGGGCGAGTACTAAATGTTGTCAAATATGCATGTGGAGTGATGGAGTGAAGAGATTATCAAGCGGTATGTGCTGGGATCAGCAAAAGACTTCTGGATGCTGCAGTGTTGATCGCCATGTTCTGCAGGTGAATCGACATCTTGAATGGAAGATTTTTGAGGTTGATCATTATTTAATTCGTTTCTTCTAAATATTTTTGTTGTGACAGAGTCAAAGTCAAATCTGATGCACATGTAGTCAGTTTATCCTACACGCTAGTTGGAATCTAATTAGTACAATTGCTCTTCACGTGATCACACTGCACCAGAAAAGACATGACAAGTCCAATAGTAATTATAAAATCTATGGATTATCTTCCAGGCGATACCAGTCCATCAGACTAGATATGGAAAGATGGTATAATAACTGTGAAAAAAAACAAAAGCCTGGCGCGCTGCCTCTTTTGGCTCTACCAAATAACTAATACTAATGCTTAATGCCCTTCCTTCTCAATTTCCCAGAACAAAGAGATCCCGATGGTCATTTTTGTTTCCAAACGACTATCTTCTTCTTCTTCTTCTTCTTCTTCCTTTATTTCTCGTTTGAATAGCTTCCCTGCTCAAACTAGTGAGAGAGAGAGAGGTAGAAAAAGACAAATCTAATGTGCTATAAATCTCGCAATCTCGTATGAGAAAGAGGAAAGAAAAGGATGTGAATGTGTGGAATGTACAAGAAAAGGAAAAAAGAAAGAAAGATATCCCATTCGCTTTTATTCACCTTCCCTAGGATTTTCGAGGGAAAAGCGGATAAACAAGGGGCTTAATGGAACCGTCTCATTTCGAACCCATCAGTGCGCGACCTTGCGGGTGGACTAAAGGTCCGTTCTGAATCCGCAGTACTGGGGGGTAGTGCTCCAGATACACCGGGGCTATCTATGCTATGTAGGGGTCGCAAATGGGTTTCCGAGAGGGACGCAGCGTCACGCACGGCAACTGAAGAAACGAGACCGGATCGTGGATCGAGCGTGTTGGTGCGAGGCGGGGTATCGTAATCGGTTGCTTCAGGGATATCAGCCATGGCAGCTTCCTCATCGTTGCCGTGGCGGTTGCGGGAGAAGAAGCGGTTGCGGTGGGTGCGCTCGCGCATAGTGGACGAGGCGTTTGTGCCTACACGCTGGAGACTGGTGCTGCGGCCGCTTTCTTGGGAGCCACGGCCGTTGCGGTCTTGGCTGTGGCTGGGAGACGTGACGCGGACGACGGTGGCGCGGGTGCGGGATTCCATTTCGCGGTCTTCGAGCACGTCGCCGCTGGGGTCGTCGAGGCCGATGGATTTCATGCCGAGGGAGAAGTCGACACGGCGGCCCATTGCTGAGAGGGTTTCGGGGGCCGCTCTTGTACCGGGTTGACGGAGGATGGAGCCGTGGCGAGTAGGACCGGTGCCTGCAGATGTGGGAGGCACGCTTTCGGCACCGTTTTCTGGGGCTGGTGCTACAAAAGGCTGGTCCTGTGGCTCGTTGCGGATGTGGCCGTTGGGCTGATCGGGTGTGCCATTGATGCCAACACCAGGCGTAGCAGGGTTCTGTAGATTTTGAAGATAGACGGGGAACGATTCCTTTTGACCGGGGTAACGCATGCGGGGGCCTTCGATTTCGCATTCCTGAATAGCCATGGTGAGCGCACAGATGAACTTGTTGCGACGCTGCAACCTGAGCAGTTCATTTTGCCAGTTAGACTTGTAGAAGAAGACGACGTTGAGTTCGAGCCAGTGGACCTCCTGGACAGCGCGGAGTTCAGTAAGAATATTGGTCTGGTATTCACGCTTCTCAGATGTAACGAATTCGAGGAGGACGTTGCGGAGACGCTCAATCTGCTCCAGGGTGGTACCAAACTTGATGATGATAGGGATGGCTTCGGCGAGAGCTCCAGAACGACGGTGGTTAAGGATAAAGAGAGTGTTGAGGTAGCTGTTGGGCGCTTGAACGATATGACCTTGCATCTTCTTGAACTCCGTGTAGAAGAGGGCGATTTCCTTGACAAAATAGTCATCACCGCGACCGAGATCACCTGTGTTACCGTACACAGTGACACGGTCACCAACATCGTAAGGGTGCTTGACGAAGACGAAGATGCACGACTGTAGGAACTCCTGGGCGGTGGCGGAGAAGAGCCAGGACAAGGCGAGAAGAGCCGAACCAGCAGACGTAAGTACACCAGCAGCCGAAGTCGAAATGAGCGAGATGAAGACAATGATGGTGATGACGACCACAATGAAGACGAAGACATCGTCCAGCTTGGAGACGACGCTATCGAGATCCTTGAGAGAAGCAGTAATGGACTTGCGTTCACGACCAATCTCCACGCAGACTGCCTCAAGTTCTTCCATTGAAATGTCGCCGTTCATGTCTTTGTCGAACATGGAAAACGCAGCAGTAGCCTCCTCGTCACTGTCAAAGGCATTGTTGAGGTCCTCGGAGTGTACAGTCTCAGTTTCAGGTCGTGCAAAGGTGCGGTACAAGCGGCGGGCCAGTACTTGGGCGCCACTCGTGGTACTAATAAGCTGCAGTACGACCTGGTGAGGGTGGCCGCTGTTGGTTACCTGGCGACCAGTGAAGTCTCCAGCAACCTTTCCAGCAATGTCACCAAACTTGCTGAAGCCAACCTTGATGTTCTTCTGGGCTTCGGTCAACACCTGACCAGGGGTACGGGCTCCAGATTTCTGGGTTTCCTCGCTCTGCTCAAATTCCGAGTCTTCCATGGCAATCTTCTCTTTTGAGAATCTGTACAGCTTGGTAAGACTGCCAATCTGAAACTTGTTCAGTTCAATCCTGTCCTGATAGGTTCGGAGATGGAAGCTGATGGCAATGAGCTGGATAATGATTTTCTCGATGAAGTTCAGAACGAAGCCGACAAAGAAAGACACGAGCACCTTATTCATGTCGCGTTCCCAGTCTTTGGTCGTCTTGTTTCCGTCGAGATGGTGGTTAGTCATGGTCGGGAGAAAAGAGATTTCAATGGCCAGCCACCAGAAGAAGAGAGTGGCAGGCAGCTCAAGCTGCTTGCCCATGTCCCTCCATTTCTTACTGTTGTTGGTGAAGAGACTAGACACGAGACCAATTGGCCAGGGAAGTAGCTTAGCAAAGACCTACAATAGATGTTAGCATATGGGGATGCGATGGATGCAGAATAAATCTTACTCTGCCAGCCCACAGTGTCAACCAGACAATCATAAGCCATATAGAGAACCAAATCAGCTTAACCCCACCCACAGTAGCCTCTTTGAAGGCAAAGGCTCCGACGAGCAGAGGAATCAGAATCAGTAGCACCATGGGTGTAATGTAGGTAAAGTAGCGGACAAGCCATGACGAGTTGTGGACCTTTTTGAAGAACTTGGAGAAGCTGGTAGTGGGGTTCTCTGGTGGCTTGTAGCGAGCAGCCTGCTCGTGCAATGGGTTTGTAGCGGCATCAAAATCATCGACAAGGTCGTCGCGGCGAGATCGCACCCGTGTCATGGACCGGTTCGTGGACTGGTTCCGCTTGAGGGCTTCTTTCTCGTCGAGGCCTTGCTCGATTGCAAGCACAGCGAGGTCATCATTGAGTCTGCTTGCTTGCTCACGAGTTTGTGTAGGCGATTGCACGCCCCTCATGGATGCCATGTCTGGTTCGGTGTCGACAGTAAGGTGTGCGCCAGACTGCGATCGGTTATGCAACGGTCGTGGGTGATTATTCAGGTGTGGTTGGTGATGGTCGTCCCCAAAAACTGTACCGTCCTCGTCGGAAGACCGCTGGTGACCGTATTGTGTATTGTTGTCCATGTTGTATGTCGGCTCAGGCCGCTCGACATTTGGGGTCGTCATGGCGAATAAGCACAGTCGGACCCGTAGCCGTCGTGGATGATGATCGGCGCGCGATAGGAGACCGCGGTAGCCCTTGTTAAAAAGATCAGGGTAATATGGCAGCTCACGTCAGGCACTGAAACGAGCGTTTACTTTTTTCTTTCAGGGCCCAAGGGCAATCAATGGCTCGGAGTTGCTATTCGGCTGGTCCTAGGTGAAAGGGTCAACTAGTGAAACCGAGTGGCGTGACGTCAGGAGCGTGTCTCGTTAGTGAATCTAGCGAGTGACTGAGGTGAATTGGGGGGGCGTGCTGCGAGGATCAGTTGAGCGTGGGAGCGAAGGAGAAGAAATTAGAGAGAAGCAGGGTAGGACAACGGGTGGCAGCAGCGTATGTATGTATCGGTTGGGTGGAGCTGGCCTTGGGGTTAAAGGAGCAGGGCGAGGCAGCGCTGGGGCAGCGATTATTTTTGGGGACATAGCGATCTTTGCTTGCTTAGCATTCCAATGCTAACCTTGTGGTGGGCAGGAAAACTGGGTCGCAAAGGGTCGGCGGACGTGTGCGTGGCCATGGCAAAGTTGCGGGTGGGTCTCACGGTACCGTCTAGAATGTCTGTTGGGACGGGGGTTCTGGGAATGAGAGGGTCTGCAAAGACAACGGTGCACCAACCAGACATGGGCCAAGGGCTCGACAGCCTTCGCCTCGGGGCACCAAGACGCCGTCATCCTGTGTCTTTTGCAAATGCAAACACGGCCATTCTTCTTTGACATCCGTCGTCGTCGTCCGCGCCGTTGGGGCCTGCGCGGCGCTCCCTCGTAGCGCCCGCCACCGACGTCACCCAGCATCCGTATGCAGGTCCTGCGCATTGCTTTAGCTGCTCTTTTTTTTGAGTACAAAATTTCTTCGCCTTGACTTGATCTAGAGTAGGGTAGAGATGCTGCGCGCAAGCAGCTGATGACTTCTCCTGAGAAGCCAGCACACCACGTTCACATGTCCAATCGGCCATCCCGGTTTGCCCTGCCTGGTTCCAAGGCAAATTCTCCGAGCTTTCTTCTTATCTTTGATTTCAGGGACGCGCTGCTTATCGTGCGAACGAGTTTCAGAGAAAAAGCCGCCAGTTTACACAAAAAGCTTGTTGCGTGCCGATCCTAATCCCGCCCCCTGCATAGCCAAGGCTTCCTAGCGATCGCGTCGTGGGGTGCTCCTTCAAGATCGATGCCCCCAACTCCAGCAAAAGGATGGCATTCTCCAGTTTCGCGGACCCGCTGAAGTCTCTTCCTTCTCCATCTTTCTGACCCAGAGACGTTCTGGCCATGGGCAACGCGGTTCGCCTTCCCTGTGCTGTCTGCACCCAACTTACTCATGCCTGTTGCCAACCCTAGATTTCTCCCCTACACGTCGATCACCAAATTTACGGACGAGTGGAACCCTCGACACCGCATCCGTTCATCTTTCAATGCTCAAGCCCGACGAGGCGACGTGTCCTCGCAGCACAAATACTAAGCGATACGTCGTAGAGATTCGTGGTGGAGGCCGTATGCCCGGATCGTACAATCCACCGATTCCATGATTCCAATTGTGGGTCACATCCGCTGGATTGTGTCATACTACCCCGTATAGCCCAAAGGTCAATCTTCGTCATTTTGAGCTCCCCAACCCAATGCCGAGGGTCAAGTTTAATTGGCGTAGTCCCTGATCTCGTGGTATGTATTCTGTCCCCACATTTTTGGTGTGGAGTTGTATACATGTGTTGTTTTTCCCCTCGTATAGAGTAGGCGCGAAAACTGCAACCCTATGGTGACACCGCTTGCAACCCGACATCCAGCTAGTAATCGGTGTAAGAGCATCATAGAGTTGAAAGAATGAATCATACATGATACGCCTTCTTCTTAGCTTCTCGGGCGGTCTCTGAGCCGTCTAGCCTGGAAGTATGCTGCCGTTGGAATGATGTCTAGCACGACTTGGCACGAAGATGTCGTAAGTTGTGCAATATGACGCTGACGCGCTAGGGACTTGTGTCGCCTCATTCTCACTCCACTCCAATTAGTTCCCAGCTGGAAAATCTCATGGAACTTTATCTTCTATGCGCCATTGCACGTAGAGTTGGATATATTGTGCATCGCATAGCACTACGTAGCTTGTGGAAAGAACAGGTCCCGGCATCCCGCATGGGGCCTGGCGCCTTGGCGTTAACACTCGTACCTTGAGTAGAGTTTGAAGAGACGGAAGGACTCATGAAATTAATAATTCAGGGTTGCGGCTGAAAATGATGCAGCATCACTAAGCTAATCGTTCGTTCCATCACACTTTGTCACGTGTTCCGTCAAAAGCTTGCTACTGCAACCAAACTGCCAAAGAGCTTGCTTGATGGTCTCAACAACGGCATGTCCACCAGTCTTCAAGTCAGTGTTTCTTCAAAGATCAGGAATATGCTGATAAAAAATACTACCCACCTGGTGATAGAATCCCTTTAGTGCCCACAGCCGTTTTGAGGCTCTGTAGGCGACACGGGAACGCTAACCCCCATGTAGCTTGCAGGGGGCCGAGTCTTTTATTGGACACGCAGATACTACTAAAATCAACCTATCCTCTTTGAAAACCTGCCGTGAATAGAAATTGAAAAGTTCAATTTACATCCCTTATGTTTCCGCAATGCAAGAAAACGGTACAGCGAAATAAAGCCAAACTTCTCTCTGACCATCACATGTTTGTTGTACAATTTCTTTTCTCCTTTCTTCCCTCTCTGAGCCTACTGCTTCTCCGGCTAGCCTGTTCTCGCCTCATCTTCAGCTGTACCAAAGCCTCCCCAACCCTCGAATTCGTCCGCAAACTTGACTGCCGCGTTGAGCCAGTGACTCGGTGTATTGTCTGAGACACCCCACGTCTCTTCTGCCACCTTCAGCGCCCGCAGTGCTTGGGTTTGTCAGTCGAAATACAGCATGCATTGATGGTTGTCACGACTTGCCTTTCACATAGTGCTCATCCTTAGAATGGGGGCCATTGAGTGCTTTGTCCACAACATGTTTCCAGCTCTTCTTGCTATCTTCACCCGGAATTGCCTTGTCCATATCAATCACTGGCCGGGTCTGAGCAATGTACACTACAAGTGCAAATAGCCACCATTGTCGCAGTAGGCTCACGTGGTACTTTGCTGGGATCAAAGGAAGCAAGATGCGAATGGCATGTGAGCTCGTGAGCACATGCACAATAAAAAAATCATACTTGCCCTGAGAAGGAGCCGGTGTGCCCACCAAAAGGCCCATGCCTACTTCCTGGGCGGCACGGAATTGATCGGTTGGGCTGGTAATGTCCCAAGCATTCCAGTATTCTAGAAGTGCCTCCTCTCGCTCCTCCAGCACCTTTGAGATATCTCCACTCCTATCGTCATACAGACCATCGAAGCGACTATCTTGGCGTACCTTGTCTAGTAGACCGATCAGGCCAGATTGAGCGCCAGTCGCGCTATGAGGACTAGGCTTGGTGTATTTCGGGTCATCAATGTATTTGTGCAGGGAGTTGTAGCAGCAAGCGCCCATCGCCAGAGCCTCAATTGCCACCGTTTTGGAGTTTAGCTCATATGCGTATCCAAGGTGGATAAGGGGATGTGCGACTATGCAGTTTTAGTAAAATATTGTTAGTTGTGGGCGTTGAACGTACGTCCAGAGATCATGCCGTTGATCAATGGCTCCTTTCCCTGGAATAAGAACTCTTCGAGGACTTGCTCGACGCTGTACTTTTTGGTCACGAGCTGGTCCTCGAAGAAATCGATAAAGGCACGTTGGTACCTGTTCACAGGGTCAGCAGTTGACCCTCATTTCAGAGCAGCACTGTGGCAACTGGTAACGTACTCGGGTTTTCCCAAGAAGTCGCGCCAATCATCTTTGGTAATTTCGCCCGGTGCATCCTGCCAGGGCTCCAGTTCTTCGGCTTCCTTTTCGTAGATGTCGTTTAGATGCTCGGCAGTGCCTCCGAGAAGGTAAGCTGATCCTAGGATCTACGGAAGATGCTTAGCAGCTACAGGCTTTGTTGGGCGAGCAGCATACGTGTGGTGTGTGGTTATGGAATACGAGGTTATGGTATAAGATTCCGTAGTTGGCGTGATTTGCCTTGAGCAGATGCTTGAGGGTCCGCGGTCGCTTCTCGGCAGCTGTTTCGATATCATGAATTTCCACCGAGGGCAGGTTGACAGTCAGATGCGAACCCTCTCCGCCGCGAAGGAAGGATGGAAGCGATATTCTCGGTAGGCTGAACATTTTGTGCGGTGGTGTCGGAAGATGCAAGAGGAGGTTTGCGGGGAAGCAGGGCAAGGATGAACTCGCGTTGCGCCTTCCTCGATATGGTATGACGTGATGTGCTCAGTGCTGCTTGCAAGGCCTGCCGCCGTCGGTGTTAGTGTCGGACCACCAGCGCCGCATCCGAGAGCCTTGTCCTGTCTCCAACCCACGTCTAACCTTCAACGAGCTGCCTGTTCCATATTCCTACGCCTTGGCCGCCCCATCATGCCACGCCTGCAAAGGGCGGTTTCAAATCCATTACTCCATCGGGCAGGTTCCTGCATGTGTCGATCTCTGCGACCTTTTTCAGTGAAGGCTAGACTCCTGCAAACTCTAGACCCGCACTTATTTCTCACGTGTTGCTCCATCCTCACTCACAAACTCGGTCTTCTGCTCCGTCGTGTCTTTTTGCGCATACTCGATTGGGCAGGAAGGTCAGAGTGTCGATTGCGGCAGCAATTTTAGGGAAATACTAGGTTCATCCTAGGCCCCGATTTGCTAATACTTACGTACCTTTTTTAGTTCACCAGACGCCCACAGTCATTAAAAGACCCAGATTCCAACTATACAAATATTCTCGTTGTCCCTTAGAAGTCGAATTGGCCTCGATGCTCCCATTGGGCCCCGAACTCTATCTGATAGGCATAGAGTATCATATCATAATATGGTCAGGTACCTCAGCATAGTCAGCCACTCGTGGCCGCAGTTACCCGCCAATCGGCATTCGATCTCAAATTCTACCCCTTGTTCCTCACTGCATGCCGCCCAATGTTCCAACACGAGTGCCCAACGCGAAGCGGCGAGCCCGCCCTTCAGATTGAGGCGATTTACTTCTCACACGTCCCACACTTGCAGAGCTACCTCTGACTGTTGAAAGCACGATCGCATGGGCGAGAAGACAAAGGCCGTGCTATGACCCTAACAGCTGTCTGCATTTCCTAGGATATAATTGATGGGTTTAGGGCTCCGCTCTAAGACGTCAGGTCCGATGTACGTGTTACAGCCGGCCGTTCGTGACCAGAAATCCACCACAACTTTGTCATTCGGCATTCTTTATCAAGGATCGAATTCGGAGGACAAAAAGACATCTTCAGATTATTTGTTGATTCAACGATTCATAATAACAGACCCATTTGAAAATGGGCAGGTCGAATCACCTAAATAGGGCATCTACTGGTCAGAATTCTTGCCTAGCATTTTCACACGCACGTTTTTAAACACATACAAGCAAACTGTCTGATTTCATCTATCGGGTCTCGTGGAAGATTAACATTACTGTGGATAGAAAGTGACACTTTTCGCTGGCACAGTACCGGGTCCACGTCCGTTGCGCATGTTCCATCACCATCGCGGATAATAAGACTGTTGCTTCGTATTTTACTGCCTTTGCCATTGCTTCCGTGGACTGATGGAAATGCTGGCTTTGGATTCATTGTCGATAAGCATCTATTGAATAACCCTCCTCGCGAATGTTCAAAACCTTTAGTCAAGTCATCACATCAGAGGTCAATTGGACGCCCAAAATTTACATTAAATACCGCTTGGTGGCGTTCTGCAGGCGCACTGGCATCCGTCGTTCCTACATGTTTCGGCCATCAACAACCGACACACGGTTACATTCAGGTCCTAGTAGGACGCACCTACACAGGCTTTCATAAACTTTGCGCTCACTCGTCTAGCAGTTTTTAGTGTTACACAGTGTGCTGTAGTGCCACTGCATCCCACTATGGACTTAAGAACCTACCGGCGGATGCGAGCGACTGCAAGATTGGTTCAAGCAAAAAGCCAAGCGTGCCATCACCCCACAAGCGCATCTGCAACACCAGCCAACACCGCTGGCACAAGTCTCCAAATAATGTATTTTCTAATCGAGTCAAGCGCCGTCCCTGCCTCAGGTCATTGACCAGGCGAAAATCTACTAGTCGATTTACAGATCAGGCGAGAAGTCCTACTAGTACTAATTCGTTCGTCACCAATGCAAGACAAGACCACGGATCCCATGCACCACGAGCCGCACCCTTGTGGGATGTGCGACCGCTGTCTTGCATTGCATGACGGCAAAACGGCAGACACACGCGCTCCCCCTAGCTTGTTCTTAGCAGGTGGTCCAGAACAGGAAATTTAGTAGCGTAATGCGATTGGTGGGCCTAAGGGGGGTTACAAAGACTAGGGATCATGCAAGTATCTGAACTCAACAGCTCGGTTACGTGGTTGTATGCACGAGCTGATCTTCATGTATGTGCTTTATCATTTTTATCCCTCGTTTTTACCCGGGAACATTTCTGCCATTTTGACTCTTCCCCGTCCTTTGCGTCGCTATCTTATGCTGCCTTCGTTTGTTAGGGGTCAATTCTTTTCTGTGCGCTACAATCGTTATGTCACCTAAGAACGGTGAAATCGAGCTGGACGTTGTGTCAACTGGATCCACAGATAAGCAAGATGATCTTGCTTTGGCGAGACTGGGTAAAAAAGCTGTATTGAAGGTATGTATGGAATACCGTCTTTCTTTAGAGAAAAGGCCAAATACTCAGCTAATTGACGTTACACAGCGCCGTTTTGGCTTCTTGTCCATCCTAGGGTTTAGCTGTACGGTTCTGATTACATGGGAAGCGTCATTGGTGTGCGTTGATTCTGCCCTACCCTCCTGCGAGCCACGTTGCTGACTCTTACCCTAGCTTGTTCCTGGTCGGTTTCCAAAAGTGAGTTGTGGCCTTTTGGTAACGATACGGATACTCAGCAATTATAGTGGAGGTCCTGCTGGAGTCATCTATGGCTACATCGTTGTATGGGCAGGTACCGTGTCTGTTTTCATAGTACTTAGTGAATTGGTATCAATGTGAGTATACTCTCCTCCCACACTTGATATTAGCATAAGAATAATTTATTAACACTGGATAGGGCACCTACTTCCGGTGGCCAATACCACTGGGTATCCATGCTCGCCCCTCAAAATTCCCAGGTACTACTCAGCTATGTTTCCGGTATGTTCTGAATTTAACCCCACAAATTGATAGCCGTTTATTAATACATGATAACGTAGGGTGGCTCACTCTTTGCGGCTGGCTAGCATCTCTCGGCTCAGGTGCCTTCTTGACTGGTGGACTGATTCAAGGTCTTATCATGCTATGCCAACCTACGTCCTATGTCCCTCAAAACTGGCACGTCACCCTCTTCTACTGGGCTATAATAGCCTTCTGCATCTTCATCAATGTAGGAGCCGGCTGGCTGTTGCCCAAGTTCGAAGGCGCACTGCTGTTCCTACATATCCTTGGTTTCTTCGCCATTTTGATCCCTCTTCTGGTAATGGGCCCGCAGGGAGATGCCCAGGATATTTTTACAACTTTTCTGAATATGGGAGGCTGGAATAGTCAGGGACTGAGCTTTTGTGTGGGCATCATGGGGAGTGTGTTTGCTTTCGTCGGTGAGTTTTCCTGAGTCGATTCATCTCCGATCACCTGTTCTCTCCAAGAACTAGTTCTGACTGACATGGATATCAGGTGGTGACGGTCCTATTCATGTAAGTCTCCCGAACCTCAGGTCCCAATTCCAGAGAAACGAAAAGCACTAGCAACTCGCCTGCTAACTCTTTCACAGCTCTCCGAAGAAATTCAAAATGCGCAGGTCGTCGTGCCCCGCTCAATCATGATTGGTATCGCTATGAACGGCACCCTTGGTTTCGGCATGCTCCTCACTGTCCTCTTCCGCATGGGCGATCTCGACTCGGTCCTCGCTGAAAATCCCGCATTCCCATTCATGGTCATCTTCCACCGTGCAGTGCAATCGCGATCTGGCGCCGCCGTTATGGCTTCACTAGTCATGGTTCTAACCATCGGCGCAGGCGTCGGCCTCTCAGCCTCCACGTCCCGCATCTGCTGGGCTTTTGCCCGAGACAAAGGGCTACCAGGTTGGAAAACACTAAGCAAGGTAGAACCACTCATTTTCTCTGCTCCCAGAGTGTCAGTAATCTTACACGTTACAGGTCAGCTCCAGAACCCAAATCCCCGTCCCCGCTGTCCTCTTCACAAATATAGCCGCCTGCCTCCTTGCCCTCATCAACATTGGCTCCACCACCGCCTTCAACGGCATCATCTCCGTCGCCATTGCCGGCCTCTTCTCTTCGTACCTTCTCACTTGTTCCTTGCTACTCTACCGCCGCTGTACAGGCGGTATCGGCCCCCCTACGGATCCTATCGCCGCACTGCCATCATCCCCGCTCAATCAAGACTCGAAAATACATGCAGTATGGGGGCCCTGGCGTCTCCCAGCTGTTTTGGGTATCGCCAACAACGCTTTTGCATGCGCCTATTTGTGTTTTGTGCTCTTCTTCAGTTTCTGGCCTAGCTTTGCGCAAGTCACGGTGCAGAATATGAACTGGGCGGTGCTGGTTACGAGCGTGATTGCGGGAATGAGCGTTGTGTATTATGTGGTTTGGGCCAGGAAAGTGTATCGTGGGCCGGTGGTGGAGGTGGATGTGGCGAGGGAGGGTGGTGGTGTTAGGGACAATGAGGGAGTGTAAGGGTGGCTGGAATTATTATCGGGGAGATGGTGTGACGTAGATGGGGGCACGGGGGCATTCTTCTATACGTGGGACGTATGTTGTACTGCTCATGGGGAGATTTTGAAAATCGGCATGGGAGTCAATCATGATTTACGAACATTTCTTTACAAAAGCTCACATGAAATTAGGGCCAGGCGGTTCAAATCGAACGTAGCTCATTTACTGAGCAAATGGTATATACTACGTCAATCATCATCATCATCATCATATACACGTTAAACAACAAAAAACAGCATTGGTATCGACTCGCCACGTTAAGCAATCCAGAACCAAATCTTCTGCCAGACATTCTTCGGTACGGGCGCCCCCGAAATATCATCCTTGCACAGCTCATTCATTTCCCGGACTCCAGTCGTGACATTGATGCTCTGCACAGGAATTGCAAACCTTGTCCTAGTCGCAATCTTGTGGCCAAAGTAGAAGGCGAGGAAGATAGGCAGGGTAATGTATGCAGCAAGGAAGTTGGAAACATCCCAATCAGCGGGGACAAAGACCTGGAAGCCGTTTGTGAGGGTGAGGAGGGAAATGACGAAGAGGGTGAAATAAGTGAGGTATGGCTGGAAGGGCGTGCGGTAAGGCAGGGTCTCGAGAACGCCGTTGAAGATCATGGCTTTGCGGAAGCGGATGTAGGTGATCATGACGACGATCCAGGCGATGAAGCCGGAGATGGTGGAGATGTTGGAGAACCAGAGGAAGACCTGGGCGCCGGTGTTTGAGACGTTGAGGTAGGCGAGGAGGCCGATTGCCCATGTTGCGAGGACAGCGACGTATGGGGCGCCTTTTTTGCTGGTGCGGCCGAAGATCTTGGGGGCTTCGCCATTGAGGGCCATGCCGTAGAGGACGCGCGAGCCGGAGAAGAGGAAGGCGTTGCCGGCGGACCAGGCGGATGTTAGAACGGCGGCGTTGACGACGTGGTTCAAGCCTGCGATGCCGGCTCTTTGGATGCCGATGACGAAGGGAGATGCTGAGGCGTTGGAGCTTCCGCCGAGACGGTCGTCGTCGGAGGGGACAATGACGCCGATGATGAAGGATCCAAGGCCGTAGAAGATGGCCAGACGGTATACGAAGCGACCTGCGGCCTTGGGGATGTTGCGGCGAGGTGCAATGGTCTCTCCAGCAGCAAGGGCAATCAGTTCAGGCGAGGTGATGAAGGCGAACCCAGCGCGAACAAAGGCAGTCCAGTATGCAAGGAAATTTCCAGCATTTCCATCTACGATATATGGCTTAAAGGCACCGGGATTATTCCAGTACCTAAAACCCAGGCGGCCTTGATCATTTGGACTTCCACCAAGCATAATGACGAAACCCAGAATAACGAGGCCGATGATGGTGATAAACTTGATAGAGGCAAACCAGAACTCTGCTTCTCCAAAAAACTCGACAGCGATGATGTTGAGCAAAAGGACGACAATCAGGAAAATGGTGATCCACACAGCATTGTGAACGGGAGTTTGCCAGTAATCGAGGAGAATGGCTCCAGCCGTGGCCTCTGCGGCAACAAGAATGGCGTACGCATACCAGTAATTCCATCCCGCGGCAAAAGCTAAGCTGGGATCGACGAATCGTTTGACAAAGTATGGAATCGTGATTCCGCGCATTGGCAAAAAGGTGACGATTTCAGCCAAGTTGTTCATGACGTTGTAAACAACGAGCATCATGCTCAGGTAGGCCATGAACAGAGGTGCGGGGCCGACGAGGGCGAGAATAGAACCCGATCCGATGAAGAGACCAGTACCGATGGCACCACCAAGAGCACTGGATCTTTATCAGCATCCGACCTATTTCAAGATTGAAACGCGCATACTTACAGAAACTGAATATGCCTAGATTTCAATCCACGATGTGTGTCTCCTCCCCGACCCGTCTCGCCGCCCACAGTAGCAGCGCCATGGACAATGGGCTCCTCGAAGCCGACATTATTCTCCTCGTAGCCATAAGGGGCCGACTCGGGCTTTTCATCTGCCATGTAATGGTTCGGCATGACTAGAGTGGTAGGAGAGTGAAATGACAGGCTCGCCGGTACCAAACTTGGCCAGTGTAAATCGGGAGATGGTAGGTCATTATATACTACAAGATACGGCGTCACAAAAAGCGCAAGGCGGGGTGGCGCACGCGAGGAGCTGTTCAGGCAGAGATTTCCAACATGGTGAAATGGGCCGAGACGGGAAGGAAGGGTACTACTTTCCCAGGTTGGGGTTCCAAGAGGGCATCCATGGTGTGGGACGATGCTGTAGCGTTGGCGGCGCAGACGCATGCATAGCTAGGCGACTCTGGGGAACCAATTGTCGTTAGGTAATGGCAAACTACCGACGAAAAGGCGGGGGAATGACCTTGGCGTTCCGTGAAGGATGCCACACAGAGCAAGGCCTGGCGTGATGACGCCCTGGTCGTGCGTCTCGCATTTTCTCGGCTCTGTCCTTGCTGGGCGCTGGGCACTGTTCGAGATGTGGTGTGTGAAGGCTGTTTTCAGCCCAGCCCGATGAGTGGAGTGAGGCCTTATGGCTCTGAGCCGAAGAAAAGCGCGTGCCGTGGGGTTGAGGCTCAGCTTCGCCATAGCCAGAGCCCTGACAAGCTTCTGGAATACGCGCTAGTTGACGCTAGAGGGGTTAGCGTCCGCTAGTGCCCCACCCATGGTTTGCCAGATGCTGCCCGGCACTGTGCACACTGGAGACCATCCATGTGGTTTATGGAGAAGGGTGCGGATTCATGGCCTCGTTTGGAGATCGCGGGGTTAGCTCTACGACCCTTATTGCCCTCCGGTGTCATTGTGCGACGGCCAGTATTCCGCAGCACTCCTATAACAAAGTCTCGAGTCGGCTGTCAGACTACGCGTCATACGTCTTGTGCAACCATCACATCTTGCAGATTTTTCTCTTTGCTCGCTTGGCCTCGTAACCGCAAAGTCTGCGTCCTTATCACTTCATGCCACAACAAAATATACCCTTATCTCTGGCTATTCACACCGCTGGGGTTTGCAAACGTAAAAGATACTCGTCCAAAAGCCTCCCAGGCGCACCCACTTGGCTCAGAACATGTTCGTTGCGGGTCCTAGTGGAGACACCAACCCCAGAGCGCTATGGACACATGGCGTGACCCACTATCCTCCACACATCAACCTACCCAGCCGTCTGTATTTTGACATAGGGCTATTATCTCCGCACGACTATGCCAGTGATAGGCAAGCTTCCCCTCTTATCCAATACGAGATTGTTCGGTCTAAAAGTGACCATTGCATTGGGTTTTCCCTAAACACGGTCATGGGTCAGACAGGTACACTACCCCGGGCCCATAGTACTGCCGCAATCCAGCGATCAGCACGGCACCTGATTGATATCAAGGAATATAATCTGCATCCTTGCTGGGCCAACGTCAGCTCATGTTATCAAGTCGTCAGCCCTTCTCAGGGTTGAGACAAATCCATCGGCAGTTACCACTTCACTCTCTCATACTATGCTGGTATCGACATGTTCAGTGGCGACTATACAACAAGAAGGGACGACTTGATACATTCCTAGACGACCATCGTTTGCAATTCCACCCCGGGGCCAGCTTGGTCAACCTTTTCGCCAAAGGAGAAAGCTGCCACTTCGAGATGTCATGGGTTATTTCTTCCGACAACCCTTCCAAAGCCACCTTCCTCCACGCTTTTGTTTTGGTACCATTTTAGCTCCAACACGTAGTGAATCGCAGACAACCTTTTCAGCCTCCAGGACGCATCAAAATGCAACCGATAAGAAACACATTGCAGGAGAAAGTGAAAGACACTGCAGTTCTCATTGGGGATTCACAACCCCAGATGTATGGAGGTTACGTGAGGCTCAACTTCGGCGCAAAAGAACCGCCACCCGCTCAACCCCTCACCCTGCCACCCGTCAGCGGCTGCAAGCGAAAGCACAAGCACATACACACGACAGAAAGACGTCATGGCAGCGGAATCCCTGATGCTCCCACCATGCACCTTCCATGAGAACGACTCAAGATGCCACAACCCTTGCGCCCGTAGCACCCCCAACCGACCATGATACCGCAAGACGTGATCGAAAAAGCGCTATCCAGAGCCCAAGAAAGCGCATCACATAGCTGGGAACACAGCACAGTCTTCGAAGCCCTCCTCGAATACCGCAATCCACCCTACAGCGTCTTCTCCCCGGACCCATTTCCAAACGGCGAAACGCCAAGACTGAAGATCGAAGACATCGACGCCCTACGCTATGTAAGGCCGCTGATCCGGACCGATACCCCAACGCTCAGCGAAGACAACGGTGCGTTTGCCCCCTTGCATACTCTGTGCCCTGTCGTCAAGCCGTAGAAAAGAAGCCGACTACGTACGAAAAGAAAGGAGACGAATACGAACCGCAGATTGCTTGCAATCAAGTCATTAAAACAACCATAGGCTCATCAGCAGACCCAGCATCCCTGTGTCTCCCCGCCCTGCTCCTCTCCCTCTCGCCATCGCTCTCCCCTTCCACCCAGACCACCTATTCCACCGCGCTATCCCGCCAACTCCACCAACTCCTAAAAGAAACAGCGCGTTTCCCAAACGGCGCCTTATCCCACCGCACAACCCACCCCTCACTATGGTCCGACTTCATCTACATGGCACCCCCCATCCTCGCCTACACGGGCGTCTCTACCCACAATCCCTGTCTCCTCCATGAAAGCGTGCGCCAGTGCGAATCGTACTGCGAGATCCTACGTACACCATCGGGTGCTTGGCGCCACATCGCCAATCTCACCTCTTCTTCTACACCGGAGAAAGTAAAACAAGACAGCGGCGCATGGACCACGAGTAATGCGTGGGCAGCCGCAGGCATGGCACGTGTACTAGCTACCCTGCTCCACTCTCCCTTTGCAGCACACACGACGGCAGAGCAGACCTCGCTTGTTGGTATGATTAAAGGTATTGTAGATGCGGCGAGGAGTGTGGATACGCATCCTTCGCGTTTGCTGCGCAATTATCTAGATGATGAGACTGCGTTTGCAGAGGTGGCGGGCACGGCGTTGATGGCTGCGGCCGTGTTTAGAGTCGCGGGCTTGGAAGGCGCGGGGGAGGTGCTTGGGGGTGGGTATACGGCGTGGGCGACGGAGAAGATGCGGGCGGTGGCGCAGCATGTTGATGTGCGGACGGGGGTTGCGGCACCGGTTGTGAACTCGCTGAAAGAGAGCCAGCAGATGCCTCCGGGAGAGATCAATCCCGAGGCGCAGGCGTTTGTTGTTTTGCTGTTTGCTGCGTGGCGGGATTGGAGTCAAGCTGAATCATCGAAAGGGGGTTATTTCCTAGACCAACTGTGATGTTGAGACTCTGGTTTGTGGAAAATGCCGTGATTGGTGCTGTGCTACAGACTCAGCGCAAAAGGGGTAACCACGTAGTAGCAGCAGTAATGTTGTATTTCGTGTACGCTGGATCCAAAAGAAAAGGATTGCGCTCGAGTCCTGAGACTTTTCCTCTTTCCATTATCAAAGTATTAAACAGTTACTCGTCTACAATACCCCTCCGCTATGCAAAAAATAAGGATTAAAAAAAAGATAGAAAAGAAGATTCGGCAGGTCGTCAACGTCCAAGCGGTTAACCTTAATCTTCCAGCGGTCATTACAACAACGATCTAACAGCGGAAAAAAAAAGAACAAGCCAAGGGGGTGTACTTGTGTATATCCAGAAAGTTCGTGAGTTGGGTCTGACCTCGAACAAAAAAACATGGATCGTTAAAGAGAGCAGCAGGAAAAAAAGAATGGACGTCTGGCCTTGATAAGGTGGATGACATGGTGATACATGACATGTCGTTGCTCCAATCGTTACTCGCTGGTGTCGTCAAAGCAGTCACAGGCAGGCCTAGTCGGTTCGGCCCTTGCCGTCGACAACGCCGTTGGACCTCAGGCTCTTCTCGTTGGGCTTCACGGGAATGGTAAAGCACTTGATACCAAGGTAGTCGCATATGCTCGTGATGACCAGGTGCGCCCATTTTCCGTAAACAACAAAGGCGAAAACAAAGTATGCGCGGAGGTACCAGAGCTCGAAGCTAGCGGACACGGGACCAAAGGTGGTTCCGGGAATGGTAAAGTAAGGGTGGTTGACAATCAGCGCTCCTCCAATCATGGGCGCCAGCATGATGGTCCAGTAGGGGAACGGCTGATGGGTGAGATGGGCCAGGATAATCTTGGTCGTCATTCGTCCAAAGACCAGCGACATGGTCAGGCAGTAGAGAACCAGGTGGTTATCCTCGAGGAGCTTCGAGTATGGCGATCCCAGCCAAGCCATGGTGCAGACAACGAAGATAATCAGGGGCGTCCATTCCTTGATCAGTGGAAGCACGGGCTGGTTCCTGGCTCGGCGTGCACGCGCAACGTTGAGGATGCATTCAGGGAGGTGCGCAACGAAGAAGGTGAAGAGAAGGATTGGCACCCAGAGTTCCTTGATAGTGATTTCGCCAATCTCCGCCTTGTAAGACGGGAAGTAGTTGGCAAGCGGGGTCGACCAGATCTCCGGGCCGAAGTATCCGGACAGGCAGATGAAGGTGCAGGCGAGAATCAGGCCCTCTGTATCGCGTGAGCTAATGTTCAGGAGAGCGCATGTATCCAGACTCACCCGTAGGTCCGTTAAAGTATCCCAGATACAGGGTATGCGTGTGGTACGTCTCCCACGTGGAGAAGAACATGGGCAGAACAGGAATAAGGGCAGTAAAGGCACCAATCTTGGTCGAGCCGTATCCAACAGCTGCAGTCTCCAGGAGGCTTGCCAGTGTGCAGTTCAAAGAATCAATGCCGTGGCTAGGTGTGACGGTCAGTGACGTGGTCTGGCGCGTTCGGCTACAATGTCACATACTCAAACAGTTCACCCAGCGGGCTCGACGAGCCGGTGCGACGCGCTTGCTTTCCGTCGACGTTGTCCATTGTGGAGTACCTGCAGGAGCATTAACGCAATGCTTGGGCGCGCGCAAACGTGGTGTTTGCTTACATCCACATGCCAAAGGCGAAGCTGTAGTAGACCCATGAGGGCGCTGGACCGACGAGATCGGGAATGTACACCTCGAGCAGCACAATGTTTCCTAGGATGAAGCAGAAGCCGAGTAGCGTGACGAGGTTCGGGGCGAGCCAGAGGGGCAGTAGTTCGACAAAGGCATTCCACTGCGCTAAAGTCAGACGAGGTCTTGTGGGTTGCGGGGATGCATGGCGCAGCGTACGTAGTGCTTTAGGATGTAGCGGGAGATGAAGGACTTGTCGACGCTCGAGTATTTGTACGTCCGCAGGTGCTGCAGAGCATCTTCAGAGACACACTCATGCTTCTTTGTCTCTGTAGACGTGTCAGTGTCAGCAGAAAAATAAAAACGATGGGCTAAAAGCCGGGCGCGCGCCAGGGGGGCAGTTTGTACCTTTGCTCGGCGGCATGGTGGGCGTGGTGACAGGATGTGGCAGCGACATTTAGGCTAGCAGGGCGGGATTAATTTATAGTGGTTTACGATTGACCATGCACTGCTGTGGGGGGAATCTGCACTTCAGGAGCCGCCTGTCTCTTGTGGGTTGGGGTGGGCGTTTGGCTTCAGCGGCGGTCAAACTTCTAAAAGGGACGGGTCCGTCGGCTCGGTAGGCGAGGACCAGGGATCTCAGGGCCAGGGGTCCAGAAATTGCACGTCATTGCTCAGTTCCCAATGCTTCTGGCACGTGAAAGGTCCGTCCTGTGGCTCTTGCGCCCCTTTACTATTATCTACTACATAGTATGTCCGCTACACAGTAGTACTACCACATACCCACACATGTACCACTGCCGCCTATACTGCTAGTCTTTGCACACCCTCTTTGCTAATTTCACCTTAATAAAAACCCACTTGCCGTCTAAAAAGGATGCTTAACGCTTTTGAGCGTTAAGCAACGAAGCACCACTGCAAGCCCTGGGTTCCACGTTGCCAGCTTCTTCTTTCAGTCAGCCATCATCGCCTGGCATGCTACCTTGAGAGGGTTTCCTCTTATCCAAGGTCCAACAAAGGACAGCGTGGTACAGTGGACTTCGATGTCAATCTCCTTTAGTCTTGGCAAAATTGGCTTCAGAGACATATTGTGGGGTTTGAGCCAAAACGGTAGATGCATCGCGAGGAGACGACTATTTGTCTTGAAGTCGTATATATATCCTTTGCTAACCCAGAGACGAGTGACGTGAATACTCAGTCTGCGTATGACTGTCCTGTACTTGGGCTGTCGGGCAAGCCATACTGGAAGCATTATCAGATCTGCGATGCGATACATGACCAGAGCCGCTATCATGTCGTCGTCTTCGTATCCCTCAAGCTCAAGGCTACATGCGCGCTTGTTCCTATTAAATTCTGTCAGGTCGCGGTTGTGAATAAATCCGATTCCAAAGTGGTCCATCTGTACGGTGGAATCTTTGAAAACGGTTGAGTATATCATCGCGCGTAGCTCGGTGGGTAGGCTAGGTAAAGTCAGCTTTCGGGGTGAGTCCTTAACAGTAATGTCTCTGGCCTTCACGTCCTTACTCTTTCCAACCTGCAGCATACTGCTCGTGTGCATAGGAGAAATGCTCATCTTTCTAGCTGTGTAATTGTTAAGAGGATTCAAAGTCGTGTGTTAGTTCTTGGTGTTCAGGCGGAGATGCAGAGGATACACCGGGTTTTTATAGCACCTGTGAGTGAGTCATTATTTGGAGTTGAGGAAATAGAGCAACAGTATGTCAACCATGGGTGGAAAGGCTTGACCACTGAACTCTGGCTTACTCATCCACAACACTCAGCCGTGATAACAAACGGGCACGACGTGGCATGGTACATGTTATAAATGTACCTGAATAAAGAGGCCTGCTTCTACGAAGAATTCGTTACACAAAATCATGGTGAAACCATATCAATAGCGGCTGATTGCAGCTTGAGCAAAGTCTCGCTAGCAAAGCCGCTCATTGCGCCTAAGCTCACAATCCAAATCACACGCCAATCGCCATACCAAGGCTCACAGCCCTGATCTGCAATAGAGCAGGAGCAGCTGGACAAAAACCACCTGATCCATGAGAACACACATGAGCCTTCATTTACGATGCTGCGGCCGCCTTCCTTTGATCCTCCTCTTTCCGCATATCCTCCAAAAACTTTTCCCATGTCTCAATCGTGCCCTGGAAGAAATCCACGTGCGCATCTGCTAGATCACCGAGCGTGTCCTTGAACTCAATGGCTTTGATACGTTCAAAATCAGCCACTTCCTTGACAGTGTGCTCATCAAATGCCTCGCTGGCCTTCTTTGAAAGCTCCACTTCGCCTGTCAGACGCTCAATCTCGACTTCGAGTTTGCGGACCCGTTGCCGACGCGCTTGGTCGTGGTCGATACCTCGGAAATCCTCAACCTTGGATCGTAAGAAGCCAGATGCACCCATGCCCGCCCCAGTTGCGCTAGCCAGCGAATCACGGTCCGCAGCAGACTTGGCCAGGTATTCGCTCAACTGCTCAAAGTCAAGCTGCTTACCCTCCCTCGTTCGAAGCAGCGTCTTTACGGCCTGGATATACGCATCCATGTCTCGTAAACTAGTCAGGTAGTTCTGGTCTGTGTGATCGCGAATAGACTTGAAGCCCTGTGAGGTGGTGTTGACAGAAGCGGCGAACGAGGTCAGGTTGCCTTCGACTGCAGGCTCCATGGTAGTCAGCTTCTGGCACTGCGTCGCTAGGTCGGCGTAGTCGGTCTCCAAGTCTCCTTGCCGCCGGGCGACCTTGACGGTAACCTTTTCCACATTGTTCAAGTCTTCGCTGAGCTTGTTGGCTCGTTCGCTGACCTCAATAAAGCGCTGGTCCGGCTTGTGTATCTTGGTGAAGGTGTTGACGAATGTGTCTGCTATGGCATCGACGAAGCCGCCGCTGCCTTGCTCAGACCCACTTGCTGCTCTCGACGATCTTCCCTTCATGTGCTGGTTCCAATCCGGGCTCTCGAGGAAGTTGATAACAAGCACGGCTCTTCGCAGTACAGGATGTAGCGCTATCCGCTTCAGGAAGCGGTGCAGGGAGTGGGCTCTTCTCTGTGTAAAGTCCGGACCGAAGCGGTCTCCGCGTACATACTCCATTTTGTGCTTGTCGGGTAGCGGAGGGACGGCGCATTGTGGATACTCTTTGGAGAGCTGTTTCCAGAGGAAGACAAAGTCTGTGAAGCGGCGGCGCACGGAGAATTCGGGCTTCTGGAAGGACTGGAAGTCGGACTATAGGCGGGGTTAGGTGTTAGAGACGGGGTACGTGAAGACAGAACTGCAGAAATGGGCCAAGGTACCAACCTTTGTAGTCACCAGATAGGAAACATATTGGTTCTGGGTGCCTGCCAACTCTTTCTGTGGGCTGCCGACAAACGTCTCTAGGCGCCCTTCGCTGAAGTCGCCCCCCATTGCGCGTCTGCGGGGTGCGTTTGGATCGCGGGTGAGTATCAGGCGACTCTGTTGGAGCTCTTCAAAGTCGCTTAGGCAGTCGTAGTCTGGCTCGTCTAGTAAATCGTCGCACTGATCGCGAGGGCTTCCTGTCTGCTGTGGTCCTGGTAAGCTCGGAGCTGAGTCGGTGACGTCGGTTGGAGAGGCAGTGTTAGGGTGGCCTGGGCTCTCGCCCGCACCCTCGCCCTCCCAGGTGAGCGACCGGCACCGGATCCGCTCGTACATTGCTTCAAAGTCATCAACACTTGACAGCAGCATGTAGTCACAAGGTCTGTATTCAAAGGCTCAATGAGCGTGTTTGGTGTGCGCGTATCAATCGTTCCTGCTCAGCTAAGTGCAAACAGGCCTGCAATCATACCACAGTCGGTGAATATCTACAGTGAATGCGGAATGCGCAACTTGCCCAAGCAAACGCGCTCCCTTGTCGCGTGCATGGTCAGATACATTCATGCTTAATCCAGAAGGCCACCCTAAGTCCTTGGTCTGTAAACCAGAAAAGTGTAACGGTATCATCGTGACATAATCAAACACTCGTAACTCAAGCCCATCAGTACACACACTACTGCTCAGCACCGAAGCGCTTGCCGAACTCGTTGAAGAGCTTGGGGGATATCTCGTCGCTGCTGTTTCCATTCACGGTCCACAGCACGCCCAGCTTGTCGTAGTGCTCAAGCAGAGGCTCGCTGGTTTCCTTGAAGCTCTGGAGACGCGCCTTCCACACCTCTGGGTCGTCGTCTGCGCGCCGCGTAAGCGGCTCACCCGTGACATCGTCTTTGCCCGACACCTTTGGCGCATTAAACGTAGTGTTGTAAACGCGCCCCGAGGGTTCGTGCACCCAGCGATTGCAGATGCGGTCGATAATGATGTCACTAGGTGTGTTGAGATGGACGACCATGTTGATGGGCACAATGTTGTCGAGTTGAATTGCCTGGACAGCAGTGCGCGGGAAGCCGTCGAGGATGAAGGATGCCGAGGGGTGGTTGGAGAAGGTGTAGCGCGGGGCCCGCACCTCGGACGGAATCATGACCGAGTCAACTGTAGTGTCGGCCATGTCCATGGAACTGAAGTTGAGGGCATATGGCCGCAGCGCATTGTCCCGTATCCATCCCCGCGTCGTCAGTTCATTCACAATCAGGCGCAGGATCATTGTGTCTGGCACCAGCTTTCCGGACTTCATGGTCGACTCGGCCTTGATGCCTGCGACAGGTCAGCATTGGGTTATTTTATTTTTTTCCTAGCGCGGGGAACGAGCGCGCATACCGAGAGGAGTCCGCTCCCTCACATTCTTCCTCAGCAGGTCGCCAGAACTGATTGCCGATAGTTGGGAGAATTTCTTCATCAAGCGCTCCGTCTGAGTGCCCTTGCCAACACCGGGCGCGCCCACCAGGATGATTCTGGCCGCCCTTGCTAAACTTGGTATGTGCATTATGATGTGTTTTGTGAAAAGATGGCCGTGGGTGGCTAGAGGGGGGTTACGATGGCTATGTATGCCGGGGTATTTGTCGGTACGAGAAGTGAAGCGCGGCGGGCTTCGCGGCGGGTGTGCAAATATTAAAAATGGTCCATTGTAAGCGGAGGTCGGGGGAAGGGAATAGCGATCTGGGGAAAGGGAAGAAGGAGAAGGAGAAGAATGGAGGACGGCGACGCGGCCAAAGTCCTTTTTCGTAGGACAAGACGCTGACCAACGTCGGGTAAACGTGGAGGAGGGGACGGCAAGGCCCAGGACTGAATCGCATTCTCTCTGTCGAAGTTGCGGCCATCGGCCACGGCAAAGCCTCGGCCATGACCACAATGCCTACTTTGCTGCTTAACGGGGGCACATAACACCCAACAGTGGTCGCCGGAGCGTCTGCACGGCCTGCGTCGAGATTGCATACATATGTATGCGTATCCGGCCTGTTCCTAGGCGCAGTTATTCATCCGTCATGGAGACGCAGGCCAGTGCCAGGCTGCGTTGGTGGCGACCAAGCTTTGGATCGCCCTGGTGCGCCGGTCCCTGAAAACTCCCTAGGCCTAACTCCGAAAGACGGCAACGTCAGACCAGGCCCGTTTTCTCAACTGCATAATCCAGTCCACTTTCCCCGTCACACGTCAGTTTCCCACATCTCCTTTCCACCTTTTATATGCTGCTTCTCCCCCACCCGTACATACTTTAATCGCTGTACAATATCCACGTCGCTCCCTTTTTATTTTGCTGCCCGTCCCGGCGCAATGTACGTTAGCAGAACTGCCTCCCGGGCAGCGCCCGCAGTCTTCAGAGCAGGCATCAGGACCACCACCCGCACACATCGCCCCATGCTGCGCTCCTCGCCTGCAATTCGCATCCTCATTCCGCTTCGAGCCCTACAGACCGAGTCGACGTCATCCAACACTGCACAGAACTACCCACCCCCTGGCTTCGACCCCAAAAAAGCAAGCCAACCACTCTCCAGGCAGGATCAGGACAAGGCTCCCCAGCAAGCCAAACCCCAGCTCGAAAAAGACACCCTCATCCCCAAGTCTGGCCCAACCGCACACGCCAAGACTCCCGCTCAAGATGTCCAGACAATCAGGGAGCTGGGCGCAGACAAGGCAGCAGCCGAGACCAAGGAGGAGAAGAAGGTCATGCTGAAGAAGGACGAGGAGAAGAAGAAGCTTACTGTCTGGCAAAAAGTCAAGAAGGAGCTGGTTCATTACTGGGACGGTACCAAATTGCTTGGTTTCGAGATCAAGATTAGTTCCAAGCTTGCCTTGAAGATGGCTGCTGGTTACGAACTCACCAGACGAGAGCGTCGACAGGTATGTTTCCTTTTGCTGCTCAAGCCAATCCAAATGCACAATGCTAACTTGACCTAGCTGCAACGCACAGTCCAGGATCTCGCCCGTTTGGTTCCCTTCCTGCCTTTCGTCATCGTGCCGTTCGCAGAGTTGCTTCTTCCCGTAGCGCTCAAGCTCTTCCCCAACATGCTTCCCAGCACATACGAGGGCCAATCAGCCAAGGATACCAAGGCCCAAACCCTCCGAGCAACCCGCAAGGACGTTAGCGACTTCCTTCGCCAGACTCTAAAGGAAACCGGTTTGCCAGTCTCTCTCGAAAATGCCCAGACAGCAGAGTTTGGCGAGTTCTTCCGAAAGGTGCGCACAACTGGCGAGAAGCCAACGCCAGAGGAAATCATCAAGGTCTGCAAGATCTTCAAGGATGACTTGACTCTTGACAACTTGTCTCGCCCGCAGCTCGTCTCCATCTGCCGCTACATGAACATCACTTCCTTTGGTACCGACAACTTCCTGCGCTACCAAATCAGGGTTCGTATGCGCCAAATCAAGCGTGACGACAGGGCCATTGCCTACGAAGGCGTCGAGACCCTTTCGGTGCCCGAGCTTCAGACTGCGTGTGCAAGCCGTGGTATCCGAACGTACGGCGTTTCTCCTGGCAGGCTACGGGATGACCTGACAAGCTGGCTTGATCTCCGTCTTAAGCACGGCGTCCCTTCAACCCTCTTGGTGCTCTCCAATGCCTTTGTATACGCACAGGGCAAGGACGCAGAAATGACATCCCAGATTGATGCTCTGGAGGCTGTGCTTTCCAGCATCCCTGAAGAGCTCTACCACGAGGTTGACCTCGAGGTCCGGAACGCTGAAGGCGCCGCCACCAACAAGCAGCGTCTCGAAGTCCTCAAGGAACAGCAAGAACTCATCAACGAAGAGAACGAGCAGACTGAGACGGTCGAGAACAAGGCCACTGCCTCGCCCAAGGACCACGACGACATTGACGAGGCCGAAAAGCCCACAAAAGATGCTGAAGAGGCAAAGGAGGCCAAGGCCGCTGAAGAAAGCAAAGAAGCCGAAGCTAGCACCGGCGAGAGCGTGGGCGGCAGTGCTGAGCGCGCCGAACAAGATGACCGTGCGAGGAAAATGGACGAGCCTACCGGTAAGGCTGAGAAGCCTGCCGATGCCATTGCTGCAAAGAAGGAGTAAATATGAGACTTGATCATCTGTCTCCCTTCTCTACTCTGTTTTCCAAGTCACATAGCTACTCAAAAGGAAACTTTGCAAACACCATATGGTCTCTCTCCTTTTTTTCTTGTTGTTCTGGGATAGGGGTGGGAGGAAATGGGAAAGATTAGGTGCATATTAGAAAATACCCCCCCTTGTTTCCCCAATAGAAAGTGTAAAACTAGACGGAAAATTGTATATACACGAAAACTTACTCAATTGTTACCGTTTTTTTTTCTGCATGTGGCTAAGTGGGCTTGGCGGGGCGAGGTAGAACTAAGTGTGTACGTTGTACACGTAGTTCTGAAAGTGGGGTCTTGTAAACGATTGAGAGACGTGTTATGTGTTGTTGAGTAACCTGGAAGATGTGAAGCACGTGATCATTCGGACGTTGTATGAGTTGTGTTTGGAATGGCTGATTTGATTGAGGAAGCGACGGTGCTGTATTTCTGATGAGGGGATGAGATTTTGTTTGATCTGTGAGAGATGTAGAGAGAAAAAACCAAATTAAAATTCTTGTCGTGACGACGGGGGTTGCTTTTGCGGTATGGAGGTGAAGTGGGTAAGTGGACTGAATTGTGTCTAAACGTGAAGTATGTAACTAGCCCCCCCCCCCTTCTTGGCGCTAGCTTCATGGGGGTTAGACAGTTAAGTCACTCATCACTTTCTTTACTGCAATGTTTGAGCTCATTTCAGACCCATAGCTGGAACCATCATGAAGAAAGTTCATTTGCTATTGTACACAAGTAGTCGCTCCGTGTGAGCCTATCATCAAACAACCTAGTGGTTTTTGCAATTCCCTTATCTGGGAGTATGAGACAGACATTCGAGAAGGCGAACAACGATCTCTTCCCTCAGCTGAATCATGTCATCTCTCAGCTCAATCATTTCCCAGAGTTTAGTCTCGCGTGTTCTTGCACGCTCTTCCTCCTCCTCGGCCCTTCCAAGCAGCGTCGAGAAGTTCTGCTTAAATATGTCATGTCTTTTTTGTAGACTCTGCATGGCCTGTCCATGCACCTTTGCCTCCTCCGTCTCCTTGTTGAGTATGTCTGTCATTCGCGTGTGATATGTGGGAATGATGTCGTCGCTGAATAGAGCTTCCTCGGCCAAGTTTTGAAGTGACGCCGGCGAATTGTTGGTTTCGGTCTGCCTCATGATGTCGCTGTGTCGCCGATTCGATATCCTGTGCCCCGATCAGAGGTGCTTGTCCTTGATTTCTTCGGGCCTTTGTAAGGAAGCCATGGCGTTGCGCAAGTTAGTACACAAAGACACTACATCACTGTCGACCTGCTTGATAACTTTCTTCAGCGCCATGTTCTCAGCCATGACAGGTTCCGGTGGCGCTTTTTGCCCCATAGCACTTCGTTGAAGCTCCAGTTGCTTTTCCAGCGAAGCAACGTTTTCTTCGCATCTATGGTGTAGATCCGGTTCCGCAAGTTGAGCCCTGAGGTCATTTATCTCACGTGAGTATCCCCGACATTCTTGTTGGAGTATTTCAATGGTCGTCCCATGAGCCGTACATTGCTTTTTCAGTTCATCGTTTTCTGCCTTGTATACTTTGCAGTCTTCTTTCAGTCTTTCGATCGTTATTTGATGGATTTCATAGTGCTCCCGCAGAGCAGTTGTTGTGCCTTGTTGAACCCTATACTTCTCCTGAAGCTCTCCGAGTTGCTTTTTCGACACTTTCTAATGTTTCTGAGCGTTCCTTGTGCGCATCTAACTTACGCCTCAAGTAGGCAATGATACTATCACAGTCGTGACGACTCAATCGATCCACCTCCTCTTCGAGACGCGTAATCCGGTCTGCTTGTTCTTGGCAATCAATTTGATTCTCCTCCCATGTATCCACTTGATCTTCAAGGCCATCGATGTCGGCCTGTTGCTTCGTTTCATTGTCTCGTAGAACGCCAAGCTCTGCTTCGAGGCTATCCATAGTAATATCTGCCGAATCTGTGGGAATGTCAGCAGGTCTCATGCTTTCTATAGGCGTTACTTACCTTCGGCTTATCGTCTTCCCGCAGCCTTCGCGTGCTCGACTAATTCCAGGACGGTCTCGCCCTCTCTGACCAGGGTATCCGGTTTCTTCGTCGTTTCCAGGACTTCTTCTCGGGTCCTCAAACACTGCTGTTGAGCAGCTCGTGCAAGCTTTAGGCTGGCCTCATGATCATTATCATGAATCTCGTCCTCATTATCAGAGGAGTTTCTTATGTCGAAGGACGTGGCAGATGCTGTGTTTTGATGCTTGTTCACCATGCTAAAGCCGTAGTGTGTAGTATGTGATAGATAGGGTGCGTAGTAAGAAGAGATGGGGGAAAAATATTGCCTTGGTTGTGCGTCTGTTTGGCGCCAAGCCTTAAGGGTCTTTCACCGTGAAAGCGTTGAGTGAGCGGCGCTGTTGTCATAGCTTCGACTATTCCCGAAGACAACGGCTCTATACCTTCCCTTTAAAGCTTCAGCATGAGGCTGGTCTGTCGTATATGGCGGAGAATCCTCGCGGACACGTCTCTTTAATCGACATTGACTTGAATGGTGTCGGGAACACTCGAAGTGACAGACATGCCCTCATCCCAATGTAGTCTCAAGTTACGCGCTATCTTGACCTTTGAGATGCTTCGTCACTTTGTGAGGCTACAAACTGGCAAATCTATTCTGGCAATAATACAAGACATGTTCATCAGGTGGCTCACAATTCATCCACACTTACTCACACCGCACACTTCTGCCTTTCTTTAAGATACCAGCAGTATCTAGCAAAAGTAGGTGTGACTATCTCAGAGCCCTGTATCTATCCAGCTACTGTTAATTCCCTTAAAATTGCTAAAAGTCTTCACATCCAATTGCTTAATGGTCACTATTGTTTATGCCCAGGTGAGAGAGCATCTCAATCTTCCTCCATACTATGAAGCTTAATTATATAGTCATCTACAATCCATCAGCCCATCCAAAATCCTTCTCACGTTCTCTCATTTACTCCTCCTCCTTTTCAGCATCCCCATTCCTCATCAGATACGCTTGCACCATCTCCGCCATTTCTTTCATGTCCTCTTCAATTATTCCAACATTCTGCTTTGCCATGAGTAGAAGAGCATCGAGTTCCTTTTTCTTGAGAACGCCCCTGTCCGCATTTCCGGAAGCTACAGCCTGTGCTGCATTGAGTTGTGCATTAAGGTTAGCCACCTCAGCATGTTGCACCGTACCCGATCTTGATCTGGAGAAGACACGTGAGAGAGAACTACGCCTTTCTTCACGCTTTCGTTGAATGTCAAGTAATGTGCGCCAGACCTCCCATTCGCGATCTCGACATTGGCTCAGAATCCTGGCACTGAAATCTACAGTTCGCCTCAGCTCACTGATTTCATTTCTGAGCTGCGATATGTCGACATCCAGATCATCAATCTCGCGGTCCTTTTGCTGGAGATATATGCTGAGTTGCGGCACGAGGTTGTCCTCTAGTCCGGTAATGCAGTCTTGGAGCCCATAGACCGTGGCGGTGAGTTTCTTGATGAGCTGTGCATGTGTCTCGAGTCCAGATTGCGATAAAGTACCTACAGGCGCTGTCTCATGGACTATCTGATAGTGTAGCTCGAGCTCTGGCGATGTGAGGAGGGAACGGAGCAACGCAGATACCTGTTCTGATACTAGATTGGGAGGAAACGGAGAGCGCGGACGAGGGTCAGGGATAGTATTGCTGGAGCTACTAGAGCTTGATGATGGGTAATATCCTGGCGGAACACCATTCGTCAATGCAACATGTTCTCTACCCTGCCCTCCTTGTAAAGGCCAGTTCGAAGGAAATGGGTCACGATAGAGTGTGTCATTTGAGCTTTCATGACTATGGTGCTCAGAGTGAACACCATTTGGCAACAACTCTTCTTGTCGCTGCTCTTTCTCCTGGGGTGATCGTGCTCGAGGTGTCCGTGCCGCATCAATGCGGTCATAAAATGCACTTGCAGCGATTGGGTAGCTGAAATTGGGCACAAGACCGATGTCCGCAGGGGTAAGAAGAGGCGTCTCTTGGCATTCTGATCTTCGAATAGTAGAGCTACACTGCGTCCTTTCCCTAACCGAAGCTCTCGTCGCAGGGTCGACTCCCCAGTGGGACAGAATACTCTTCAATGCTGATTTCCATGTCAGTGATTGCGTCGGTTCAGGTTGGATCGATGGGATATCGAGCGGTTTTACTGGGATACTTGTCGGAATCGGCGGTACAGGACATCCCAACTGAGCTTCTGAACGAGCATGAATGTTATGGGACCACAAAGGGACCTGTGGTTCGGTCACAACTGTTGGTTTTGATAAGATCGGGGCATTCGAAGCGGCAAGATCCTCATCAGACTGCTTACGGTCATCGTTATAATATATGTGGTAGGGATTATCTAATGGGAAGTCCATGAACCTGTCCCACTCCTGTGTGCCGGGTGTGATCGGTCCTCGAGGCGGCGATGGCGCTCTCTGGGGCGGTATATTACTCGAAGGCTTAGCACGCGCTGGTGTGAGATTGATGCTATTTCGTCCTTCCCATTCTTTTTGATCCTTTTCATTCCTCAAAGTGGCCATCCATTCGCTAGGCACGGGTTGTGCCGAGGGGCCCTTATCATTGTTACCATTTGGACGCTGAGTTGGGGTCTTGTGAGTCTCTTGCCTCAGCTCCCCATCAGGTGGGCCAGCATATTTGGGCTCTGAATCCGCTGCTAGCATGACACTGTTGAAATATAGTTGATCTTTTGGATATAAACACCCCCTGTAGGGGCCTCTGTCGATGATCACGGGAAGGCTGTCTGAAGAATTACTTCCTCTTGGCCCCACCCGACCATCGTCCAGATCATTTTCAATCCTGTCCAATATTCTTTGCTTCTCCTTCTCCTGTTGCCCCCGAAGCTGCTCGGGCGTAAGAGGGGGCTCTGCAATCGTATAATAGTGGATAGGGCGCCGGAATGGATGTGCTAGTCGCTGACAGAGTGTTGTCATTTCTTCTGCTATGGCGAAAAACAACTTGGTGTTACGGATGCTGGAAGCTTTGAACAGGCTAGAAGTATGAATCTAGGTGTTTGACAAGAATCCATGATGCGTTGTTTGACATTGCCCTGTGGTCAATTGTGAACAAGCGCCGTTTGTGCCTGCGCTGGCACAGAATTCTGCTTCCAAAGACAATCGCGTGGACGTGATTGACCACGGAAGCGTTTGAACCCATTCACGTTGATGTGTCACAACGTGGGAGCCGTAAAGCAAAGAGAAATGAACATTCGAAGACCATTAATAAGCACTAAGAGCACTTGCAGGTAAGAAGTGATGTCGAACCGAAACTGCAGGTTGTATTACCAACTGTTATCGCTTGCAAATATAAACTATGTGTAGTCTCTTCATCTGAGCCACGTACTATGAAGACAGGATCGTTGTTCGGGGTATGTAACAATCGTGAATGCGCCATGGTAAAAGAGATCCGCTCCATGGCTATGCAATCGCAACAATGCAGGTAAAACGCCCCCATGCCGTGGAATCGTGAACCGTAACGCCGAAGATCCTTAATATTTTCTTTTTGCTTTGGCTGCCATCGCTGCCAGCTTCTTCTTTCGCTCCTCTTTTTCCTTCTTGAGCCTGTTCTCTTCTGCCAAAGCCTCAGCATCCTCCTTCTTGGCAGCCTTGAGTGCCAACTGCTCTTCCTCTTCCACATCCCATATGCCCCCTTCCATGGCCGAAGAGCCGTCGGAGTCATAGTCCCCTTCTTCGTCGTCTTCCATGTCGTCAAGGTCATCCCAGTCTGCATATCCGTCATAGCGGCCCTTGGTTGGGTTGGGTTTGGGTTTCGCAGCTGGCGTGCCGTTGCGGCTCGACGTTACAGGTGCACTAGAGGGACGAGCGGTGCCTTTGTAGCCAACTTCAACAGGCTTCCGAGCCGGCCGTGCAGTGCCTTGATAGCCGACGTCGACCTTCTTCTTCTCTTTGGAGGGATCCGCCTTGGGATCTGCCTTGGGATCCGCAGGCTTTGACAGCAGTCCAGCAACAGGCTTCTTGCCTTTTACTCCTGCTTCTGCCTTGAGCGCCAGCCGTTCCTTCCGCGTCAAGATTTTAGTAGGCTCATGTTTGATCGGCGGTGCTACGGGTTTGCTGGCATCCTTCTCTTTGGCCTTCTGGAGCATGGCCAGATATCCTTTCTTAGGTGCGGCATTCGAGGCGGAAGCGGGGGCGGGGCCGGTGGCTGCCGGAGCAGGCTTGGGAGCAGGCGCCGGGGCCTTTGTTGTAGCAGCGGGTGCGTTTGATGACTGGAGAGGCTTTCGAACAGGTGGGTTTGCTGTTTTCGAAGACGAGGGCGCAGCGGTTCCGCGGTAAGGGACAGACGTGGTAGGCGTAGACGAAGGTCTGGACGTGGCAGGTGACGACGTGGCACGAACCGCGCCATTTGCCTGTGCTATTCCGCCAACCGCCTCTTTTCTCTGCACCTTTGTCTGTCCATTCTCAACGGGACCCGATGCCTTTCGCTTCAACTGGGGTGCTTGGGATGCGCCGTTCGCCCCTCCAACCGGTCGCGACGCTGGTTTAGGGGCAGTGCCAAGCGGACCTTGCTTTGATGCTGTTGCTGCGGCCCTCGCGCTTGGGTCGATTATCGACATAATGTCTTTGAGTGACTGGAAGACACGGTCAGTACACGGGTGGTGTCCCGGGCAGTCTGTTGCAGCTCACGCTCATGGTAGGCAACTGATAAGCGTTTGACTCAGTGTTACCGCTCGTCGATTCGATTGGAGGGCAAGTTGTACATGCTTTCCTAGTAAAAATCGCCGGTAGTGATAGTCGGCGGAGGGTGGTCGCGCGCGCAGAGAGAAGGCGAGGCGCACGGGACCGGTGGATTAGAATGGACGGCCAGAGAATGAGCGGACAGCGACGGCGCAGACGGGCCTGTTTTATACCTTGGCTTTGCGCCTAGTCAGCCTTCACGTGATGATACGGTCATCTTACGCTAGTCCGACTGCGGAATGGCTTGGGTAGCGAGATCCCACCTTGAGTCAATATTCTAGGACCAGGAACTTTTTCTTTTCGACAACCACAGCGAGAACTTGTAGATTCAGTCTCCGGCCACAAGCGGTGCGTACTTACTGTTGTTTGCGCTCAGCGACATAATACTGACAGGCGCAGGTTAAATCGATTGAACTCCTGTTCCTTTCCACCGAAACCACCAATTTACCATCACAATGAAGCACCTCGCTGCATACCTCCTCCTCGGCCTTGGTGGTAACACCTCGCCTTCCGCCGAAGATGTCAAGGTATGGTGGCTTACGAAGTCTTTTTTCAATTGGAATTCTAATGGAATTTAGTCCGTCCTCAGCGCCGTTGGTATTGAGGCCGATGACGAGCGCCTCAACAAGCTGATCTCCGAGCTTGAGGGCAAGGACATCAACGAGCTCATCGCCTCTGGATCCGAGAAGCTCGCTTCCGTTCCCTCTGGTGGCTCCGGTGGTGGCGCTGCTGCCGCTGCTGGTGGTGCTGCCGCTGGCGGTGCCGCTGCCGCCGAGGAGGCTCCCGCCGCCAAGGAGGAGGAGAAGGAGGAGTCTGACGAGGACATGGGTTTCGGTCTCTTCGACTAAGCGTGTCGCCAATCCATCTCTGTTTACGATGTATGATCTGGCCAATTTCTCAAAAATCACGAGAATCATGCGCAACGAGTCCGAGCATTTGGGGCGTGTCGAGCGCGCGATGGATGGGATATGGAGAAAGATTGTGCGGCAATGCTTTCATAGCTGCCTGCTGAGATACCCACAATGAAGCCATGCACCCTCAATTTATGTCGACATTGTGACTTCCTTCAATGTGACCATGTGTCTGTGCATCTTACACTAATGTATACCTTGAGAGTGAGAGTTGAAGTTGTAAATGTTTACTATTCAAGTGTTCAATTCTACAAATAGATTAGCATGTGAGTAACATAGTGCCTGAAGACGATCTGACTGCTGAAGTGATCTCGGGCAGTCACTTTTGACTAGTTCAAATATTGTCTTTGATGAAAGCTGCAGCGCTGGTTATAGCCCACCTTTTGGAGAGCAAGATCTTGTTTGCATGATTGGCACACAATACTGCCTCACAAAACTACGCGACAATTCGGTCAAGGTTTACTATTCGTTGCAAGTGTGAACATAGTGATGTTGGTGTTGGTCCAGCTGCGCATGGACGTAGTGGCACGCTAACGGCTCGCTTAAGCGAGGCAGGCAACACCTCGAAATTCCCTTTGCCCATCGATAATTGAACGACCGACAACCCACGACCCAACGAAGTTCCCCCCATCAGCTACTTCGACAACCGCAAACATGGCTGACGCTGACTACGATCCCGAGGCCGCAGCTGGTACGCATTCCTGTCCCATTCCCAAGCCTCTCCCCCGCATCCGCAGCGACAGATGGGCATATTGATGGCAGAACATGGCTAACGAGATGAACAGCCCTCAAGGCCAAGAGGGCGTTCCGCAAGTTCTCTTACCGCGGTGTCGACCTTGACCAGTACGTTTCCGATTCCCTCGATACTCCCCTACGCTGGGGATCGACATAAATGATAGCGGTATTCTGATTGCGATGCAGGCTCCTCGACCTCGGCTCTGAGGAGCTCCGTGACCTCGTCCACGCCCGCGCCCGCCGCAGGTTCAACCGCGGTCTCAAGCGCAAGCCCATGGGTCTCATCAAGAAGCTTAGGAAGTCCAAGCGTAAGGAGCACAGTCGGCTTGATGGACAGGAGAAGATGGCTAACGTTGCGCAGAGGAGGCCCGCCCCAACGAGAAGCCCGACCTCGTCAAGACCCACCTCCGTGACATGATCGTTGTCCCCGAGATGATTGGCAGCGTTATCGGTGTCTACTCCGGAAAGGAGTTCAACCAGGTCGAAATCAAGCCCGAGATGGTCGGCCACTACCTCGCAGAGTTCTCCATTTCATACAGGCCAGTCAAGCACGGAAGGCCCGGTATTGGTGCCACTCACTCTTCCCGTTTCATTCCTCTCAAGTAAACGACTGGGTTATGGTTGCATGGGTTCTTTAGTGGGGCGGACAATGTACATGACGACCTACAACGAATACAGGTGTTAGGTGCATTTACTCTCGATGGCTATGACGTACACAAAAAGACGACGGCGAGCATGAGGATATGGTGTAGATTACCATCCATCAGATTCGAGATACCTCCACATATGTTCTTTTGTACAAGATGTGTGACATGAGTTGTGAATGATGATTTTGACGACTTTTGCGGTCTACTTTCAAGTGCAAACTGGAAAACGAAATGATGAATTGCGAAAATAATCAAATTGGGTATTCTATTATGCACAAAGGGACTCGAAAACCATATCCACCCGCTACCTTCCGAGGCGCATCTCGACCTTAGCGAAATTGTACAGGGCTCGGAGGAAGACTTGATAGTTGACGCCCTTGTTGTCTGGCAAGTGACTGGGAGGAAATGTTAGTGCTGTTCTCACACAAAAGCGACAAGCGAATTAACTTACAAGATCTCGGTCAACCTCAGCTGCCATGGTGGGTAGCCCTTCAATTGAACGGTTGGACTGAACAGGATCAGCAGATCTGGCTCGCTGGAGACGTGGTCGTTTAGCTGTGCATCGATCAAATCCATGTTGATCTGCTCTTGTCGCACGTCACCCTTTTGCGCCATTTCGGCCAGGGTGCGAGTCAAATCGACAATGGTATCTCGGCCATCATGCTCCGACAAGAGGAGTACAGTGAGATGCTGGCGTTCTTCCTTGAGGTTCGGATCATTTGGCTCAGCCGACTGAGGGGGCGTGTCGGGTGGTGAGTAGGAGCTCAGATGTGGTGCGCGGAGGGAGAGGGTGGGCTTGCGTTGTGGGCCAAAGTAAGCTTCGAGCGTGTTCCAGATACTGGCGTGGGTTTGGGGCAGGTAGTTCTTGAGGACGCCTGTTTCGCTGTTAGCACTTGAACAGCCTCTTTACACGTATCTGTGGATTTTGCTAGCTTACCAGTTCGCT